CTAGGTAATTTTTAAGTCTAGTTAATTTTTGTGTCTAGTTAATTTTTAAGTCTATATATTAGGTCTAGGTAATTTTTAAGTCTAGTTAATTTTTGTGTCTAGTTAATCTTTAAGTCTATATATTAGGTCTAGGTAGTTTTTGTGTCTAGATATTATATCTACCTAATTTTTAGGTTTAGATTTTAGGTACTAGCTTAGCGTATATATACCTATTTTTACGTACTTTTAGGTTAATAATTAATAACCTAATATTTCTAGAGTATATATAAGTTAAAGCTAAAAATATATATATAGATATAGGCAGAGGTATTAGTAATAAGTTAACACGTTATATTATAGTAAGGTTAAAATATAAGAATTTTTACTAAAAGAAGAGCTTATATAATAGGCTAGGCCTAGTAAAAACTTAGTAAGTAAAGCCTTAGAGCTTAGTAGGCCTAACTACTAATACTTATACTACTACCTATACTTTAGAAACTCTTAGTATGCTACTAAAAGAACTATAAGTAGAAGAAAACTAGTACTATAAATTCTTAGTAAATTTATCTAATTTATACTAGTAACTACTCTTAGAGTTAGCTCTTTATACTAGTTAGCTAATAACTTAATAAGCTTTCTTCTAATAATAAAGTAAACTAGATTAAATATTTATATTTAAAAAGTAATAGTAAATACTTATAGATACTTTTAGGTTTAGAATTTTAAGTCTTCTTCTACTAACTAAGGTACTTAATATATTTATTAAATAAACTATAACTATATACTAGATTCTAATTTAGATTAAGCTTATCTAGACCTATATTCTAGATATCTAAGTTATATATAACTAGATTCTTCTACTCTATATTACTTATATTAATAACTATTAACTTCTTCTAGAGAAATTAGTGCTTAAAGAAATAAAAGTAAATAAATTAATTAATTTTAATTATAGTATAGTAGTTAGATATCTAGAGAGAACTAGCTCTTAATTAATAGTAGAAGAGTAGGAAATTACGTAAAGAATATAAGCCTTAAGTTACTCTATAAAGAGATAGTTACTTAATATTAAATATTACTTATTACTAAAGAAGAAGAGATACTTTTAAAAAAGTAGTAATATAGAAACTAAGAAGAAGGTATTATTAAGAAAGTAGAATTTAATATTACTATTTTAAAAAGAACTCTCTAATAATAACTTTATATTTAAATAATATAATTTTTCTTTACGTAATAAAGAATTAGAGTCTTAAAAATATAAATATATTAATCTAATTATTATTAAACTTAAAATTAGTATAAATAAAAGTATATTTTTATATTTATATATATTTTTAGAGTTATTAGATCTTAGTAGTAGCTAGTATACTAGGCTTACTTTATAAAATTTAGAATAAAATAGATCTATTTAGAATTTCTAAAATATATTAATATATTATTAGATTATATATATAGAAATTATAGATATAAAAGAAATAGTAATTTTATAAGTATTTAATTTAAAGACTTACTAAGATATAAAACTAGAATTTAATTAATAGATAAGAATCTTCTTTTTAGTAGAAAAACTTACGTATTTAGCAATAATATTTAGATATTAGTAATAATATTTACTTATTTAGTAATAATATTTACGTATTTAGTATTAATATTTAAACTTTAGTAATAGTATTTAAGCTTTAGCAATAATACTTATATAGTTAGTAATAATATTTATATATTTAGTAATAATATTTATATAGTTAGTAATAATATTTATATAGTTAGTAATAATACTTAAGCTTTAGTAATAATACTTAAGCTTTAGTAATAATATTTTTATAATTAGTATTAATATTTTAGCTTTAGTAACAATATTTTAGCTTTAGTAATAATATTTTAGCTTTAGTAATAATATCTAAGTTTTAGCAATAATATCTAATTTTTGTAATATTTATAAGAAGTTTATCTAATGCTAAGCCTTAATTTAGCTAATAGGCAATAATATCTATCTAGCAATAATACCTGTTTACTTATATATAATAGGTTCGTAACTGCTTAAGCTACTACGCAAGCGGGTATAGCTACTGCAAACAGCAACTGTGCTTAGGTTTTTGTTCCTTCTCGGAGCCTTTCTGTGCCTTCCAAGCGTTGACATCCTCTGCAAATATTGCATTGCCATCTTCTTTCGCGATCTGCAACGCGGGAGCTGGATCCGCGCCTCGATCAAGCAGCAACCAAGTCAACTCGCGCGCATCCCTTTCTGGCATGCCGCAGCCTGGGATATAGCAGATGGGCGTTCCCCAAGCGCTGTGCATGCCCTTTTTGCAACCGGGTGGCCGGTCAGGCGCATTAACGTCTAAGCCGACAACATTCAGCAGATAGCGCACCATCATTATATGCTCGGCATGTTTTGTTCTGCATTGCCGTTGCTGTTCGGTGTCTTTCTCTGGGTTGCTCGAGCCGGTGTGGCCCCACGCAGCCATTTCGACAGCTTTGTGTAATGTGCGGCGCCCTAATGGCGCCCCTTTTGAGCGCAAGAGCTTGAATGACGCGAGGTTGCCTGAGTTCGCACAAGTCTCAAGAATCGGATCGCAAGAGCGCGAGCCTTTCGGCGTGCTGACATTAGCGCCGTGGTCAAGGCACCACTTGACCAGAGCATCATCTGACGTGACGAACCACAGAAAAGGTTGAGAACCTGGCGATTTATCTGGCCGATAGTTGATATCCCAGCCATGAGACAGCAGGAATTCCAGCAATGCGATTGATGGTTTTGGTCTAGTGGCAACGTCCGACGGTCGCAGGGTCTTGACATCGACGCCACAACTGATCATATGATTGAGAATAGCTTTGGCCTCGTGCCCGATCGCGATCCGAAGAACTCGTAGGAAGAACCAGTCAAGATCGTTCTTTGCAGTTGTCAAGCAGGCTTGTTCGAAAAGTATAGTGTTGTCGCTTTCACACGCCTTGCAAGCAAGGTCCCAGGCTAGGTTTTCCAACTTAGACATGGCAGTTTTGCGAAGAGATTAAAATGCAGCCTTTGCAGATTTATCGGAGGATTTCAAGGAACAGGAACATTGGCGCTGAGTCAAGAGCTAAGGCGAGGGGAAACTTATGAGTAGTACTGAAGAACGAAAAAGTTTGTAATCAATAAGAATGGGGCAGTCCACACACAGGAATCGGTTGTTATTTCTGTCTCCGCCGTTTGACTGTGCCTCAGTTGTATCTTACTTCGCCGGCTAGAAAAAACCCTAAGTCAGGGGGTAAGCAATTGTGGGGCCGAAGCAGGATGCTTAAATTGCCAATAAGATCGACACAAGCAGTGTAAGGATAACCAGACTTTTGTGCAGAGCTTCCTCATCACGGCCTTCATTTCGGATCTCTTCCACATTAGGAAGACATCGAACAATCAAGGTCGAGGCCTTAATTCTCCCAAATCGCCCAACTGCGTTTCCATCAACTCACAATTCTTCTCAACCTGCTACAATGTTCATGAAACTTCTAGCGCTCTTTACGTGCATAGTATCTGCACAAAGCAGCTACAATGTCGGCCTTGAAGTTGCAGCAATCCGCACATATTTCTACGTTGGTGGCGGATACAGCGACGATGGTAACGGTGGGCATATCTTCAAGGACCAGATGTACGTCGAAAAGTTATCACCCGTTCTGACACGACACAACAAGACAGACCCAATCGTCCTCATCCATGGTCAGGGTCAGACTGGTACCAATTTTTTGAACAAGCCAGACGGAGGAAAATCCTGGACGTCGCAGTTCCTTGATGCCGGCCATACTGTCTACATTGTAGATCAAACTTTTCGCGGAAGGTCAGCGTGGGCGCCTCGCGTCGGTGCGTCGGCGCCATCCACATACTCAGCCGAAACCATACAGCAACGCTTCACCGCACCCGAGCGATATGATCTATGGCCTCAAGCCAAGCTTCATACTCAATGGCCCGGAACAGGCGTTATGGGCGATCCTATTTTTGACGCATTCTACTCCTCTAACGTCCAGTTCATTTCCAACGCTACGTATCAGCAGAAAACAGTACAGTCTGCCGGAGCACAGCTTCTGGAATTCATTAACAGTCCCGTGTGGTTGCTTGGTCACAGCCAAGGCGGATTGATGCCCTTAGTCATCGCCGACGCCCGCCCCAATCTCACCAAGGGCCTCATCCTCCTCGAACCGACCGGCCCACCCTTCCAGGAAGCAGTCTTTAGTTCTGGCTCAGCCCGACAATGGGGGTTGACAGATATTCCTATGACCTACTCACCCCCTGTGAAGGACCCTCTCGTTGACCTAGTGAGACAGGTGGTACCACCACCTGTCCAAACCGTCGATAACGCAACAATTCCTTGCGTCTTGCAAGCAACACTTCCAGCCCCGAGACAGCTCGCCAATCTGGCGCCTTTGCCGATCCTTACGGTGACTGGGGAAGCCAGCTATCACGCGCCGTATGACTACTGTACCGTAGAGTTCTTGAAACAAGCGGGTTGCGCGAAGGCTAGTCACCTGGAGCTCAGTAAAATTGGTATTCAGGGGAATGGACACATGTCGTTCATGGAAAAGAACAGCGAAAAGATTTGGGGACAAGTTCATCGATGGATGAATAGTAGCGGGTAAAGAACCTTGTATCAGGAAAACGTCTCCTGGTGATTGATCACAGGCTCCTTGCGGTGATCAATGAAAACACTAACAATTATATAATGTTACGAATCTTTACAAGAAACTTCAAAGAGTCACATATTCAAGCTGTTGATTTAGTTTATGTTGGCTTTACGTGGTATTACCTGCTGTTTCAAGTAATCTTTCTCTCGTGGCACCTTGACATATTGGAATGTCGTCCAGCATTAGTTACGTTTCTTGAGATTAACATAATAAGCAAAGATCTATCTTTCACAATCTTTACATCGCTAGGTAGATGGCACATAAACTTTTTTTTCCGGCGTTATACAAGGTTGGGCACAATTTCGACAACATTGTTATACTGCTGACTATATGATCTCGCACAAGGCCTTCCCGTTTGATCTAGTAGCGTCCAGTTTCCCCAGCTCACAGTAAGATACCTCGAGGGGTTTCATTACTATGCCTTCTTGGCTCAGGTACTGTTGGGTTGTACTTTCCTGTCTCGCACTGGTCTTGTCAGGTGCGCGGAGCATCAACTCATTATCGTCATCATCAACATCGTCGTAGATTGCGTTTGGATGAGTAAATCTTAGTCTTGCAGAATTCTCCGCTGTACGTGTGTTGGAAAAGTCATCTCGACGTGCCCTTGACGCATTGGCCTTGATTTGCCACCGTTGTCGCCAGTGATTGATAGCACCATAAAGTGTGGGCGCGTTGACAACTATGGCCGCTGTCAAAAGCTCCGTACTCGCCCATATCGTTCGATTCGCTTGCACAGCTGCGTTCATGGCATTTATAGGGAGCCGAATAATCGTGATTGCAATAATGAACATAGCGAGTGCACACAGAATGTACAGCCGTATCTTGGTACGCCATGGTGTTTGCAAGGAAATGAGCGTAGGCAAGGGCAATACCAGCAACATGGAATCAGTGACCTACAAGGGTTCCGAACGTCAGTAAATGCCACAAGAGCACGGAGCTATCAAGGGAACTATGAATAAACAGATGGTCATAACGCTTACAATATTCAACACTCCGAGTACTACTAGCTGAACCTGTGCCTGAACGCATTTGCCTGGGATGTGTTTAGCGTGCATTCAATTACGTATGGAAGAACTTGACTGACCAGGCGCAGGAGAGACCTGCCAATAGAGGTTGAACGGATCGCATTCGGTGAAACCGACAACCTGCGCAGCGATCCAAGTCGACAGGAACACAAAGCCATACGACCAGAGAATGTAGCGACTGCTTCTATCTTGAGGATGAAAGTTGCGAGCGAAAAAGTGTAACAGAACCAGCTTCTGCAACCAGAGACTAGATTATTGTCAGCAAATCTCTTCGAACGCAGGCAGCGCTTCGCTGAACGGCATACTATGAGTTGTATATTGGACGGTTCGCGATGGTGAGCTTACTGCCAATTGTCCTTCGATAGATCTCTTCTGGGGTGAAATCGATTTGGGCTCGAGCTTGGGAAGACATGTTGTTAGTGCCCCAGACTAGGACAACATGGATTATACCACCGCGTGCAGCCGCGCATAGCATGCCGACCATAGTGCAATAATCGCCGAAGTTGAACTTGTGAAATACAATCTGTCGGCAAAGAAGACGCAATGCCATAGTAATCAGGGCTAACCCAGTAAAGAGATGATGAATTATCACTGTTTTGCTCATCATGTTTGAGTATACCAGATGATAATCATACCAATCAGCTACCGATGAAATGCATTATGTACCTTCAGGTCTTGTCCGCAATAGAATTTCCAACGTGAGCGCAACGTGGCAACCATGACTAGGCAGCGCAATGGCGAAACCATGTTACATAAAATTTCCGCATGGTCATGACCGAGGTTACCACTGAGATGGTTCTGCTCGGCATCCTTACACAATGGGACTACTTCCAACGTAGCAATATTCGCAGAAAAAGATTGGTCAATTGCATTGTAATAACTTGATACGAATCGATTGGTCTATTAGCTTTTCCACTGGGTATAAACAGCACAGCTGCCTAGATGATGATTTGTAGTAGTAAGCCCGAGCCAAGGAACCAGTTTGAAAAGCTCAAGCGCGAAATGACATGAGATAGATGTCCTAAACCGCACAGTCGAACGTGTAGCAGATAAAGAAAGGGATCACGATGGGACGATGCGTCAATGTGGGGCGGCGAACAGCCCAGCCGACACCCGCACGGAGACTAGCGCTCCAGCCGGGAGCGTTGCGTAAATTTGGTTTTTGCTCAAGGAAACTTCCGAACGTTGCTACCGTCCCGCACCTAAATCTCTGCAGGTCCGTGTGCAAGGGGCATGGCGTGAGCCAGATGTTTTCGTTTGTGTAGGTATGCTAATGCCGTCACTCACGCCATCTTTCGATAATCTAGGAATCCCCCCTCGGAGCTCATATCACCTGAGCTATTTTGCCGCTTAGTCGATGCGATACAATCTGTCCACGAAGACCCAGACGTCAATTGATTGTTCTTGTGAAAGTATGGCGAGAGCTGAATGCGTGGCACGAGCTATGGTCGGCCCCTTCAAACTTGAAACTGGTCCATGGACTTAGGAGTCCGAGTTAGCAAAGATTCTGATGATTTGTTATCTCTTCATGCGCCGTAGCCCTCAAGGGACTTTCTCCGAGGCAAACGGATACCGGTAGAGGTGATCGACCAAGGTTTGTATAAGGTTTGATTTGGATCCCGTGCTGCATGCCCGACATCATCGATGGCGCTAGAGATGAGACAATGAGTGGATAGCCATCGTAACATCCGACTGAAGACTAGTGCCTGACATGGGAGCGCGCATTCTAGCGCTAAGCTAGAAGGCGCTTCAAAGACATGCTGACAAAATCATAACGCAGCTTTACAGCAATGTGGGAAACTCAAAATCTTTCGCAATCACTTCTTATACCTATAGTCTTCTGTTGAGTTGTACTAATGTGACATTGAAGTAATGTCCTTGTAGTGTCCAACTCTAAGCTTTACGCTACAGCGCGCCCTCGCACGTATGAAGGCCGTCGTCCTTCATCAGCCACTCCCTTTTGAATCGCACCGCATTTCCATTTTCATTTCAATTTCGATGCCTAGAAATGGTGCTCCGTCTCGCGTCTAGGCAGGCTACAATTACGCTAGGCACCTCTGCAGCTTCCCTCCGGCCCCACATTGCGGCTTTTCTTAGCGTCAGCGTGAGCTACTGACGGAGCCGCATGTCTTACACAAACCGAGAGGGCTCAACCAAGTACAGGATTATCACCAGTAATTTCGTGTAACATCACTAGGTATCAATGCTGAAGGCCATTCAGGGTGACAACTCTGTTCGACACTGGTTTGCTCAAATCAATGACACGAACTAGCTAGCTACGCAAGGAGACCTCTTTTGGACTATCATACCAGCCTTCAATATCTGAATCACTTGTGTCGGTGGGCACCTCCAGTTCCTCGAATTCTTCCGTTGCAACTGGAGTAACCTTTCCGTCTTCAGCTGCCGTGGGTGGATGCAGTTCACTACGGGCACTCGGTTCATTGCTGACCTGCCCGTTCTCGATGTTTCCCTCCTCTGTAGACTCATACCATTGTTCTAGAGATCTTGGAACTGGTGATTTTTGATGAGTCTTAACGGTGGTGTTCTGGGAAGAGCCTGAGTACCAGCAGCGATTCCTTCTCCCCGGGGGTTGAAAATCTATATACCGACATGCTGACTCACTTGCGTCATCCAATTGGACCTGGTCGATTGGCTTCAGAAGAACCGACTCCTCCATTTTGATGTTTTTGTTCTGCACCTCGGCAAGGCGTTTTTGAAGCAAACATCCAGAGACAGAGACCTGTTTGAGGGATATAATTTCCTTCGCGCAGACATTCATTGGACATGCTGGAAACGGAGAACTTGATGCACAAGACTCTTCCATTGACAAGGGAGGCTGTTCGTTACCTTCTTGAATAGAGGGTTCTTCGCCAGAAGATTCATGAGCAAGAGGAACGACGTCGTCGTTGTAGACCGTGATTCCCTGTTCCGGAATGGTTTGTTGTACACCTCTGTTATTCGCTCGAGAGCACTCAATGTCTGTGGCAAGCATGCGTGAGACCTTGTCGTCGTAGAGCTTCACCACACATATCAGCATGAATTTGTTCAGAGCTGCGTTATTCAAAGATTCCAAGAAAACGTTCTTTGTAAACACAGTGTGGTCTTCTTCAAACGCCGCTCGAGCTTTCCGATGCAAGTACTCGTAGAACCAGGTAGTCGGATCAAGCTTTGCGAAATCTTCCTTGATAGCCTCAAACATCTCGAAGATATCCATTTGGGCACCCTGGTCTTCCATCTCACGCATCGTGAGCAGTTGAAGGTCGAGCAAGTCATAAGTAATCGTCATGACGTAGGTCGAGAGAGCTCGTTTGAACTCGGCGCGCGCCTCTTCTTTGGGAGAAAAGGCGCCATTATTGAGTGTTTGATAGGTGCCGGTGTGTAGATAATGAACCAGCGTATGACCCGTGTCTGTATCGACGTCGGGGAGGGCGATTTCTCCCCATCGATTAGGCTTGACCCATTGTGGAAAATGGACAAAATCTTTCGGAACATAGTGAACCACTGCATTCGGACCGATATGCAGAACAACTCGACAGCTGGTATACGGGCTGTAAGTGGCAATCAGCCTGAGACTTTCGGTTCATTTACGATAGTACAGTCTTACGATGTTCTTGGTCTCTGTGGTCTGGGATGAGCTCTCGAGTTTGATTTGGCTAGAGGTTTCTCTACTGCACTCGTCTTTTCTACCACATGTGTCTCTTCTGGTGTAGGCATATCCTCCACTATAGCTATTTCTCCGAAAGCAAGCTCTGGGTCAGTGGCGGTTTTCACGATTCTCCCTTTCCTTTCCTTTTTCTTGGCCATTATTGAGAAAAGTAGGAAATCGTTCGAGGCTGACAGAATGATCACAATCAAGGTGAGTTCAGTAAAGAGAACATGATAGTTGGGACGATTCCTAATATATAGGCAACAGCTGATGAAAGCACATGTGAAGTTTACCCCGCTTACAAGAGCCACTCAGCTATCGCCATGTTATGCAAGGGTTACAGCCTGTGACATAATACCAAGCCCTACCGGCGAGAGCTGCGTATACACCAGGCATAGAGCTTTTGGGTTATTAAAGTGTCGAGACAACAACTTAACATCCTGTGTCTTCAACCTTACCATGGCAATAGCGCATAGCTTCCTGTCATTCTTATCGCTGCCATATCACCCAAGTTCGCTTGGCTAGGTGTTTACATCATTGTTCCAGCGGAAGCTACGCATATGATGCTCGTCGCCACAATGTTCACATTCTACAGATCGCCGAATACCAGGTTAAATTATAGCCTTACCTCTACAGGTTCTGTTGAGTCTCCTATTCACATTCGATAGTCAGTGTTTGTTCAAGGCAGTAAATCATGATCACTGCGTTCCAAACGCGAATCTTTGTTGCGCGACGTCTGTGGTCATACCGCTGAACGTCTACCTAGTACAGCCATAGACACGACTGGGAGGTTATTTGTCGGAAACGCTTTCTGTCGCCAGCTTCTGAGGGACGTGTGGCTAGGAGTTGAGAGGTTCAGGGAGGTTGTCCTTTCTTTGCACACGCTAAGAAGAGAACGACTCGAGCAGATGAACGTAGCCAGGGTCACCAGATCATGTCTTCGTATGATACTAGCGACCAATAGTTCGTGTAGGCTATTTGGCGTTCCTTGAACCCAAATGTCGTGTATGTGATAGAAAACACTGATTTATGTCCTATCTCACTCAAGTTACCAAAGTTCTTTCTCCACCCTCAACACACCATCACCAACTCACAGTACAAACTTCCGGTGAGTGTGAACGGATGACATGTAGATACTGTAAGCAACTGATCCAATGATGCTCAAGTCAAACATAAACAGAATAACGCGTGTGAAAGAATGCTCGCTGCCTCATTCTGAGTTCTGCTTCCTTGGTATGAACTCAGTGGCGTGGGGATCTCCAGGCTTTCCACCAATGAGACACGGACGATCGTCGTGCAGCCATGCCAAAGCGACACGACGAAAACCAAAACATGCGTCAGTAGCGGGGTTGCTTTTCCTTTCATTGAACCGACTTTCTTCACAAACAACCTGCATCTACGTTGACAGAGATTTATCTATTCACAAGGGTAATTATGGCTATCGTTGGTATGGACCCAGCCTCCGCCAAGGTGGCATTGGAGTTGCAGCTCCAGGACATTGATGAGATTGCTCATAGCCTAGGTGATCGAAACGAACTGTACGCAGTATTTCAGATCATGATAGCCGAGCACCAAAAGGTCCTCAACCTGCTGAACGATCAGGTCTATGCTCTTGACCTTCTGAGAATGGACAATGTAAACAGGAGCCAATTTACAAGACTACTCGAAGACGAAAGGCAAGTTTCTCGCGACCACGAGATGGCTTGTCAACTTGCCGGCCATGCTTTCCAGGCAACTGCAGCGCCACAATTCAGCTTCAACACTGAAAATATCAACTTCAACAACGATATGAACCGTGTGGTATCACCAACAGGCGAGTATACACTGAGCGGTGGAAAGCATACATCAATACGTCCATACAACATTGGGGACAATGAAGACGGTTTCCGAATTATCAAGAATTCCAACACTAGTATCTCCGATTCTTCGCCTAGCTATACGGGTAAAGGCAAGGGAAAGGTGGATTCAAGCATATTGGACAATCACATCACGCACGTGATGTGCTCCGCTTGCATGGAATTCCAGCCACGATTTGACGTCCTTGAACTGACGTGCAAGAGACAAAACGACATGGTTTCTCATGCTTATTGCCGAACATGTCTTACCGGCTTGTTCGGGACATCTCTTACAGACACAACGCTTTTCCCACCACGCTGCTGTGGAGTTCGTATCCCGTTATCTGCTGGTGCTCACTTCTTCACCCCTGAGCTGATGAGGAGATACAAGGAGAAAGAGGAAGAGTTAGATACACCGAATCCAACGTACTGCAGCAACCGCTCTTGCGCAAGATTCATACCACCAGGAGATATACAAGCGACCATTGCGACGTGTTGTGTCTGCAATGAGAAGACGTGCGCTGGTTGCAAGAGTAAAGAGCACAGGGGAGTTTGCCCTGAAGACGACACTGTGAAACAATTGATAGGCATAGCCGAAGAAAAGAGATGGCAGCGCTGCTATAGGTGTCGCACTATGGTTGAGCTGGATATTGGGTGCTTCCACATGTCGTAAGTCCCAATTCCAGGTTCCTTCATACACTATAATGTTTTAGAACGAGAAGATTGATGGAAAGTAGTTGCCGCTGCGGTGCCCAGTTCTGTTACAAGTGCGCCGCCCCCTGGAAATCGTGTGCCTGTCCTCAGTGGCATGAGGAACGACTTGTACGCAACAGCCGTACTCCCACTGCACTTTCTTCGAGTATCGCACACCAGATCGCCATGCCAGAACGTCTCGAGATGTCCGAGCCTGATACTGTAGCTGAAGTCGCCGCTTACATAAACCTACGTTTAGCTACTGTCGTAAGTGGTCTTATCACCAATGACGAGACAGGAAGGGATGCGGACGATAGAGGTGGTTGCGTGCACCAGTGGAAGGTGATGTCTCGCTCCACGGATATTGATGATACATGTTCCGTCTGCTACGACAAGCTACGGGCTGTGAATCTATGCAAGACATGCAACACAAAAGTGTGCAATAGGTGTCTCAACAACCGGTTGTAGTTCCTTATAGTAGACTTTGGATGAGTCGCAATAAAATGAATTAAAGTTCGGACTTATATTAGCATAACAGCTACGGACATCCTTGCGCGGAATGTCTTTACTATCATCGTGGTTTGTTTGCGTCTAGTATGAGTTTGATGCAGTCTATAAATCTATAAGACTATTACTGTTCTGCCAAGTAGAGTCTTGTTTCATTCTCAATTCTTTCCGTGACCGAGAGGCGCACTATATGCCTGGACCAAAGCCGGCTCAAAGACTTCAAAGCACAACTTGCCAGTCTTAGAACAACTTATATGTTGTAAACCCTAAGAGATCAGGATCAACAGCTGTGTTGAGCCTTTAGGAAGACTCAACATCTTCTCTTTGTCTACGCTTTCGATCGCAAACGGCTCAGTCTTACCGAGTGCGCTGGAAAACATAGTTGCCATAACTTTTTCGACCACCTTTGCAAATTGGCGTAATTTGTCTCCTTGATTTTGATCGATGACCTTGATAAGATGTTTGAAGACCGGGTCTGGTAGTCGCAGAAGCCTAAGATTTTGTCAGTACTGTTCTGCAAGGACGACGCTGCCTTACATGTCATCTGTCATGGTGACTGTTGTCAGGTCAGGCGACGACGGCGGTAATAGCCCCATCATTCCAGACCCAAACGTATGAGTCAGCAAACGAAAACGTTCTCCAAGTTTCCGATATCTCTTGAACTTGGAATACACTCTTTCTGAACCCGGTTGGTTTAGCGCAGTATACTGCAGGTCTCCAGACATTGCAAGCGTTATCTCCGCTGCAGCACGGTTCCGCGGATTGCCGCACTTTCGTCCGCTTACGGAGAAGCATCGTTCATCTGTATGGACGATGAATGGATCATCTTGTATAAGCTCGGCAGCTGCGTGTTCATTGTAGAGACTGAGGATGTGACATCGTCGCAGAAGCTCGTAGTACGCGATTTTTGCTCCAAGGCTCTCAATCATCTGTATCCTCTGCGCCAGAGGAAGTGGGCGCAAGGGATCGACTTCATCTTCCGGAACCTTCTCTCTACCGTGGATAAGGCAAGCTTGCAGGACTACAAGTGACTCGCAACTGCCTACTCCTGCGAACAAACATCTAGCGATACTAAGGTGCTCATCCTTTCCCACGATGTTGTCTGCAAACATCGATTCTGGGAGAACGTAGATCCGAGCTGGAAACTGCAATGCCAAACGCTCGTATTTGGCCTTTTCTTCCGAGATGTAACACTCTACAGCCATCCCATCATTGACTGTTTTCTTGTGGCGTTTTGGAGCGTCTGTGTTCTCCCATTGCGACTTCCTTCCCAGAGGTTTATTTCCAGTGTGGAGTGCGCTTGAAACCCTGTCTACTCGCGATGTGTCCTGCTTTCCCCCTAGTAGCTCGGCCGACTCGAATGTATACGGCATTGCGAGTTGCGTATTGTTTCGTGGATGAGCATGAGAAACTTGCTCGATCTCGTACGGTGAAATTCCTTCCCTATTCCAGTGTTCGAACTCTGGTCTACGCTGTGCACTGGTTTCTTGGAAGTCGCAATGAGTCAACATTTGCATTGTGCCATCAAGAGCATTGACTGCGTGAGTGACGTATTCAGTGCCACTGGAATGCATTGTCGAATTGCATGGCTCATGTGCAGCTTCGCTGGAAGTACCACAAGTAAAACTTGCGCCAGCAAGATCGAGATCAACAAAGAGGCCCATTTGAAAGTCCTCAGATTGTGAGACAGAATTCGGATTGCCCCTTTGACTCCCGTCGGTCCGGGGGAGACCCTTTGGATGGGGACATATCTGCTGTTCTACCGAAAGGCTAACACAAACCACGACTAGTTAGCTTATGCAATCGTGCCCCCATATTAGAGAAGACCTACCCTAGTCTATCCATGACTTGGAACACGACATCAAACCGCTTTGCGGAATCCAGCCATATGGCTCCTACCAATGCGCGGATAGCTAAGCTTAACGTCTTAGGTGAAGCTCTTGCTTGCCGTGGACAGTAGGCTATTTGTGCATCTAGACCTGAATTCTTGGCGATTGCTTCATGTCTTGTCATAGTCAGAGCCTTGGACGAGCTCTCGTCCATTGCATCTGTAATCCGTTAAGAATTGACCATTCTCCCTCAGTTTCAAGTGTACCTGCTGAAGCCCCAACCAGAAGCTTCTTATGAATTGCGTAAAGTTCGATCAGTGGCTTTCCCAACCGAGCGAGCACTCTGTTCCCGTCATGATCCCTCTCTTCTACTCCAGGTGATGTGAGTGCCCGAACAAGGATATATTTGTCGGTGAAAATGTATCCCAGAGTCGTCTCTGCCCTCTGAATACGCTCTTGTCGACTCATAGGGCTAGTCATCTAGGTTGGTTGTCGATAACTTGGGCCGGTGTTCAACATCATCAAAAATTTGGGTCTGTGAATAACAGTTTTGGTGACATTCATCCATTTTCGGAATATACACGATGGCCAATGCATGTTGCAAGAAGTACCGTTTTGGGATATTGCGTTGGGCAACTGTCGTAATTGACCAATTCGTCCTAGCGTTTGGACACTGCGTTGAGCGCATCATGAACTTGAGCCCACAGTTAAATACAAGTCGAAACACTAAATTTAAAGAACTATTTGTGTTGAAGCTTGCAACGCCAGTTCTCGACTCGCCAGCTATTCAACAGGGGTTGACGAGATTCGAAAGTGGAAAGTCTGCTAAGAATACAATACATGTCAAAATCTTACCCCATGACGTAGTGATAGTATCTTGAAGTAGATAATGTATCTCGGCCATGCTGGTATCACGAACCATACAATACACAACTTCAGTGTTGGGTTTGCTGTGAAATAACAGGGGGTTGTAAGAGCTTGCGCTAGCGAGAGATTGTCATCATTGAACTACCAGAACACATATGTATCACCATTGGTACTACTCGAGTACCCAATGATTCCAGGGCTCTTGTGGTCCATTATGATTTACTCGACTCAACTTAGAGACAAGTCACATCTGGCTTATGAATCTTGAACATCGGTGCGGTGAATGTGTCCAAATTATCATTATCATAAAAGTCCGTACCTCGTGTAGTCCCTATTAACAGCGTGATTACGGTAGAGGAGAGAATTATGTCCACCGCTCAAGTGTTTTCTGAAGTACATCTTACTATCGACCGCATATGGCGAGACTTCTTCAATGACGCTCCAAAAATACTTAGATCGTGTTCGACCTTAGTGTTCAAAAATAACAGGGCTTGAATTTGGGTATGTTTGAGGGTGTCTCATCTTTAGAGAGAAGAAGCTTCCCAAATCGGAGCTATGCCATATCGTTGCATTGAACCCCTACACTGATGACCGACACTCCCAGGACATCGGCCGTGCAGGAAAAGCTGAGCACACACGCGCTTTTTGGGGTCCGAGTTGTAATTTGCAGAGGGCGCTTTGGTGTCGGCAGCGGTCCAAGTTCCTTGGAACAGGACGTCACAGAGGGTGAGAATCCCGTACGTGGTCGCTAGCCACAACCGTGTAAAGCCCCTTCGACGAGTCGAGGTGTTTGGAAATACAGCTATAAACGGGAGGTAAATTTCTTTTGAAGCTAGATACTGACCAGAGACCGATAGCGCACAAGTAGAGTGATCGAAAGATGAAAAGCACTTTGGAAAGAGAGTCAAACAGCACGTGAAATTATTGAAAGGGAAGCGCTTGCAGCCAAGCCATTCGTGGCCAACACAATATATCTTATTGACTCTGGTTCTCATCTCAGTTTCATCACTAGAACTTGCTATATTCTTCGTGATGGTACCCCCCACAACGCGCAATGGTTCCGAGCCAATCTGTTATCAGTTTCGGGACACTGGCTCCTGCTCGTATGGTACGAGTTGTAGATTTCACCATGTCGGAGACCCAACACACAATGCTCGCCATCCTGGAGGCAAGAAAGTGAGTGTTCTCAAGAGAAGCAAATCGTAACGTTTCCGACTGGAGGTTTATTTGATGTTCTTTTTTTTTTGCGGTAAAGAAAAGGAAGAAGCAACAAGCATCCCAGCATCGGCGACAAAAGTCACAGCAGGACTCAGATGCAATATCTGCCTTCTTTGCGCGATATCCAGGATTCGCGTACGACGATGAACAAGGTGTGGCAGAGGAATTCTATCGGATGTGCGACTTCTTCGCTTGGAACCGGGACGACGACGAACGTCACGAAGCTCGTCAAGCATTCAAAGATGCCTTGGTCATTCAATTCAACAGCCTTTATGGAACCGACGTTTCGGATATTGAGAACTGGCACAAACTTTGTATAGCTGTGTTTATCGAGCCGTTGCCCGTGACTATTCCGGAATGCAAAAAGGTATGTATCTGGTTGATATCTAGTTTCACTGTATCTAATCGTCGTTAGGAAATCGAGAAAATACACGTAAACCTCGTTGATTTGGTGGATGTTTCCAGGCGAGGTGTGAAACTGTTTCCGTCTTTAGCTGCCTTGAGGGTGTACACAATTGAGACGGGAAAGTTCTTTCCAAAGGAATCGGCATACGCAGGCGGTGTCTTGAGGTTCTTACTTCGTGAGATCTTGTAGATCGTAAGAGACAATCAAATGGGAGTCAATAGTACAAGGTGAAGCTTTGATCATCGTATTCACTACTGTTAGCGGTGGTTCTCTGTAGCAAAGGGCCCTTACAAAAATATCAAACGAGTTTCCTTTGCTTACTCAATAACCTACTCATTCTTCAAATGGGTATATAGCTCTCTCGCAGATAGCACGCGACTACGTCTAAGCTTGCCATATCCCAGATGTTTGTGATGATATCTTCATTCAGTATCAAACAGGATCAATTGTGTTGAGGGTTTGTTACCTTGTAAGCCATCGCCTCTTAGTCATCTCTCGCGTGAATTTTAAGGAAGATTATCTCCCCTCGTACCTTGATTGGAGGTGAGATGAGCGGTAGTAACGGTGAGAGTATCAATACGGAGAAATGAATTCAAATACGAGAATATGGCCTGGAAGTGCTACGACCGAAGATTGTGCATAGAATGACGTATCACACTTTGAAGGGAGAAGCTAATGCGGGCCAAATAATGGACATTAGAACAGCTTTCGAGGCCGGAAGATAAGCACGAGTTGAACAATGGAACATGAATTGAAGAAAATTTGGCTGCTGGTGAGTCTGTCCAGAAAGAGGATGCTCACGAATAGGATGCATGAGACTGACGAGAAGACATGGAGGAATATCGTTGTTGCTAGAAATACTTGGCAGGAATTTATACATATGCTTATATCCGAACTTTTGTACTCACGTTTACCTACCGACAATCTTCTTCTCGAGAAATCTCGCTGGTATGTAAACGAGACCGGTGATGATGAAAGTGAACTCGTTCGCGATATCGCCGCCGCCAGATCCAATCAGCTTTCCCAGTGGCCCCACATACCACGTCTCGACCATGCCCATGATCCAGGCGATAATGCCAATCGCAAAAGCAACGCCAGCAGCAATACCAAGCGGCAAGCGACTCGGGTCATTCCACGCATCCAGATCGTAATTGTCGAAGTTCATCTTTCGGAAAATGACATGCTCGCTGAACAGAATGATGAAATACTGCGTGGACCAGTATCCGAGCAGACTGAGGAAATTCTGAAGGTAGACGCTCAGCTGCTCACGACCTCCAATGGCGAGGCCGAGAATCGCAGCAAAGCACAACAACACCCAGATGAAGCGGGGCACGCGAGCGAACGGGCGCGAAAACTGCTGGCACGAGATGGCGGCGCTGTAGATGGAGATGACGTTGACGTTGATGCCGGAGAGTACGAGGAGGGTGAGGATCAGCTTTGCGAAGCCGCGCGGGTACAACATGGTTTGGATGAGGAAGCCGAGGCCGTCGGTCTCATAGACGTCCTTCCAGTCTGCGCGGTTGTTCATGCCGAAGGAGACGACGCATCCTGCGATCATACCGATTGACGTGGGAATCGCAATGCCGAATGTTGTCATCAAGAAGACTTTCCAGCGGGATACGTTGACAGGGTAATGAGCGTAGTAGTCGGAAGCCATGGTCTGCCACGAGGCTGAGCTGCCGTACACGATGGCGATCAAGCTCAGAACCATCCCACTGAGATCGGCGCCTTTGAGTTCAGTCGCGGTGCTGTTGTCTGTATATTTCGCAGTTTCGGCGAAGAAAATAATGAAGATGATGAAGAAGACGAACCAGGCGTATCGTTCGTATATGAGGATAGCCTTGAGTCCAAAGAATGAAATGATCGTAGCGACCACAGCGAGGATAACGATGCCAACGATCAGAGAGATGTGGCCGTCAGCCACAGCCGTCAGCGCCAGACCGCCCGTGATGCAAGCGACGGCTGCCCAGCCAATCTGCACGATGGTGTTGAGTGCCGCGATGACCTTGTTTGGCCACCAGCCGAATGCATATCGCGACACAGAAATCTGGCGCAGACCAGTCGGTGCGCCAAAAGTTGCTGCGAAGCCTGTCGCAGCGCCACCGAGAATGGAGGCGAAGATGGTGATGATGATGGACTGGCGGAGCGCTGCGAGTTGAAAACCACGAGATCAGTCGCAGTACACTCGAATAACATGACAATTACTTACTCAGGCCAAACTCCCATCCCAGGAACCCAGTGGCGAAACACGAAGTGTTCATCGTCCCAGACGCCCACAGAAAGAACATATTCAGCTGGTGGTGCCATGGCACGTGACCCTTGTCCTCGGGTAGTTTTCTGCTGATGGCTTCTGACTCGATGCCGAGTTTTGCATCCATTCTGGCCTCGAAGGCGCGTAGCTTGGACAGAATGCCGCTTTCGCGCTTGACGGGCGCATGGCCGACGCCCTCGCTGTAGACGGACGGTGAGCGCTCCTCGACTTTGCCCATGGTTGCGGTATGGCGGAGATGGTGGAGGGAGGGGTGGCAGTCGTATGGATGTCGTGCGCCAATGGCTTATATCATGAGAAACCCTGCGCATAATCGGCGCCGCGTCATGACCTTGCGATAGGCCGCCTCCGAGCCGATGCGAGCTGCCATTTGTGGCTTAATCGCAAGCTTCGAGCACTCCACTCTTATCTCTGTCAAGCTTTCTCGGCAAAGCTTGGTTGGTTACTATTCCATACACAGCTGTTAGATTCTCGCTTGCTACATCTTTTGGCTGAGGCGTTGTGATGTCTTCTTGCAATTGCCGCCACCTTGCGCGCTGTCCATCGCGCTACCTAGGCGGCTACCGACTATTCCATATCTTTTGCTCCACTTCTTTGTTGACGAAAACGGTCCCTAGCCCCGAGAAGTGGCGCCCGCCTACTCAAATCGCGAATTTTGGTCGTTCTCGTGCGCACGTCGCCTTTCGCAGCCGAGGTCGTCATGTAATCACCCAATCAACGTCCCAAAGCTCCCCTCTCTTACCACCACACATCGCCCAATGTCAGACAGCCCACTCGGTCAAAACACATCGCGATGCTAAATGAAATGGAGGAAATCCAACATTGAAAAAAGCTGGCGCGACAAATCTACCGACTACGCCCGACTGCCCCACACTGCGGGGTCGGAGACTCGACACAATACCATGCGAACCAATATCTAGAAGCCCAGCGCATGCTCAATCGATCTGAGCTGTGAGATCTACCTGCGGATTATAGAAATCTGCGTGAACCTATTTTTCGAAGTTGTAGGTTGCAGTGCTGGCTCCCCGAACCACTGCAATGCACGCAGATGCTCATTGTATCATTCAGTGTCGTCTTCACTGTGGGCTGTTGAAGGCCCATTGGTCAGGATCAGCCATATTGACTGGAATGTACTCTAGCAAGAACACTCTAGAACAAATCAGATACCGAATGTGCGGAGGCAGCTTCTTCGCAATTGAGGGTCTGTACGTCATCGCCAGGCTATATCTCAGCCTCCACAAGACTTCTCAATCATCACACCGCAACATACCACACCACGTTTATCGAACGTCTTCAGTTATCACGGGTTCACCGCGCGATATTCTTTGTAGCATCTACTACATAGTGTTTGGCAACAAAGAGGGTAACGATCAGACGGAGCAGTGCCCCATCCGCCAGGATGTCGTGGGCGAAGACAAGAACTCAGTATATTTGGAGATGGCGGTCATCTTCAAGGCCACCTGCGCTCACTGGGGAAACCCGACCTACTCTGAGGACCAGAGCATGACTGAAGCAGAGTCGATGCGCAGTTGGCCAGAGCCAAAGTACTAGTGCGGCTAAGAGAAGTCTCGGTCTTCTCCCGGCACATATGGTAGTCAGAGGGATACGGATGAGATGTCTCCCACTCATGAGGTTCGTCTGCCTTGAATTTTATAGCTACGAAGACAATCTCTGTCACTTTGCTAGGTTGCCTTGTTTTGAGGTAACATCTTCCTTCACTGGACATCCCCCAAATAGCTGCGAGAAGAGCGGCGACGAGTAGCAGTGGCGATCTCTATCAAGGATACAGTATGAATCAACCGATATCAGCGTTGGCTTGAGGACACCGCCATTGAAGATGCACTTTTTGACTTACGCTCTTACTCCCTACGCTTACAGCCGCTATTTCCTCCACCTCCTCATCCTCCTCGTCCCAACCCTCGATTTTCGCCATAGCTCGTTGGCCCTCAGCCAGATTTATACCTGGCTAATTAGCCGCCGGGCAGTACGCTATCTCAGCTGCGAGACTAGGCATGGCACGAAGCTTGGCGAAGTATAGTACCATGATAGCAGGCTTGACATCACACGAGCGGTCTACAAAATGAGGTTCTATACCGTGAGTCGTAGCAAATTCAGCTAGGCCACTAAACTCCACCGATTTCTAGTACTCTGGCAGCTTCTTGGTTCGAAAATCTGCTGATTCTATGATTGTTCGCTGGGTGTCGTTTGGAGTTGTACAGGCGGGTGAAGACGTTATGTGTTTGAGGGTGTGTATGTGGTCTCTTTGTAATCTACTAGTCAATAGACGAGATGCGAAGCCCTTTCAAAGATTTACACTCTCACAAGGTTGGAACCTTTTGCGCACTATCTCCAAACAAATTGTGATTCTGACTTCCAATTATCTTTGTTTTCTCACACCATTGCGGTACTCACTCATCGATTTTCCAAACTACCGCCTTCTAGAATTAGAAGCAAGTCGATTAACATAATCGTCATAAACATAGAGCCAATCGGCTGTGTGCTCTACTTTCAGCGCATTCCAAGTACAAAATGCAGTCCCAACCAGTTTTCGTAGTAAGTCCCACAAAAACTATGCAATCATCACTAACCCTGCCGGCACCCCCAACGCTGATTTTCTGCCCTTTTCATGGCTGCTCGACGGAGGTCGCCCTGCTATAAACCCGGCCCTGCTTCTTCGGGCTTCTCGCAGGCGTGGAAGGGCCGCGCGTCGTATGCTTACGCTTCCGCGGCAGTTGCGATACCGCCTACCCGGCCTGTGCATTGACTAGATCGGTCTCGTTCCAGAGGGCGCACAAATGCTAATGCTAAAGCGTGTTATTGGCGAAGAGTAACAATTCTGGTCTGAAACGGCACTTTGAATAGCTTTGCAGAAGTTACAACCACCTTGCACTCGATCATGTATTCAATCAGAAAAGAGATCCATAACATCAGATCCTTTCAGATCCTCACTCCCCTCCACCGCCCAGTCTAGGTGCTCTACGAATGCCACCACCGCTTTCTTTACCTCATCCGCACTAGCATATTCGCCAGTCCAACACTTATGCACGATTTCCCACATACATTCAGCCTCTGATGACGGCCCGGACCGTCCCACCAATCGGCTCCCCGGCCAATCTCCCGTCATGAGATTGTACACCACACACCCGCATAGGAATAGGTCAGTCTGCTTAGTCGGTGTCTCGTGTCGACTGAGCACGTGGAGACATTCAAGACTTGAATTATCGCTCTCGATGATGTAGCTGTTTCTCTCCGCCCGACAGAAGCCAGCGTCAAGAAAGCTGACGAGGAACAGGGAGAGATGATTGTCAGAAGACAGCCAACAATGCACTATGTCCAGGTTACCGAAGATGATGTCGTGGGTATGGACAAAGAATTGGGCCTGAGATCGAGTGGAGTGCCCATTGATAGATCAGAGGCTGATGTGCGGGGATGATACGGGTCGACGGTGCGTTCAACGGGACGCTGTACATAGTGGTTGTATGCTTAAAAAGAACTCGCTCGATGGAGGACCTGAAGGTTTTGCGAAGACGGGAAACGCCGTCCATAGGTCTCGACGCAGGAATCTGTTAGTTTTAGTCGGCAAAAAGCGATAAGAAGGATCTGTAGATGAGACCGGACTCACGGTGCCAAGTGTGGGTGATTCTGACCGATTTGCTCGTAGACTGCCCTTGTTTTCCAGCAGCGCTCTGCATTACACTCTTCTCGCCACCTAGCAAAGAGCGTGACATCTTCGTTGGGGTCGAGGTGGTATCCAGCAGGCAGCAATATGACCGAGTCGTCGTCAAGCTGTGTTGCGTTGACCAGCCCAATTTCGGCACCAAAGCCGGGCAGATGGAAGGGAATCGATTCTGGTCGTTTGCGTGTGGCAAATGGTTTGATCACGGGGCCACGAGCTGTTCTAGTCATGGTCCGACTTTTACACAGCCTAGAAGCCGAGTGAGATGAGCAGTTCTCGGCGTAGCAAACGCCGAGACATGCGGAGTCACGTCACGCAAAGTTTAATTAGGTGAAGTTACATGTCAAAATTAGAAGACACATCAATATTGTTTATAGCTTGAAACGTTGCTGTAGGGGTGTTCTTCCATGCAAATATCTTTGAGTATCTTTGAAGTGCATATCTGCTCGGATACAAATCGTTTCCTAGTGCTCTCTATAGGAAGTCTAAAAGGTGATCCATTAACCCGTCTATATATAGATCATCCAAATGCACTTCAAACTTTTACCACTCAACTTCAGACTACACAAAACACAGTAGTTTCTGGCCTGATATAGTGATTAGAGTCAGCAAGCAACATCGACCACTCGCAGGGCGACTCGCTTCGCTTGATACCCCTGCTAGCTTGAGCGGGGTAGTTCTCTGCCTCCTGCAACTCTCTTCCCTTCGCTCTACACAATACAACCTCAATCAGAACCCAACTTAACCAAAAGTCGAATCCATGCTAAGCCTCGTTGACCTTCCGAGCGAGGTACTTTCCACCATTATTGAGCTTGTGCTTGCTCCGTCCACTTTCCCTCAGGATGCCAAACGCTGCAGACCAGCCTGGAACGCAGGCCACCGTCAAGTTATTTGCGTTCCGGACCTAGGCGGAACAAGACCCACCAATTCCATAGATCTCCTACTTACGAACCGGAGACTCCATGCTGAAACTGTACATTATCTGTCAAAAACCGACATACCCCAGGTCTTCAAACTCGATATAGCCATCATAGATGGCCATTGGATCTGGCCAACGTGGCGATACGTTCCGACGCATATGTTCAGCCGACAAGTCGACCTATTGGAATTTAACATCATACCTTGCTGCACAGAGGATGAGCGCGTACTGCAATCTGACTGGGAACCTGATGCGCTCATATTCAAAGCTATCGCTGAGGTTATGATGATCACAGCCTTCCAAGTTGTCGCATTTGGAATCGCGGGAACGAACCTCTGCAGCTTGAAATCAGAGAATCATGACCCTGATTCGACATTTCAAGAGTCTTGTAGCCGACAAATCAGAATGATGGCCAGCAGAGTCGACATGTTAAAACAATACAAAACTGGAAACCAACCAATCAGCTATCAGGATATACCAATTCGAGAGATTGCCGACTTAGCGCATCTCACCTTTGATCCTCTCTATCCTATGGATTCAATTCAGAACTTACAAACCCTAGATCAGAATTTGGTAGAGGCTGTAAATCAAATCGAGTCACGGGGTAATTCGAAGTGGAAGACCGTCCTCGAGCATATTCACGATTTCCTGCTGTATAAACCCGAGCCACTCATTCTCCTTGACAATGAGTAAACCGTATCAAACCTCAACCTGCCAATTATTCAGCTAGCGGGACACATGTAGCAACATGCAGACGATGAATGCAACACAACAGCTTAGGATAACACGATGCACATCGAATACAGATGGGAGAGGGTTTCTACAGTCAAGTATGGTTTCTAGCAGCTTCCGTCGAATGTACGATCATTTTGTCTTTACCTGTCGTGTCTGATCTCTCACACGATAGCACTCACTTGTTTTTGCCTGCCTATATGTATGGATCCAGTCAGCCCGTAGTTCGACTAACAACTCAACTCAGCTCAGCACATTTCTTTTCTCCACCTTGCCTAGTCTGACAGCCGATATAACCTTCTCCCGCACTCGAGAACACTCAAAATTGGACTTAACAATGGTTGTGGGCAGTGCATTGATGGTGTGAATGATACAAAAGTTCGTAACGGGACTTGGTTGAGGACGTTAGTGACACAACCTCTACTAATGCCAGGTAGACCAAGTCATCCTGTGTCTTCAAAATCGCCTTCATATCTTGATGACAGCTTGCATTCCGTTTCCACCTCGTTCGAGTTCTTTCACTTTTGGTCTTTCCTTATCCGACCAAGTTGTTCCAAGTGTTCCTCTCAACCGGTTCGGTCCAACTCACTTTCACTTATTTTGTTAGTTGGTGCTACAAGAACTTCATCGCGGGGCGCTGAACTTTCGCATTATTCCTCTCACAACTGTTACTCCACCAAAGCCTCAACATGGCGCCTAACGAACCCGATCTGTCGCTATTCCTCAATCCGAATCTCTGTGCAAATACCGATCGGTGCGCTGATGGCGAACTGTCACCTTGTCCAAATCATGCATCACTGGCGTGCGGCAAATGCAAGCTTGTTCAGGTAAGTAGCTTCGCGTTATTGCCAACTATCGACCCCCGCTCCCGCTCTTAGTGGTTGTTCTATATTTCTTCTTTGCTTGCTATACCCTTGCTTATATGGGTAGTATTGCTCGAAAGATTGCCAGGTCGCCGATTGGCCCCGTCACAGATTCACGTGCAAGTCTGCCTTGATGAAAGAACATTGGACACCGGACTGGTTTATAGCTGGTCGGAAACCTGCCTTCATTGGGAGCTCGTTATCTGTGCCGTTTGGCACAACGAAGTATCTGTGGGGAAACATGCCAGCGCTGGACATCCTACAGGTGAACGACAACGAAGGTATCGCGGACAAGGATCGCCACTTTTCGCTGCTCTTTGCAGCATCTGGTGATCTCCGCAATGTCATCAAATCGGTGGTCGGTCTACCGGGAGGTCATATGGGTGGATGCACTGTTGCCATCAACGACAAAGATTTCGTTGTCGTGGCGCGCAACGTTATCATGCTTCTGATTGCGCTTCAATTTGACCCAGAAGCTGCTGTGCCGATGATCATCCACCTCTGGTACTCGGCCTTGCTCCCTGCTGACATGGTACTAGTTTTGCGATCTCATATCCAGCCATTAATTGGAGATGTTTGCGCAAAGATTCACAGCAAGCCGGAGGGCTCCCTACAAGCAAAGACGTTCACGATCGGTGGTCGGAAGCTGCGTCTCATGTTGTCAAAAGAGAATTGGGTTGAGCTCCTCAAGTATCTTGATGTCCCGGGAGAATTCACAGCAGAGAACTCCAGGACGATCCGACAGCGAGTCACATGTGCTCCTGAGAGGGTCGACTACCGCGAGCGTTCTATGCTGCAGTGGTCTCCCGCCCTTCGCCAAGGAGAAAAGTACTTTCGCGAGGAAGGGGTTCTTCTACCATATGGCTGCTCGCTCAATTCATTTGACACGCCGAATCCGTAGGTGTCGCTATTAACAAGATTGATCCGCGTCACTGACTTGACAAAGAACATTCTTCCAGACATCAGACTGGCCGATGAAAGATAGTGCAAGCCCTCGACAGGGATGGCTCTATTCAGATTACGTCCAATACGCTCCGGCCGCGACGGCGGATGAGTTTGGTGCTCTTTTCTTCTACGTCCGCAAGCTCCTGCTCGACTTTTGTCATCGGGTGCACAAAATCGACGTTTCCTTCGAGCTTTTCCACGTGAACGCACAATCGTTACCAAGCTACATTGGTTACTCGAAGTTCGATCGTATCGAGGTAGGTCCCGTCATGCATCTTCAGCTCAGTTATCACTACCTCTGACCTTTGTTGACGACCTAATAGATCTCCAATATGTGCGATATGGGGTACCTCGGACCTCGTATCTGTCTTGAGACATTCTCGGACCTCCTCAAGCCCAAGTCGCAAAACCCCAAGGCCACGCTTCTCATGTTATTTCTCAACGCCGCTGCGGAAACGGAATATAACAATCGGTCACCGGGGAGCGTCAAAGCAGACATGGCGACAGCAATGATGCGTCTGGAGAAGTACATGCCACTCGACAGATCTAGATTGGCACAGATTCGCAACGCAGATGATCTGGGAAAGCACCCTCATTTTGTCCGCCGCTCTGCTTGCTATGACATGTTCAAGAATTGGGAAAAGTACTTCGACCTGTTTTTGTACCAGAACAGCATCGACATGCATGCGAGGTCTTGCGGGCTACAGCTCAAGGACAAGCACACCATTGTGGAGCCTTGGCCATACAAAGTGGGTCCACGCACTACACAGAAGGAGTTCGACATTCTGAGGGCTAGCAGCACGGTTGGGTACGAGCGCTATGTGGAATTTGAGAAGACAGACTGATCAATACATTTGTGGGTGATGCTGCAAGGCAACCTCCATGGGAGAAGATTTGGCAGGATATGAACTGTACACTCCTCACCTTCGGGCTCTTGCAAGTCATGGAGGAACCAGAAGAATGGTAAAATCGGGCGCACAACTCAGGAACGATGAACATCTCGTATGTTTCAAGTAATCTTTCGTTGAAGTTACGATCTGTATGCGACTCTACTGTGGACGCTCTGAATCAAGATCATTCGATTTCACTGTGCTTTTGCTTTACTTTCGAGACACATTTTGCAGCGATCAGTGAGCTCAGAACATCAGTGTGTCTAAGTTAGCGTGTCTCTCGAACTCTGACTGCTTTGATGCCTGAGTAGTCTTTCAGAGAGAGATCTTTACGATCATTTATAAGGTTGGCAATTTGGAAGATACCAATAAGCATACTGACGTCCGTGACCCTACTAAAAGTGTGCGCAAGTTTCCCAGACTGGAAATTCTTTGATGAAATGTTTGCATGATCATGGGTGCGATATAAGAACACGTGGAACAATACTAGAAGAAACCTATGCATGTGTTTGGTCTTATGCTAACTCTAGATTACAAGCCATCCAGGCACACATGATTGAATCTGCATTGGAAGGCAACGTGTTCGGTTTGTATACACCCTCGGATAGACTAATTAGCGAAGGAGTTGCAAAGTGTTGAGGTTGAATTTCCGTTGCACGTTGCACATCCAATACATTCAAAAGTCTACCTAGTCAATCTCATATTTCTCTCATGCCCTTACCGTACTAGTCAGCAATGATTCAATATGTCGAGGACTTCGCAGCAGCAGCAGCCCTAGCACCCTCCTCATCATGCGCGACAACCTCAACCTCAATCCTCATCCCCGGCAAGCCAAGCTGATTCACTCCAAGGCAAGTCAAGATAGGTCGGTGATCAGGCGCCCATTTCTTCAGGTTTCGTACGGAGGCCACAACGGATTTTTCGTTGATGTCGGTGAGATACAACGTGACGCGGTAGACTTGGGACCAACCCTTACCGCCAGCGTGTTTGAGCGTGTGTTCCACGTTGGAAAAGGCTTGGTCGATTTCGTCGTCGATGTCCTCATGGATTTTGCTAGTTTCTGGATCCCAGCCGCCTGAAGGAATAGTAAGCGTTTGTTTTCTTGAACTTGAAGTAAGTCCTTGTAACATACCCTGTCCGGCGATCTCGATACGGTCACCAACACGTACAGCCTGGCTGTACCAGAGCTCTTCACGTTTGGCCTCGCCAAAACCCGGGTAGCAGTAACATTGTAGGTGGGCCATGATAAGATGTGATGAGAGTTGTTGTGGAGTGGAGAATGAATGATGACTGGAGTTTGAATCAGTACTTAACTGGCTTTAACATGAAGTAGAAGCTTGGGACTGAGATTTAACTCCGATCATATTATCAATCATGTGCTGAGAAAGTTTGGAACTGTGGTTCAATGAGATGGTTGCCTGACCGTGCCTCATTGCAGCGGTTGGCCGAATATGGCCAAATCCGCTCATCCGTTTGGGCGGACCCGAACATACCCACTCGCCAAGTACCGCCAAGACGTGTGGCTCAAATTGCCATACACCAGAAATGCAAGGAGATCTCCTTACTGATCGAACTAGTCATCTTGATGCCTATCCTTTCTATATGCGGACTGAAATCATCGGTGTCCCTTGTCGATGTGTGCCTCAACAGAGTAGGTAGTGGGGAATAACACAATATTACACAACAGCAATGTGCATGTCAGCCATGAAGGTTGGGAGTGAGTGTTTTTTGCAAAAGGTGGAACAGATATACAATGTGACGTCATCGTTCTCTTCGCTCATCGATTGATCCCTACCAACTGTCTAGTCCAAGGACCTGTAGCTCGAGTATTGTGATGCATTGTTTCTGCTCTCTTTCTTTCATCCGTTCTACTCTTCCGTTTCCTTTGTCAAAGATTTCGCATACTCCAAACGCAAAAGGTCCTCCCTCGCGTACAACACGGCAGCCCACACCAGGCCACAACCAAACAAGTGACTGGCCGTACCTGCGACAATGAAAACAACGACTTTGGAGAGCAGACCAAGGCTGCAGCCGCGTAAGTAATAGATCATGTCCACTATTCGAGTAGCGTAAATGCCACCAGCAATCACTATGATGATATAGTCCCATTGCAAGAAAAACGTATACTCGTTAATGAACACAGAATTCGCAGTGTCTGATTTCCAGAGACTGCCAATTTTAGGGATAAATGCCGCGGATAGAGAAACCGAGGTATCCTTGGATGAAGCCAGCAGCCACATGACCGCAACGTGGGTTACCCCCGAGAATGCCCCAAACACCGAGTAAGTGGCCTTGATCCAACGTGCATCTGCGTTCTGTGATTGAAGATTCAGCTTCTCATCTCCACGAGAGAGAGACGTAGAGAGAGCTGCGAGTGCACAGTAGCAAAAGACTGGGGCTAATTGCCAAACCGCGAGCCAGGCCTGATGCTGGGATGTTGTTATGCCAGCAGGTGGGAAGTAAACCATGCGGTACAAGTGCAAGATGGTGACCGTACTGGCTGGCAACAGCGACTTGGCTTGAAGATATGGTACGGTAGGATCGGCCGCTTTGCGTTGAGGAAGATGACTTTCGAGTTCGACCACGAAGTAGAGCGGTACGAAAATAGCAGCGCCTAGGTATTGCCACACAAAAACATTGACCGGAGACCTTGTACCATGAGCGATAATGCCTCTTGGCTTTTCTAAGACAACTCACCAGCGTAGTATGATGTTCTTGTCTTGTCTGCGCAGACTCTCGATCATAGCAAAGACACCCAGGGATTGCAGAGAGGCACTCAACGTCTTGGAGAGGAGCAGTGTCGAGCGCGACTCGTGGCAAACGGGGTCCCAAAAACTGACTGACCAGGATAGGATGTCGTCGATGACGGGGTAACCCAGGTATACGTGGTGCAGGGTCTTCCCGTTACTGAATACACCTTCTTTTGCGTGTTTTTTCATCGCTTCCAATCCACCGTTGAGATTGAAGAGCCCTTGGAGGAGGACCACGGCGAGAGCGGACAGGGTGAGGAGCGCGACTCGTATTCCAGTTATCGCCATGGTGTATAGCCTGATCGAAGAATTTGAGCGGAGTAAAAGTTGAACCTCAGTCAAGTTCGATCAAGCTAAGATACTGTCTTGTATATATGATCTTGAAAATATGTTACGCTAGATTTCCAGAGTATGTTGGTTGTCCCTGCTTGTTCGTGTAGGGTCATAGATAGATCGTAACAGGGATTACGGTAATATCCAAAATGGAACAGTCCGCATCAGCCCGCTAAACTACAAACGTCAAGTCCTTATGCTAGACTGAACATTGAGTGTGTTCGACTTACCTGTTCTGCTCAAGAAGCGCAGCTGAATCCTGAATTCCCCACACGTAACTGTCGTTCTTGAAACAGTCGGCCATCTTCCAATTTCGATGTACCTATAGATTCTCCGGGCGCATCACTTGATCTTCAGTTGAGAAAGCTACCACCAACCTTCATCGTCATTCAATCAGATTTTACAGGTCATGAACTCATCTAAGTATGGTGCTATCAAAGCAGTCGCATTTAAGGACATGCCACGATCAAACAACCCATCAGACACCGAGAAAAGCTCGGCAGACGAGTCCCCCGGAGTCAAACCACTACGAAACTATTCACGTACGCAATGGACTCTAGTCCTCGTAGCCATCTACTGCAGCCAGTTCCTGTACGGTCTGGACAACACAATCGTGGCCGATATCCAAGGCGCCGTGGTCAATGATTTTGGCGAGATTGGAAAGCTGGGGTGGCTGGGAATTGGGTTTCCGCTCGGCAGCGTAGCGACGATTCTCACCTTGTGAGTTCTTAGCAAACTCGAAGCGGTGCAAGATGATAGAGTAACAAGATACAGCGGGAAGGCGTACGGGATTTTCGATCTCAAGTGGCTTTACATAGGGAGTATGGTCATGTTCACTGCTGGGAGCGCTCTCTGTGGCGCTGCTCCGAATATGATCTCTCTCATCATCGGTCGAGTTTAGGCCGGAGCTGGAGGAGCGGGAATGTATCTTGGGTAAGGGCGTACTAGGCTTTCGAAGAATGATACTTACATCTCTTCATAGTGTTCTGAACCTGATATCAGTCAACACAAGTATGCGTGAGCGTTCTGTCTACATCGGCATGAGCGGCGTCGTGTGGGGTGCAGGCTGCATCTTGGGACCAATCATCGGAGGCTCGTTTGCTGAGAGTTCTGCCACGTGGCGATGGGTGCGTATCTCTTTCCAGGGCGACCAGCTTGAATGGAACATCCACTCACCGATCCAGGCCTTCTATCTCAATCTAGTCCTCTTTGCGGTGTTCAGTCCAGTGTTGCTTTTCGTCTTGAAGCCCTACAGCTTTCAACCCGATATCCCATTTGCGCAAAAGCTCAAGAGTATCGATTGGGTTGGCGTCGTGCTCAATGCAGCTGTATACACTATCTTCGTTGTAATATTCACTGTCGCCGGCGTAGAGTGGGCATGGAACGACAACCGAACCATTGCCATGTTCGTTGTATTCGGTGCTGTCTTCGTCGCCTTCATTGCCAGCCAACTTTTCAGAATTGGTACCACAAAGGTCAACAGGCTTTTCCCAGGAGACTTCCTCCGCAACAGAACACTGGTTCTTCTCTATATTTGTCAGGCGTGTGCTGCGACTTCACTCTTTGTTCCGATATACTGTGAGTTCAAAAGACGTGAGCACTGCAGGCGTACTGACATCCCCAGATATACCGGTGTTTTTCCAGTTTGTCTTCGGAGACAGTGCTATTGAAGCAGCAGTCCGTCTGCTTCCGGTCATTTGCATCGGCGTAGCTGCAAACATGTTACAAGGAATACTGTTGCCTCGGCTCGGGTAGGTGCCTACGCTTTCCATTCATACTGATCGTCAGAGTTCTAACGACCAATTCGTAGATACTACATGCCATGGTTTCTCGTGGCAAGCATCTTCAGCGTCATTGCCGGAGCGCTGTTCTACGCTGCCGTGGACATGACCACGACCGCGGGCAGTATATATGGCTACTCCATACTGCTCGGCCTAGGCGCAGGTCTTTCCCAGCAAGGAGCTTACTCAGTGGCGCCTACCCAGGTATCACCGGATCGTGTTCCTGATGCAGTTGGGTTTATCAACACGGCACAAATTGGTGCCAATGTGATCGCACTGACTATCACATCTTCCATTTTTCAGAACGTCGGATTCCGTCGCGTCTCCGATGCGTTGAGCGGGCTGGGATTCTCAGCTGTTGAGATTCGAGGTGCACTTGCTGGCCAGAGGTCTGCCGTCTACTCGCAAGTGACGCCTGAGGTCCGCCAACACATCACCGAGGCCATCCTGAGAACAATCAACGATGAATACATCCTGGTCATCGCAGCTGGAATTCTTGGTGTTGTTGCGTCCTTGATGATGAACCGGGGAAAACTCCAGATGGAAGTGGCAACAGGTGGTTGAGAGACGACATGCCACTAGGTCGCACGACAATATTCAGTCACATGATGCAGTCTAGCCCATGTTAGCTAGTGCATCCATCCACGTGCCTGAATTTCAAGGCGTGACCCAGAAGTATAATAGCTCGAGCAGGTTGATTATCTGCAAAAAGGCTGTTGTTACAATTGGGGTATAACGTTGGAGATAGTATAGATCAAGAATAGGGTTTACACGTTTTTCAGCATTCGATAGCTGCGCGTGGCGATCCACTTTTTATTGTGGGCTAGTGAGCTAGAAAGAAAGCACAGCCGAGAGGCGATCCTAATCACAACTCCTGTCCCAACGCAAAGAACGCCGTATCTCATTTGGTTTTTTATCATAGATGTAAACTCAACCCTTTCTGCGACTGTGCGATCGCCCAGTCCATAGCCCTAATGACAGCCTTGATCTCGACGTCCTTCTGCGGCGGATGATGGCCGCCGCCATGTTCCAGCTTCTTCACCAACTTGTCGTCGCACAGGCCCCGCGCAGCTTCAGACATGCTGCGCATGAAATTAGAGTCGCGCTTTCCTGTGATGTGTACAGTGGGTATATGAATCCTCTCTTTGAGCAGTAGGGGGTGCATGAGTCTAGGTGCGTCAAGGCCATCACCTTCCGTGTAGACACCCAAATCAAAGTCCGGGAGCATAGCGCGATTTTTTCTGGCCGGCACAACGGTCCGCAAGAGGAGGTCGATAAATATGCGCTCCTCGCGCAATGGAGATGGCACGGCGCCTGCCGCGGGCGGTGCTGTCAACTCCCGCCGATGAGATCGTAGTCGATCGAAAATACCCTGGCAGTAACCAATGTCATCGGAACATGGCATTACAGACGAGAAGATGAGAGCGAACTTAAAGGGCAATGGTTTCCGACATGCTTCGTGCTGGTACATATATGCGATGAGCACGGCCGCGCCCTGGCTGAAGCCCAACACACCGTCAAAAGGACCAAGCTCGTCCAAGGTTTCATCGATGTAATCCAACGCTTCAGCCATCTTCAAAGGCGAATATCCCACTGTATGAGAGAAGAAAGGTCCTTCGACGTGCGCGCTTACACCTACATTGACACTTCTTGTTAACCTTTATGTTCTGGTACGAGAGATTGGTGGGAGAAGGCGGTCTCTTACCTGGGCCTCGCGGCGACGCAAATGGACCATCGACAAATATAAACTCGTATGCTGGATCGACAGCTTGAAGAAATGAACGCAGCTGGTTTTCCAAAATGTTCGCCGAACTACCCACGCCGTGTAGACAGAGTAGCCTCATCTTCGACAAAAGAGATGTGAACTTCGTGACAAAGAACGGAAAATAAATCTCGGGTGTGAAGGGAAGAATAGTCGACTTCCAATGCAAGCCTCGTAGGAGTATTGAACGACTTGTCTAACGATTATGACCAGCTAACACAAGTAGCAAGTAACACTGGAATGAGAACTCGCGCATATACCCGTTTTGGTCATTTCCGAGTGTCGGCAGTGGCCTCACCCATCTGCTTCGCCATCCTTGGCGTAGGTAAGACATACGACAGGCCAAGTCTCAGCTCAAGTCATCGTTTGACGTAGTGGGAATGCGGAGTGTCTGTTCTCGGGCTCAGCGAGTGGGTCTTTGCGGGTTCGCGCAATGTTTGTTTTGGTTCTGCTGCCGTGCAAGAGCCGCACCTGGAGACGCCTTGTCCAGCCATTTCAGGTTGGTCATTCCAAGATAGGCAAGCAAGAGCTTGAATGATGATCAGGTAAGGTAACGTTTTGTTCGAAGCGATATAATCCACGTATACATACCCTGGCTCTGATATCTGTCTTTCTGTACTTCCACTATTTTCACTTTCTTGAACCCAATCGGAGTTGTTTCTATCGCTCCCCACACTACAGAAGGGTCGTCATGGCACACTTAGACAAGCAAGAACCTATTGCCATCATTGGCGCTGCATGCCGACTACCTGGAGAGGTATCCTCATTGGGCAACCTGTGGGATATGGTCAGTCAGGCGAAGACGGGCCACTGCAAAATCCCATCTGAGCGGTGGAACGCAGATGTCTGGTACCATCCAGACGAAGATAGGAGAGGAGGGGTAAGAGAACTACTAGACATCCGGCAAGAGAACTAGATTGACTGACGTTACGCTCTGAAGATATCTCTGAAGCATGGTTATTCTCTCCAACAGGATGTCGGTCACTTTGATGCACCGTTCTTTTCGACTACGGCGAAGGAGGCGGCAGCTATGGATCCCATGAAGCGGCTTCTTCTTGAAGTGGCCTACGAAAGCATTGAGAGTGGTTAGTGTTGCCGGGTTTGGAGTTGTGGGGAGCTAACAGTATCGCTTCAGCTGGTATCCCAGTGAATTCGTTGATAAATTCACAAACAGGGTGCTATGTGGGATGCATGACCAATGACTACGAGGTACTATCACTACACGATATCTACGACTTGGGTCACACAGCCGCATCAGCTACCAGTGAAGCCATGACTGCGAACCGGGTTTCTTGGTTCTTCGGACTGCAGGGTCCCAGTCTGACGCTCGACACAGCCTGCTCCTCGAGTCTGTACGCCTTGCATCTCGCCTGTCAGTCATTGAAACTGGGTGAGACAAACATGGCAAGTTCCTCTACTGTAGTTGGACAGTAATCGATGTGCTGATACATGTTGTAGTCGCTCGTGGCAGGTGTCAACTTAATACTCAACCCCAACACGATGCACCAGCTCTCGGCCATGCACACGTTGAGCCCTGAGGGTGTATCACATACCTTTGACGACCGAGCCAATGGGTACGGGCGTGGTGAAGGCATTGGCTGCTTGGTGGTCAAACGTTTATCGGATGCGTTGCGGGACGGAGACACTATTCGTGCCGTGATCCGAGGCACTTCGGTGAATGCTGACGGAAAGACACCCAGTATCACGCAGCCCAGCTCTACAGCACAGGCAGACCTGATCAAGAAGACTTATGAGGCGGCAGGCCTGCCCCAAACGGAGACACAGTACTTTGAGAGCCACGGAACTGGCACGCCGGTTGGGGTAAGTAGCTGTCCATTCCGGTCTGGATGATTTTGCGTATCGATTGACGTGCTAACGTATGGCAGGATCCTATTGAACTAGAAGCCATCGCATTCACTCTGGGTGCGAGCCGTGCTGCTGCTGGTCTTGGGCCTCTGTATGTAGGCAGCATCAAGCCCAACGTAGGGCACACTGAAGGCTGCTCTGGACTGGCCGGGGTGCTCAAAGCCGTGACTTGTCTGGAGCAGGGCATGCTTGTACCGACATACGGTGTCGAGAACATCAATCCCAGGCTGAGATTGAACGACTGGAACATCGCGTTGCCGCCACAGCTGATGAAGTGGCCAGTTCGTGGCCAGCGTCGTATCAGCGTCAATTCGTTTGGCTTTGGCGGCGCCAATGCGCATGCTATTCTTGACGATGCTCACTATTATCTGGCGCATCGTGGACTTGTAGGCAATCATAACACCGTTGTGCATGACGATGACGATAGCTCCGAGTCAGGCATCAGCGTCGGCACTAACACGCCACCGACGGAGGATGACCATACGCAGCGACTCTTTGTCTTCAGCACAAAAGATCAAGCAGGCAATCAGCGGATGGCAGGCGTATATGCCAACGCGCTAGACAGTCCAGGTTTGAATAAGTTTGATACACGATACCTGAGCAACCTTGCGTACACGCTCGCATCACGGCGGTCCCCACTTGAATTTCGCAGCTATGCCGTGGCCTCGTCGAAGACAGAGCTGAGTGCCCAGCTACTCAAGGGACTGCCAAAGCTCGCTCGCTCCTCACGCCAGGAGAGCAATCTGGTGTTTATCTTTACGGGCCAGGGCGCCCAATGGCCTGGAATGGGGCGGCAGCTAGTCAAGAACGCTGTGTTTTTAGAGAGCATCCAAACATCGCAGCGATACCTGGACGCGCTGGGCTGTGAGTGGAGCGCGCTTAAGGAGCTGGAGAAGACAGAAGGCTCCCTCATCAGCCTGCCTGAGTACAGTCAAACACTGTGCACCGTGTTGCAACTGGCCCTCATCGATCTGTTGCAGTCGTGGAGCATATCCCCTGGTGCCACCGTTGGACACTCAAGCGGCGAAATTGCTGCCGCGTATGCTGCCTCAATGCTCACTCACGCCGACGCGATCAAGGTGGCTTTTTTCCGCGGTCTCTGCTCCGCTGCGGTCACCCGTGAAGGTGCCATGATGGCTGCTGGCGTCTCAGAACATGAAGCGAGTGACTACCTGGCACACGTGACCGAGGGTACTGCCGTTGTGGCTTGCATAAACAGTCCCTCCAGTGTGACGCTGTCCGGCAACGTCGAGGCCATCGACAAGCTCGAGGCCCTCATCTCGGGCGCCGGCAAGTTCGCACGCAAGCTGAAAGTTGAGACAGCGTACCACTCGCAACACATGGCCGAGGTGGTTCAGGACTACTTTCACGGCGTTGGCGAGCTCTCGCATTCCATCGCCGGAACCAGCAGAACACTCATGTTCTCGTCACTCAAGGGCCGGCTTATCGAGTCGGCCCAAGAGCTTGATGCGGAATACTGGGTGTCTAACATGCAGTCTCCTGTGCAGTTTTCTGCTGCTGTCAGTTCCTTGCTCAATCATCCAGCGCAGCCTGGCAAGAAGGCTCCCGTACGCTGGGGAGCCTTCGTCGAACTGGGTCCACACACGGCGCTGCAGGGACCGGTACAGCAGATCATTACCAGCATTGGCGCCAACAAGGCGGCCAAGGATGCTCCGTACCTGGGAATGGTCCTGCGCAACAAGGATGCTGTCACTACGGCTCTCGAGGGCGCAGGTCAGCTTTGGGCTACGGGCTACCCTGTTAACTTGACAGCCGCCAACGGGAGCGAGAGCAGCGTCACCGGTCCAAAGGCTCTGACCAACCTACCCCCGTACCCATGGAACCACGGAAAGCGCTTCTGGCATGAGTCGTACTTGATGCGCTCGAATCGCTCGCCAGCAGCACCACGCACAGATCTGCTTGGAGTACCTGAAGACATGCAGAACAAGGCGGAGCCGCGATGGCGCAACCACCTACGCATCACCGAGAATCCATGGGTCGAGGACCATAAGATCACTGGCACTGTGCTGTATCCCGCTGCGGGCATGCTTGTCATGGCCCTCGAGGGCGCCTTTCAGACGGTGACGGAGCCAGCAACCCGAGCAAAAGTGTCAGGCTTCCGTTTCCGCGACGTCTCGTTCGATCGCGGACTTGTAGTGACGACTGGGGACGATGCGGCTGTTGAGACGCGGCTGAGCTTGTTGCCGCATCCCACTGCAACAGGTCAATTCAAATTCACCGTCTACTCGACCACAAATGGGACCTCCTGGACAAAGCACTGCTACGGATCTATTGCGCTCGAATATACCATAGATACCAGCCATGTGGAGGATGCAGTAGCACTGGGAGCCGAATGGGAACGGCATACCATCTTGTACAAGAAGATCCAAGACGATAGCACGGCCGAGATCGTTCATGTCGACGGCTTCTACGAGCACCTCGAGCGCATCGGAATGGACTACGGCCCGTTGTTTCGCAATGTAGTGTCGTTGACGACGGTCCCGCGGCTGCATGCCGCTCATGCCCACGTGGTGCTACCTGATACCGCCTCGAGTATGCCCGCCGGCTTCGAGTTCCCTCATGTCATGCACCCGGCCACCATGGACTCCATCTTCCACCTGCTACTAGCCGCCCTCAACGACGGCCGGCCTGTTGTCGAGGCTGCTGTACCGTACCGCATCGCCGACATGTTTGTGTCGGCCCATCAGCCTCATGGCGCCGGCAAGCGTTTCCGCGGCTATGGACAGCTGGTGCATAAAAGCCGTAGCGGCCATGAGCTCATTGGGGATATGGTCGTGTCCGACGAGGCCTGGTCTGGCCCCAAGCTCACCATCACTGGCTTTGCCCTGCGCCAGGTCACGGCTGCTGAGAGTGCTGACGGCGTTGCGGTAAACAGTGTCGACGCGAACTTGCGCAAATGCGCACAGCTGCAGTGGAAAGAGGACGTGGACTTCATCAAAACTAGAGTCGACCTCATCAGGCTTCAAGGTGCAGATACACTCCTCTCTATCTGGGTCGACCGCCTAGCGCACAAAAAGGCCGTTGAAAATGTCCTTTTAGTCCTCAACAACAGGGCCTGCTCTGTCACAGCCAGCGCTTTGGGTACTCTCATAGCACGCCTTGGAAAGCGTCCTGGCATTCACAACATTGTGGTCGCAGCGCCATCCAGTAACGTGTTGGACACTTGTCGGCCCCTCTTATCTGCTCCCGAACTCGACACCTTGAAATGGGATTGGACGTCTGGTGAAGAATCGCCAGACGCTATTATCTCTGCTTACGATGTAGTCATATTGATTGCGGACAACCAGACGGCGGGCATCCTAGCAGAACCAGGACCGCTTGCCCACTTACGCAAGCTTCTCTTATCTCATGGCCACCTCGTGGTCCTACAAGAGGACGATGATGATGAGCAAATAAACACTGTCGCAATCCTACAAGCAGTTGGGCTCGCAGACTCCATCGTAGCTCCTGGAATCGTCATAGCATCTGCTCCCCATTCGACTCCTGTCGCTCGCCCATCTGAAGTCTACCTTCTCTTACCCGTGGAGCCTCTGCCTGAAACATTGGGACTAGCCGCCACTCTGACAACAGTCCTGTATGCGTCTGAGACAGTTGTTCATAACATCACGCTTTCTGCCGCATCTGAGCTGGCTGGCAAGCACGTCATATCCCTCCTCGAATCGAGCACACCTTTCATCTACTCTTGGACTGCCGACGACTTCGACTCCTTCAAGACCATCATCTCTACTGCCGCACACGTCTTTTGGCTGACGCGTGGAGACCTCCTCAACGCTTGGGGTACAGATGTCGCTGGGACTGCCTTTGCTCCCGCTCAGGGACTGCTGCGTGTGATGCGCAATGAGTATCCCCTTGTAAAGCTGCCGCATCTCGACCTATCAAAGCGCCTTGGTATAACAAGCCCTGCCGCAGCACAACTTGTCTTCGACGTATGGGCGGCATCTTTGATGTCGAGCGCGGAAAATGAGTTCGCTGAGAGCGAAGGCGCCATATACATACCCCGCGCGATTGGAAACCATATTTACGATGGAGAGCTGCAGCTCGCAAGTGGACAAGCCAAGCCGATTAGAATGTTGCTCGGTCACAACAAAACACCCCTTGTGCCAAATGAGGTGGTCGGAGGTGACCTATTATGGGTCGATGATGACACTGCCACAGAGCCTCTAGGTCCGCGCGAGGTCGAGGTTGAGGTGTCGTATGTCGCCCTGGGCACTTTCCATATAGAAGAGGATCTTTCTGGTCTTGGCCGCGATGCTGTTGGCATTGTGACGCGGCGTGGCTCGCAGGTTATGTCGCACGTTGAGGGCCAGCAGGTCGCAGTTTTCCGCAGCCAGGGCGCCTTCAAGACGCACGTGCGCCAGGAGGAAACTTTAGTTGCCGTTCTACCATCTGACGTGGTTCCTGAGCAAGTTGCTGCCATACCCAGCCTTTTCGTCTCGGCCCAGTACGCGCTCCTCGAAATAGCTAAGCTGCAGAGAGGGCAAACAATACTCGTCCACTGCGCCGCCACCCCTCTCGGTCAGGCAATCATGCAGGTTTCTGGCATAGTTGGTGCTGACGTCTTTGCTCTTGTGGGCTCCAAGGCGGAAAAGCAGTTGCTCGTAGAAAGGTATGGCATTACACCCGGACATGTATTCGACTCGTCCTTGCGAACCTTTGTCACGGGTATTGCGCAAATTACAAATGGCCGCGGTGTCGATGTCGTCTTGAGTAGCCTGTCTAGTCCTGCTGTGTTGCCATCCATGGATGTCCTTGGAGACTTTGGCCACTTCGTCGACCTCGGCCAAAAGAATCAGGATGTCAGTCTACCGCTGTCTAAGCGTAATGCCTCTCTCGTCCGTATCGATATGAATCGGGTCTATCAGGCCAAGCAGGCTGTCATCACTTGCCTCTTCCAACGCACATTTCAGTGGCTCACCCGTGGAAGCATCAAGCTTATCGTACCCGCATCCTTCACATCTCTCACCGAAACGCAGCAAGCTTTGTCTATCGTTACAAACCCTAAGTATCAGGCAGGCACGACGATCTTGTCACTCGCAGACCCAAGTGCTTCGATATTGATGTCTCCGAGCCCTGCACCAGAGCTGGCTCTGGATTCAGAGGGCACGTACATACTGGCCGGTGGTCTGGGTGCACTTGGCCTCGACATCGCGGGTATGATGGCCTCGCATGGTGCTGGTCATCTGGTTTTCCTGTCGCGTTCGGGCAATAGCAGCAAGCACACACCTGCACTCAACGCTCTCCGCGCTCTGGGAACGCGCGCTGAGGCATTTACCTGTGATGTGACTAAGGCAAACAACATTGCCGCCGTTTTCACCGAGCTCCAGCAACGAGGTTGCAAGATTCGGGGTGTGCTACAAGCCGCCATGGTGCTGGAAGACGGCATCTTCGACAACATGACCCACGACAAGTGGCTCCGCGCCTTCATGCCCAAGACACGAGGATCACGGAACCTCCTGAGCCAACTGGCCTCCTATGACTCGTTTCAGGACGACCCAGCTAAAAAGCCATTTTTCATCCTCCTCTCCTCCATCACCGGCGTCATTGGAAACACGGCGCAAGCCAACTACGCATCGGGCAATACATTCGGGGACGCACTCGCACATTATGCGCACACACACCTTGACATCCCTGCAACAAGTATTGACGTCGGACTTGTCAGTGACTCGTCACACTTTACCAAATCCGGTGAGTTCGGCGACCTGAAGGGCTATCTCAATCGCTACAGCCACGGCTGGAACGGGCTGCAGACCAACCTCGAGGAGCTGCGTGTCTTGCTCTCTGCGCTGATGAGGCGCGCCCACGATGGCCAGACGGTGCCCGCACAGTTGGTGCTTGGGCTAGGTGATGGTTTGGTGAGGCGTGCGGGTGGCGTTGGCTTCGAGCACGATGCCAAGTTCGAACTCCGCGTGAAGAGAGATGACGGCGATGCGAGCGGAGAAGCGGACAGGAGTGGCAAGGGTGCGAGCGTATCCGCGAAGCTGGCGCAGTCATCGTCGCTGGTTGAGGCAACTGCCGTGGTCGAGGAAGATCTCAAGGCGCAGGTGGCTGCGGCGATTGGTGTCGCGGTGCTGGAAGTGGATGCACAACGGCCTTTGTTTGACTTTGGAGGTGAGTGGTTATCTTCATATGCCCCTTGTTGTGTCAATTTACTGACTTGGGTTCGCACATAGTCGACTCTCTCAAGGCGGTGGAACTTAGGAACAGGGCACTCCGCGAGCTACAGAGCGATGTGTCTGTGTTCGATATACTCAGCGCGACGCCGCTGGTAGATTTGGCAACGAAAATTGCTGCAAAGAGTAAGTTGGTTATACTGGATGAAAGAGATAGTATTTGAGATATGAAGCATTCTGTATTGGTGTTGGCCTCATTCGAGGTAAGAATTAGGTTGTAGCATTATTTTGCCGCTGTAAGTCGAAAGAATCATAAATCTTTTAGGTTTGCAAGTGTTCCTCATCAGATAAATCAGTCGGACATTTACTTAATATGAGAAATAAAAATGCTCCGAACAGCTCCTTTAACACTTGTTCTTCATAGATCCATCCCAATGTCTACTCCACTGTGATATCGAAAACACAGCAACCTCACACCAACTCATACTTCTCACAATTAGGGAAATCAGTCCACACAAAATGAATGCGTGCGAAAAGGGAGGTTTTATCAGCTTCTTTTCCATAGGCCCACAGTGTGTAGCGTATTTCTAGTATACTACGTGTGAAGTTCGATGAATGAGGTGAGAAAAAAGGGTTGTAATGTGTACAATCGAAGATGAGTGTATGGTATTGAAAACAATCTAAGAATAACGAACCAGGAGCACGAAAATATGAGGGAACATAAGAAAGTAGCAAACAGGCTGAGTTGAACAAATATAGGTTTGCTGGTCGTATCAAGACAAAGTTCATACTGCAGACCAGCCTCACGCAACGCTCTACCAGCACTTACTCATCACGCCTATCTCGACGCACACGAATAATCGCCGGATAATCCCACACCTCTTTCTCATGCGTCGAGAAAGCGCTAATAATACGTCCGCACAGCAGCGCAGCCAAGCCTGCAAGAAACGCAAGTACAACCGTCACCGCTAACGCGCCCGTGGAAAAAAGAGAAGAGGTGGAAGAAGAAGAGACAGCAGTGTGTGACTCAGCCTGAACACTTGGACGCGCCTCGCTATCAAAACCACGACACCATTGTACAGCAAGCCCCCCAACCATCACCAGGCACAGCAACGCGACTAATCCTCGTTGCTGCCGTCGTGCAGGTTGACTCTCAACCGCATCTACACCCCCGCCAAGCTCGATAACTGGTAACACTGCATTCACCAACGATTCCCCGGCATACCCCTCCAGTGTTCCGACTTCAAAGCGCCGAAGGGCAAGCAGAGCATTGTAACTGTGTCCTGCGTAGTCATATGCTTCTGAGCCGTCAGAACCGGCATGTTCATGGAGGACTTCGACGCCGCCAGGATGGGTGTTGGCGAATGGGTTAAGATTGTAGACTGATGTCGGTTAGGATGTTCAGGGTAGAGAAAGGAAGGAACAAGGTACCTTTGCCATGGACGGCGATCCATAGGTCTTGGGGATCGTTGTGTTGAGCAAGTTGAGTAGTAGTAATCATTGCAGGGTTTGGCATCGCGTCTTGGTGTGGTATTTTGGGCTATTCTAGGGTTTGTGATGAGTTTTCAAGAAGGGGAGACAGGGGGTTTGGAAAACCCTGGACAATACAGGGGTATTTTCAAACCCGCTCTGCTGTGTTGTTGGGGTGCATAGTGATATGAATACATGGAGGATGAGGTGAAGTACATTTGTCACGGGCTGACAAGGGATGACTGCGGCTCGATTTGGTGGCGCCGGACTCCCTATCTGGAACATGGACTTCCCGTTTTGGCTCGGTCCGCGACATCTCACCAACATGCTTGGCTGAGACTTTGGAGGTTCTGCTTTGATTGGCAGATGTCAGACCTCTTGGTTTGGTCTTCTTCTACAATCTACATATGCAATTGGACGTTTGCCAGGCCATAGATGGTCCGTTTCCACACGCGCCTTAGCCCTGTATCATGTATCAAACATTCTTCCTCGGAAATGGTGGTGAAGCGCGTCATCGGGATGTCGATCTCTCTACTATTGAATCGCTGCAGCATCTCAATGCCAGTTTAGGATTGCTCTTCTCCTTTGCCAGTCCAGAGAGTAAGTCACGACTTCTCTGGAATTTTATGTGACATGCTTAATTCAGTGACACAGAAATCCTGTATCACAACGCAGATGGAAACCTCTCGACGCTCAAAGCCATCAAATGCTCGAGCAGCCCTATCGAGCTACGCGCCGTTGATGGAGCTTCAATTATGCCACCCCCAGGACCAAAGCCTCTCCCGTTTGTTGGAAACCACTACGAGATCTATCCTGACGCCTTAGGCAACTACGACCGTCTGTTCGCAAGATACGGGCCCATGATCAAAACTACCAACATGGGTACCGTCACATACCACACTAATGACCCGGAAATATCACGGCATATTCTCCGCGAGGGTGAGTTCTTCACGAAGACGACATCAGATCCGTCGCACCCGCTGTTCTACATGAGTGTGCAGACTGCTCTCTTCACTTGCGACACTGCCTCACCTTCATTTGCTGTCGGCCACAAATTCGTACCGCCTGCGCTCTCCCCAGCAGCCGTAGCACATCACGGGCCTGCGATTCAAGATGCCGCTCGCTCAATCTTCCCGGTACTAGACGAGCTTGGGCAAGGCGGTCTTGCTTTCAATGTATACCACTACATGTTCAAGTTAGCAGGGCAGCTCATTTGGCGCGTAGTCTTGGGGCAGGATGTGCAACATTTCCAGACTTTGGACACGCCACCCACGTTGGCCATTCGTCTATTTGGCCAGTATCTATCACTGATGAAGAAGTCATCACGGCGGCCGCAATGGTTTGGCAAACTTCCATTTGGTGAACCGGCACGACTGCGCCGCGTTAGCAAGGATCTGTTCAGTACGGTTGAGCAGGCCATGGATGCCAGTGTGACGCCGGGAGGTGGAACATTGCCACTCGCTGACTCCTCCTCGCCGTTACGCGCGTCGTGCGTAGCCGATTATCTTTGCCGAGTGCGCGATGATCGAGGGGAAGGGCTTCCACGTGAAGAGCTGCTGGCAAACGTAGTGGTAATGCTTGGTGCGGGCTTCACAACGACATCGTCGCTGCTTTCCTGGTCGTTGTACGCGCTCACCAAGTATCCGGGCAACCAGGAACGACTCTTGCAAGAGATGATAGACCATGGGGCTGATGGGAAGCGAACATGGTCGTGGGATCAAATGTTTGACATGAAGTTTCTCGACTGTTTTGTCAAGGAGACGCAACGCATGCACAGTCCCAGCTTCCAGACGGCCAGGAACGCGAAGAAAGACGTGGTACTGCCTGGGGGTTACCTCATTCCTGAGGGTTCTGTCGTCATCACATGCTTCCCGAGTCTGCATAAGAACCCAGCTCACTGGGATAATCCCGCGCTGTTCAACCCAGATCGCTGGACGGGGGGTGAACTTGCAGCCAAGGTGAAGCGAAAGGGTATCTATACGCCATTTGCGGCTGGTGGTAGAGGCTGCATTGGTTTCAACCTCGCGCTGATGCAGGTCAAGGTAGTGCTGCTGGAAATCGTGTATCACTATCATCTTGTGGACGCTTCTCCAGAGCCAGTAGTTTACGACCCTGAGTTCTTGGTCACTCGGCCGTTGAACTTTTATGTTAGTCCGATTAAGCGAACAAGTTGGCCGCGGCTGTCCAACGTGTTGTAGATAGATTTTTTGAATCATCCAAACCTCAACTATCTCAAGACCATATTTCTGCCTGCACAAATGCCCGTCAGTCTCATTACTTCAGTGTGTGTGCCTTGCACACATCAACGCAGCACGACAATTGTCTTGGCCACACGACAACATAGAATCCACGTCACCCGAGCGTAGTGAGCGGCGACAAGAGATGCGTGCATCGGCATGCGCTTAGCGGGTTTCCCAATCGGTCCAAGGCCGAGATCCCTCTGTTGGCAGATGGCGCTGGACCATCTGGATCTGGCTCGACGATTCAGACAATAGAGAGGTTAGAGGTTACGGTGGATGTTTCAAACAGCTAGAGTCGGTTCGAGACCATATAGGTGTGTGTGTGATCCCTCTATAATGTATAGGTAAAAAATTTACAGGTCTGCCTCAACATCTGATACTTTCGATTGTCTTACACCCCTTTTTGTCAATCATGTGCGGATTTACGGCATGTGTTGCGCTGCGCGAGAGTTACAGCAATGGCCACAGCAATGGCAAGAGTAACGGAAAGAACGATGGAGAGAGCAACGGCCATATCTCACCCGAAACGCTGCGTACCCAGCTCCAATCGTCCATTGATCTCCTCAATCACCGCGGACCGGATGAATCGGACATATGGATCAGCCCCGACGCCCGCGTGGGTCTCGCTCACTGTCGACTATCTATCAACGACCTCACCCCTAGCGGCCGCCAACCATTGCACAGCGACTGTGGAGAGATACATGCTGTCGTCAATGGCGAAATATACGACCACGATAAGCTTCGCAACGAGTGCACTGCTAAACATGGCTATGTTTTCAGTAGTACGAGCGACAGTGAACTCGTCATTGCGCTGTACAAGATCCACGGAGCGCCTGCCTTTTTGGAACATCTCCGCGGCGAATTCGCCTTTGTCCTGTTGGACAACCGCGAAGGTTCGAATCACGTGGTAGTCGCCCGCGACCGATTCGGTATCAAACCACTCATGTGGACCAAGCTGAACAGCCATATCGTACTGGCGGCTGAGGCGAAGGCGTTCCTGCCGCTCGGATGGGAGCCTGAGTGGGACGTTGGTGCAATTGTGGACGCTGGATGGATGTTTGATGCGCGCACGCTGTTCAAGGGTGTGTACAAGGTGCTGCCCGGCCATTATATGGAGATTACCGACGAGCGCGGCGTAGAGATGCATTGCTATTGGGATGCCGAGTATGAGGACAAGACCAAGATCGAGACTCGCACCATCGATGAAATGGTGCAAGGCGTTCGCGAGCGACTCGTCGAAGCTGTGAGACTGCGGCTGCGCGCTGATGTACCCATCGGTGTGTACCTATCTGGAGGAATCGACTCATCCGCCATTGCGGGCATCGCAACACAGCTAGCACGTGAAGAACACGTCAAGCTAGGTAGTCAAGCAGCGACGCGCGTGTCGTGCTTTAGTGTGCGCTTCCCCGACGACTCGGGCTACGACGAGTCGAGCATCGCCGAGCGCACTGCCGAGTGGCTGGGCGTTGAGGTGCTGAAGCAGGATGTGAACGAGGCATCGTTAGCCCACGACTTCGCGGATACGGCCTATCACTGCGAACACCACCACTTCGATCTCAACTGCGTCGCCAAGTTTGCTCTCTCGACGCTGCCGCGCGCAAATGGCGTCAAGGTGGTGCTTACGGGCGAGGGTGCTGACGAGCATTTTGCTGGCTACCCCTATTTCCCGGCAGAGTTCCTGCGTGAGCCTGATCTAGCATTGCCATCATCACCTCTTGCTGCTAATCCCGCTTTACGCGAGGGCATGCAGCGCGCTGCTGACAACGAGATGCGCGCCATCTGGAAATCCATCGGCGCTGACGGTAGTGGTGAGAGTTTCGCCGACTCTCTGCTGGCCTGGCACCCGCGGGCCACCCTCTTCGCGCCTTGGGTGCGTGCCAGCCATGCCAATGTCGACTATCTGGCCACTTTGCGCTCTTCATATGCTCCAGATGTGCGTGACAAGATGGCCACACGTTGGCATCCATTGCACACGGCCGAGTACATGTGGAACAAGAACTCGCTAGCCAACGTGCTGCTCTCGTGTCTAGGCGACCGCACCGAGATGGCCCACAGCGTTGAGGCTCGTACGCCGTTTCTCGACCACCACTTGGCCGACTACGTAAATAATCTGCCACCCAGCGTCAAGCTTGCCTACACGCCTATCAACAACGACCAGTCGCAGGAGGAGAGCAGTAATCACGGACCTGTCTGGAAAGCCTCCGGCAAGGCTCTGCAATCGTTGACAGCGAAATGGATCTTACGCGAAGCCGTGCGCCCGTACATCACCGACGAGTTGTATCGCCGCAAGAAACACCCCTTCCTTGCCCCGACCAAATGGCCACATGGCGGTCCGTTGCACTGTACTTTTGTGCAACTCCTAACGCGAGATGCTGTTGACCAGCTGGGTTTTGTCGATTATGCTGTTATCGAACATTCGTTGGAAATTGCCTTTGGTGACAAAGCAGACGCCACTGCCTTCCGTACCCTGACTTATGTCGCGGCTTGGGTAGTCCTGTCCAAGCGCTTTGGAGTCAAGAAAGCCAGCTCGAACGGACGCACATATTAGTTGGTGTAGAGGTTTGAAGTACGTATTTTCGGCTGGGTTGTGCTCTGTGTATGAGTCTTGTCGTCCTTTCAGTTGGGTTATTTAGAGCCCAGTCAAGTGTTGTATGTATAGTGTTTTGCAATACACAATCGATTGTGTTCCGATATCGTTGCTGGGTCTTGCTCATGCATCGCCTCCAAGACCTGGCCCAAGGCTGCCCAAAAAAAGGCCCAGGACTAGCAAAAGAGCTTAGGCCTCCGTTAGCACGCTCATGTCTTTTCGCCGTGCTATTGGCCGTTTTGAACAAGGTGTCATATGTGCATATCGCGTGTTCAGTACAGCCAAACGCGCTAGTAACATCCGACGTCTGTGCACCCGCGTCTGGTGGCAAATTCGTGTTCTGCGAGGGTGGTGAATGGGTTTAAGCACATATTCCGGTGGAAAAACTCTTACATGTGGAACGGTATTGGTGAAGTTGCAGGGGGCTGGTTAGGAGGTTGGCGGGAGTGAGAGTAGGGCTGGGTGTGGGGGTGGAAAGGGGCGGGGTGAGACGTGCTTAGCTAAATAATTTCCACACGTAATCGTGGAATCGTGTGCGAAGCTTCTGGAAATATCGATCAAAAGTATGTAAAGTAGTATTAGTAGTGTAGTTACTGTCTGGTCTCTCATGGAATTCCGTCTGATTTATCCAAAGTGCATCACATAGCTAATTTCACTTATTGAAATACTCGTGACTCGCAGTTGGTCGCCTATCACATGACGGAGGACATCTTCCCAAAACTCAATGGCATCGTCAATATCCCTTGCTTCTAGGCTTGAAGACAGCAAGACTGAGGGTTGGCCTTAATCGCAGATGATGCTGTCAGGTAGTTGCTAAGCGCCCTGAGATGTGGTGTGGACCGGGCCGGACGCCTCGAGAGTATATGAACGCCACAACAATTTCCCAACAGCTGCGCCTGTTTCCTACAACGGAAACCCGGCCAGGCTGATGATACGAATGAAAGAAATGCAGCTCAGCAGACCATGCGGGTAGGTTGGTCGATCATGACGCTAGAGCTCTCACGTAGGGCTGGAATGCTTAGAAGAGTGTGATGGTGGGGTGCCAAAGTATCAGAACACCACAAATCCAGAAACACGAAACAGAGCATAGGCTCTGGTGACTTCTACTAGGTACATCTGCTTTTCCTTAAACCGTGCAGAAGTATAGTTGTAGCAATGGTGCGTGTTTGGACACCAGTCTCGCTTTCGACTCTCAGCTTTACGCCAGAGCCATGCTCCGTAGTCGGCTTTAGATATATGATGCCAAGGTTTTGGCTTCTTATCAGGCAAACAAAATGTACATGACCATGATATCACCAGGGTCTTACCCTGAAATATTAGCAGTAAAGTTTTGGTACATGCAATTCCCTGCGTAAACTCTCTACTCGGTGATGGCAAATTCTTGGCAGAACTGCCCATAGTTTAAGATACAAAAAAGTAAGATATCTCTAATGCTCAAGTATGAGTGAAACATATAGAGTACATGGAAGGCGGCTAATACATAACCTGGGTAAGAATTGATAAACAACCATCCTACCTCTTTCACTTACGAGAGCCCCATTGATGACATGAGATATTCCGTCGGACCGAGACCAGTGCTTATCTCGCGAGATTGCCGTTGTGGCACCGGAAAGAATACCGTGCCAAATATAATTGGCTTAAACGCCTGTGCTGGTTTGTGTAACTTACCATGTAAGCCACTACGCTACTGTCTCCACTGTATACTACGTGAATACTCTTGTCCGATATTACGGTACAGCCTTTCCATCCTGCATCGGGGAAATCAGGCTTACGGGTCGCCTAGGCTCCGTGGTTTTGCAGTAAGATTCTTACTCCACGGCTTCAACGTCTTGCTCTTTGATGAAGGCACCGTCTATGATTAAATACACAAGATGATTTCAAGGTTTATATTGGTTATGGTGGAACATGTGATGTGTTATTCAGACAGGTCTAGCTCCTCGAAGTGTTTGTTTTCCAAGGAACCCATGTCCATACAATGCAATGAGATCCCGACTGAGATACGTACTAACATCTCCGAGTACGAGTCGTTTGTGGTAGCGCTTCTGATGGAGGAAATATAAACGAAGGCTACCCACATAGTTGCAGAAACAAAACGCCACCTTTTGTGTCTAGAAAATTCTCAGCCATCCTGGCCCTCTTGAGACAAACAGTCGACGTTAGGCCTCCTTACGTCGCCCAATCAACCCCGACATCAATACTTTCTCGTACACTTCTTGTGCTCCGTTGAAGAGACGCCACTTGACTGCCTGATTAAAGCGATCTTGGCGATCTGTGGGATGCTCGGTGTGTACACAAGCCACGTTCTGACGGCAATGTCGTACGGTGTCATGATGAGAAGGCAGACACTACTGTGACGACTATATAAAGTGTTCTTTCGCATTGTACAATATATGTTCACTATCAAAATTGTCGGTGTATATTGTTTTTTGTTCACCATCGCTCTAGATGTTTGGCACTTTGATTTCAGATAACCAGCGCAAGGAGTCCTTGACCTTTGTCCGGAACACCGATACCGCTTCTGCACTTAGTCGAAGCCGTCGTGACAAGCCACATGCTTCTTGTCAGCTCTGCCGAGCTCGCAAGGTTGGTGTTTAGAGGATGATATTGACAATATGGGGGAATGAATTAGTCCGCGCTAACTGATTCTTTTCTTAGATTAGGTGCAGCGGCCAGGCCTCAGGTTGTGATAGATGCGCCTCCATCGGGGTTGAATGCTGGTATCCGGATCGCCCTACCCGTCGAAAGAAGCGGACGGCTAGCCTTGTATTCGACACTTCTGGGGCGGTCGACGACTCAACCAGCTGCAGTCCTGCATTGAGAGATAACGGAACAAAGAACGAGCAGGAACAGGATCTTGAGGAAAGAGAAAAACAGACAGAGGACCATATCGACATCGGAAAGATGCAGCAGAATGATTACCTATCTTCGTACCACGAAGGCAACTCAAGCAAGAGCACAAGAGAAGGATGGGATGAGTGGATAGACATGGATGGGCCTCCACATCCAATGTTGACAGACCAACTGGAAGACCCCCTTGGTCCCATGGATAGCATGAGCGATACAGTGTGGAATTCTTTGTTCGGAGATGCCTGCGGACATATTGGTTTGTAATGCCCTTACAGACCAGATCTTGTCTCATACAAATGCTTACTAGTTCGTTCAAGGGTTTGAAAGTATAGACTTGAGTTCTTTGGACAACAGCATCCTGTGTCCCGAAGATCCAGCAAAAACACTGATGCCACCTCCCTACAATCTGTCTCCACAGTTGAGGTTGGACACACCGTCCATACTGAGGTCGTCGCCAACACCGAGCAATAGAAATATTGACGAGAACAATACGCAACGTCAGTTTGAGTATTTGAACGACATTAACTCTGTCTCTTCTGAATTTCCAGATACACGGAACATATCTCAACACGCTCCCAAGCCCGTGTTTCGCCCTACACTCAATACATGTGAAACGGTGTCCCCGGGAAGTCCAACATCCTCAAGTAGTATGAACAGTCCCTGTCGCTGTCGACAGCTTACGGCACAACTTTTCAAGACTTTCTGCTACGAAAGCACCAGCAACGATCGCGTAGCCATGGACGCATTACTACGCTACTTTCGCAGCACACTGGAACAGTACACCCAAATCTTATTCTGCGAACGATGCGCCGATATAGATGAATACAACATGCTTTTGGCTATGGCTGGTCAGTACATGAGTGTTATATGCGAGCGCACTGTCCTGTGCTACGTCAGACTGCGCTGTGGCACGCAACAACAGCAAGGAAACCAGCCACAACTTTCAACCTCATTGTTGGAGAAACAGGTTAGTCATACAAGCAAGTGGAGCAAAGATGAGAATGAGAACGAAAGGGAGAGAAGTACCAACGATCTTGATGTACGTGTAGACAATGAGATGGTTGGAGATGGAGGCGTGTGGTTCTCAACATACCGCATCACAAGCAATCGTGAGCGCTTACAGTTGCTACATTGTCTGGTAGTTCTTCAGTTAGAGGAGCTATTGCAACTATTAACAAAGCTCAAGAAGCGCACTAGCAATCAGAGCAGGTTTATACTCATGCTAGCTGAGGCAGAGAATAGAATACAGACAACGCAGTTGCTAGTGAAGGTTGAAACCTAGCCAAGGAAATCGTCACTCATATCAATCGTACGCAAATACTTAGATAAGACACTTGCTCATTCGAACATCATGACGCTATGGCTATCCATTTGATCCCCCTGGCCAAACCCGAACATGCCCGCTCGCCAAGTACTACCAAGAGGTGAGTGGGGTAGTGTCTACTTACGCCACAACTGACCCTCCAACCAACAGTGTCGACAAGCGAAACGAGGTCCCGCAAGTCAGCGAGAGGCTAAATTTAGAAAACCGCCGTTCCATCTCTAGTCACTTGAGTGCGATCGAGGTGTTTTCTCCACTCCTTTCTTTGTGGCCTTAGCATCGACGTCACAAAACTCTGGAGATCGCAATCTATTGTATGCTTCAACTACTGGTATTCGAACGTTACTTCTGGATGGGTGTGAATACTGCCACGCACTACGATTCATGTTCTCTCCAACTCGGTCCCGAAATGATAGAGATTAAAGAACTCCAAGAAAGAAATGGAGACGGAACACCAACACCACACAACGGAGTTGCCTCTATGCAAAAGTTGTAGTGAGCTCACTCTTGAGTCGTTACAAGCAGGGTTCCAGATCGGAGAAATGCGTGAACTGAGGAAACGATCGAAACATTGCCGGCTTTGCAAATTCATTTCAGATTCAATTCTCATTGGAGATATAAACTTATCAGAAGAATGCAGCCTCAGACTTCGTATCGCGGTTCAGCCTACTCCTTTGCAAGGCGAACATAGTGGGTTGGATGTTGCAATGGGGACTCTTAGATCAGGTCCTACTTCCACAGCAAATTTCGTTGTCTGCGACGCCTATGGCGGTTCAACCTGGTCTGAAAGTGCTCTGTTTCGATTGTTTGCTCTTAAAGGTACCACTCTCATCGCAGCGTTGTGTGCTGGCTGACCACGCGAAGGAAGTCAGCCAACCACTCGTGGTATCATCGAAGGTCGGCCAACCCTCCCTCCAAACTCGGCTCCCAATGCAAACCTCATGCGTACGTGGCTGCTACAGTGTCTACGAAGTCATCGTATATGCAAAAGAACTATATCAGGTATCCGGATTGACAGGATGGATATGTCACCCCTTACCTTCTCACGTACTCTATCTGGGTACGCAAATCTTACCACGGCTTTCCCTTCTTCCATCACATAGTCGTCGGGCTAGCTATGCTGCACTGAGCTATTGCTGGGGTTTGGAAACCGAGGTACGACCAATAAAGACGATGAAAAACAATGTCGCTCGGTTCTCAGAAAGTATTGTCGCAGCAGATCTCCCACTAACTATTCGACAAGCGATAGAAGTAACTCGGATATTGAATCTAGAATATCTCTGGGTCGATAGCTTGTGTATAATCCAGGATGATGATGATGACTGGCGAAAAGAGTCTCAAATGATGGGCATGATCTATCAGAACGCGACAGTCACAATTGCGGCTACATCCGCCAGGCATTGCAACGAGGGCTTGTTTCTGGGTAGAGAAGCAGCCAACCGACATCCCACGGCCTCTGTGCGCATACCATGCAACGTAGCCGGCCAGCTTTTGGGGGATATGTACATTGAAGCGATACCTAACCGTCTCTGGGATCACCTGGATTCCGATAGCGAGATTGGCCAGTCTCGATGGAATACGCGGGCTTGGGTTGTCCAAGAAAGAATCTTGTCGCGTCGTATCTTACATTTTGGCAGAACGCAGCTGTATTGGGAATGTCAAGAGTCGTTGCACGCGGAATCAAACTCTATGCCTATACCATCAGACACACGATTGTTGTCAAAGACAGCGACGTTTCTCCGCATCACGAAAGATTCGATGTTGTTCAAACGGCTAGCACAGAAAAGCTATGTGCTGGATACGGTTCATTCCACATTAAGCCTTCTTAATCACAAGCTTGAAAATATGGCAGGTATGGACATGGGTATACCAGCGCAAGCTGCAATGCAACGCTCTTGGGAACGCATAGTTGGAATATACAACGTCTGCGAACTGCAGCGAGAGACGGACAAGCTTCCTGCAGTCGTCGGATTTGCGCGCGAAATCGCAATTATGAGTGGACAAACCTTTTGTGCTGGTGTGTGGCTCGAGGATATCGCACGAGGCTTATACTGGTCTGCTGCCAAACGCGATGACAAATACTGCGCACTTCAAAGGCAACATTCTTCCGGTGGTACGTACTTGGTATATCTGTGTTGCAATTTTGCTAACAATGTTAGCTCCGTCCTGGAGTTGGGCGGGTTGGTCGGGCCCAATTGTCATGGGATCTTTTGTTGCTGAATATGACACTGGAAGACCGTGGGTATCCCAACGCACATTCTCAGCAGTTGCGAAAGGTCAGAATGAGCAGGTTGAGATATATGCTCATTTCTGGAACGGGGTTGTCGCACAAAAACGACAAGTCAATCCTCGGTCCGCTTCTGAATGGAAGACTGACGCGTGGTGGAAATTTTCTCCATTCCGGGTCCCACTCGACGAACAGCTGCAGGTATTCAACCGTGTCGACCTCGAAATTCAGACATGCGCTTCTGCCGATGCTACCATATGTGGTTGGTTTGTTCCTGACAACCCAGCAAGACCACTGCATGAACTGGTTTGTGTAGTCATGAACACAGAAAAGGTTCGGAATAGTTCAACAGGTAGAGTTGGATATGGGTACTACATCATTGTGGTCCAAGAAACCCCTTATCAAGGTCATTATGAGCGTCTAGGTATTGGCATAGCTGTTGATGAGGAAGACCGAGTTCCTTATAGGTATTTCGGCAGACGACGGCCAGAGTCCATGCTGGTACTTGTGTGATCAAGATTCTATCTTTAGAGATGCATAGAGAAACCTTCTTGCAGTGTAGTATTGTAATTCAAAGTAGATCAGGAAGTCTGCTCTACAACAAAGAGTTACCATCTTGCACAGCCTCTCTTACGCAGCTTCGCTCTTGCAGAGGCTACACAAATTCAAGATCATGTGCCTACTCACACTATTTGCACAACTGTGTTTCTTGGGTATCTGGTACATACCCTGCATTGGAATAAAGTGCAATTGCTGCTCACAATGTAAATATGCATGCAGGGTCAGTACGCCAAGCTTTCACTATGGTGTAGTGAAGGCTAATAGATGCTATGCGTTTGGTTTATTTGACAGATCTTAATACCGACATTTGATGCTTGTACACCTCAAATACAGGCTGGGCAAGCAGAGGAGCTTCTATCAAGACAGCGCATCAACGAGTGCGTGGTCAATTTTCGTGCTAGAAGTGTTCCGCGTCTTCATTTTCGCTTTCACTCACGACTTTTGACCGCTGGTGTACACCTGACTACCGCCTATTAGGCGACAGGCTATGATCTAGTCATTCTGCTGTCTGCAAACAACCCTCTTTCCCTTTATAGGTCACGCGCCATCACCAGGTCCGACCTCGTTCATCATTCATAATTCTCACTTACCGCTCCACTAACAACCCCCATCATGAATGACAAAATCCCGCGCGACTACTACGCCGACCTCGGGGTTACACAAAGCGCGAATCTTCCAGCGATCAAACTCGCCTTCTACAAACTTGCAAAGGAGCACCACCCCGATAAATCTGGCCTTGAGGACGCCTCCGCTTTCCGCCTTGCTCGTGAGGCATATGAGAAGCTCTCAGACGACTCTTTTCGCAAGAAATACGACCAAACCTATTGGCGGGTAAAGATGCACAACAATTTTCAGGAACAGTCAAGGCGTACGGCAGCCGCTCCGGACAAGGACGAAGCTCAACCAAGGGAATGGTCGCCCCCGCCAACGCCACCTATGAAGCGGATTTGGGAGACCGATATACAGTTCCAGTTTGGGAAGACGTACCAAGAGTGGCAGGCGCGAGATAGTGAGCATCGACAAAGGCATCCGGAGAGGAACGCAGCGTGAGTGTAGACAGGTCACCGCGGCGAAATTTCTTGAGCATCGAATAGTTGTGGAACATGAGAGAGAAAAGACTCGAGCAGTACTGACAGATTCACAGGCCATCCTATGACTCTACTCCCCGAGCTCATGGCCTGGAGGTAAAGATGACTCACCCCGCTACTACTCAGCGTTGCTTGTATAAGAGTGTACATTGGAAGACGCAGGTTGGAGGTCAAGACTTTTGTGTGTTCTGTATGGTTCCATCAACAGGAGCGAGCAGGTGTCCTGGGTGTGAGGCATTGGCGTGTCGTAAGTGTCTGGAGAAGATTACCGAGCTGGAGCGGAGTTTCTTTGGTGGTATTGGATTGAGGTCGTAAGGAGAGATGGAAAGGATCTCAAGCAGTCACTGTCCATACAAGACCATGTCGTTGTCTGTATGTGGTCCAAATCGGGGGAGCGTTTCGACTTCTGCATCTCATAAGCGATAGGTCGCTTTACATGCAAGGATTGCTGAATGACCCTGGTCTCTCTTGATTGTCATCGCAAGTTGGTAGACAAGTAGCAATCAAGCACCAGCCAGTATGGTCTCCTTATTGAGAGTCATGCCACAATCAATTAGAAGTGTCTGGTCTTCATTCCTGAATTGAGCGCTGTCACCAAGCTTAGCGGGTTCTCTTCATGTGTAACATGTATCTGTCCTCCTTCGCGCTCGGAAGGAAGGATCGTGGCTAACGTTTCTGTATGCATGAGCGATCCTGGCTGATGGATCATATCAAGGGCTAGAGAAGGCAAGAGATCCACCTGTACGCGACAAATTCGATTCCTCTGTTGCGTCTTGAGTCACATACTTGTACGGGTGCTGACCAAGCCTGCCAGAAGTTAGAATGTACCCTCTCCAAGACTGACACCTGGAAACGAAAATTATGAGCTCGTGCCAGGTGTACAAGAGCGCGACCTTAATCCTGTGGAAGCAAGTGTGCACGCGTTTGTTGGCGACTAGCATGGGTGGCGACAATATGTGAGAAAGACACTACAGTAAAGAGAGGGTCAGTCTCGTGTTACAATCAACATTCAGATGGCTAGTAGCAGCTGGTCTGTCGCGGTCTGCGAGGCGCGTCGAAATTGGATCGGAGTGTAATCACGACCTACGTCATCACGAAACCACAAAGCGCGACGTGACGTGACGCGCACCACGAAACTATCAGCTTCCTCTTCAGGACTCGGACTGAATTCTACATTGCTTGGGGGGCGTATCTTCGCGGCAGCATATTTCAACGCGATACAGGCCAAGTCCGACGTTGGCGAGACCTACACCGCGATACGCATGCATTGCGTTTCAGTTGATAAGAGATTCAGCACAAGCTCGCGCGGTCCTCCTACCGTGCTTCCTCATCATCACAATACGGCTCCACCGACCTTGTTCATGGACGCGTCTCAGTAGTTATCTCGCACGTCCATCGCGCACGTCGCCCCGGGCCTCCCCACACGAGAAAGACATGATGATGTCCTGTATTGTGCGTTCCAGCGGACCACATCTCGGGAGCTACAAAGTCCAGGTACTATATAGTTAGGTTGGGCCAAGCGACGAGTGCGGGGGTGCGGGCCATTTCGGTTGGTTGCGTGGTGGTGTGGTGTGAACGGCAATTGCAATTCCACCTGTAGGTGTGGGTCACTTAAGGAGCTTCATTCACTTGTATAGACATGACATCCTATTGGTCTGCTCATGGGCCGCGAGTTTGAGATAACATTTTCCAGAAGCAGAGCCCCGACACCAACCACCGAGTCCCGGGGCATGGTGCGGCCAGGAATGCGCCGTTTCATGTGAGCCATCAACTTGATTCGGATCGACTTGCGCCCCGCTTAACGCCTCACGTTACCCCACATTTCGGATACTCAACGAGTGCCATGCCAAAGGACACGCAACCGGCCAAGCATGTCCGACGGGCCCGGCGGTTCGCTGATTGTGATGCTCTCATGTCGCAGGGCACGGGTTGTGGGGCCTGGGACGTCGTCATAACCGGGGCCTTTACTATTCTTGTCCAGACCCCTCTTAGCTCATATCGTACATCAACTGCTACCCTGTACTGCAGGCCTGCCTGTCCATACTAAGCCCACCCCGTTTCACTCGTCTTGGAAGCACCGTTGGAATACACCAGCTTCTTCGCCACTCTCAACCTTTGACCTGGGGATCTTTCAACAAGCCCCTACAACCAAACTGTCTTTTACACAGTTTCTCCGTCTCAACTATGGATCTCTATCGCGCCACATTTGCAGGTTCTCTACTGCTGAACAGTCTGGTACTGTTTCGCTCGTATTACACACGTACAATCGAACCCTCAGAGGCCGCGAACCCTGAAAAGGTCGAACATCGAGGCAGGGTCGATTCGGATAGAGAGAGTGTGCGAAAGCTGAAGTGGCGTTTCTATCCCATATACCTCCTTGTAAACGGCGCAGACTGGCTTCAAGGCCCTTACATCTATCCCATCTACAAAGGTACGCCCGAGTCTATCTTCAGCATCGAGGCTTGAACGAACGAACTGATGTTGTGCAGATGAGAAGGGACTCCCAGAGGAAACAGTCGCGTTTCTCTTTCTAATTGGGTTCGTCTCAGCGGCCATATCCGCCTCGTTCGTAGGATCATTCGCAGACCGTTACGGCCGTCGCACAGCATGCCTGGCTTATTGCACAACCTACTCGCTCTCATGTCTCACGCTTCTCACTGACGACATTCTCATGTTGTTCTTGGGTCGTGTCCTTGGCGGCGTGTCTGGCACATTGCTCTATAGTGTATTCGAAAGCTGGCTGGTCGCGGAGTTCAATCACTTGATGCTAGAGGACGCTGGCTCCACCCTCAGTGGTATCTTTAGCACGATGACCACACTCAACAGCGTCGTCGCAATCGCCGCAGGAATTCTCGCCGGCTGGTTGGTCGACACAGTAGGAACCGCGAAAGCTCCCTTCCTTGCGTCCATGGGCTGCTTGTCTGTGGCTTTTGTGGCCATGACAAAATTTTGGGTAAGAATCCTTTGTATCTGCACCTAGAAAACAGTCACTAACGGATATCAGGGAGACAACTATGGCGCTAGCCATCGTGACTCGTCTGAAGCAGCGACACTTCTTCAACAAGAAGAAGCTGAGCCTGAACGCTCCACCGCTTCGAAGCTTAGGGTCATCTTACGAGGTTAGTCTTGTAAATGAGCCTGCAGCACATACAATATGCTAACCGGATTTCGTAGATGTGAACGTCCTTGTGCTTGCCTTAGTTTCATGCTTCTTCGAGGGTTCTATGTTTTTATTTATCTTCTTCAAGTTCCCAGCTCTCAAACTATCGCACAAGTTGTCAGGCGCGACAAACGGTACGCAAACTGTTCAAGAGCCTATGTACAAAGCTAACCTCGGGCAGAACTCCCCTTTGGTCTCATCTTCGCCATTCTTATGTGCTCGATGATGTTTGGGTCCATGCTCTACAAGAACATCACGACATCCATTAACCCACTCCCTGCCAAACCTATCCTCGCGGGCACACTGTTCCTCGCTTCCCTATGTTTCTTCATTCCTGGGCATTTCCGCGATGAGCGCATCACGTTATGGTGCTTCTGCATCTTCGAGCTCTGCTGCGGTGTCTACTACCCCGTCATGGCGTCTCTGCGGGGCAAGCTCATTGAGGATGGCTCGAGAGCCAGCGTGTACGGCATGCTCCGCGTACCACTCAATGTGTTTGTCGTGCTTGCGTTGAGCACGACAAAAGAAGGTACGTCAAAAGGCTAGTTTGAAATCGATATTGCGACTAACGCTCGCTAGGCGAAGCACATCGCGATACAGTCTTCACGACATGCAGCGTACTTTTGATGGTCGCTTCGATAGTGTCATATCGAACCTTGGCTTAGGGTACTTCCTTTGTAATTTTATATAGTCCTGGCGACTTTCATACTTCATATACTCCATTTGGCCATAAGCCTAGTTATTTCCGTAGCTTGGCTTTGCCCAGTCCGATAGTGAAATACGGTCAAATTACATCACCATTCCGCATAAGTATCCACTACTCCTAAAGCGGATGAAACAAGCGCTCCAACAACCATAAGGCCGAAACCCCACCTGCACCCCCGCAATCCTTGCTAAGTTTGGCAGGACGTTGGGGCGAGCACAGATGGCAGGATTATATTGGGTCTTCGTTTCATCATCCTTATCAGGAAGCCTGTTTACTGGGTATTAGCGAGTCATATGAGAGCACCCATGTATACCTATCCATAATGACACTTGAAGTGTTGCGAGTCTCATTGCGACGTCCCGCGGTCGATCACGTCTGAGCATACAGTTGATGTTTCATAACAAGATGAAACTTGCCATATCATACTATCTATTCAATTTACTGCCAAGCCCGTACCCTTCACTGCACACTTATTGAGCCTTCCTCCGTCTTCCGGCCGGTCCATTGTTCCGTAAAGGTGCCCGTTCTCCTCTCTTCAACTTCCTTTCGTTCTCATCGCGTGGAATCGCAATCACAACCACCATGATTCGGTCATTCACAGGTAAGGTCGCACGATCCTCGCGATCTCAACTGAGCCATACTAATTGTCTGTTTAGCCCGCGTAATCACGGTCGTCATCGTCGCCATATTCGTCATCGCCATCTTCAACAACGAGCAAACCGCTCTCCTCCCATACCTTCCTCTTTCACAGAGCTATAGCCCGTCCAAGCCCGTCTCTTACCCACCATCATGGCTGAAAGACCGCATGGCTCTCTCCGAGAAGTCGTGGGAGAAGAGTGTGGAGCAGCGCGAGAAGATGGCTGCGTCACACCCAAGCAACCCGAAGGTCCCGTTCTTCCCAACAGACTTTCTGAAGTACCCATTCACTATCTGGGACTTCTTCCCTGCGACGTGGACGTGCCCGCATGATTTCCAGCGCGTGGGGAGAATGGGCGATGGTGGCAAATGGGTGTGCGGAATGAACCTATACGAGAACCTGTCCGTACCAAAGATTCCCGCTCAAGCAGCTGTCGAGAGCCGCGAACCGGAAGCCGCACTGAGTACACAACAAGAGCAAGGCGGCTTGGTCGTATACTCTTTCGGCATCAACGGCGAATCATCGTTCGAAGCCGAGATGCTGGACCGCGTACCCAGTGCACGCTTCTGGGGCTACGACTTCTCCGTCGAAGGCTGGGGCCCGCAAATTCCTGAGGCGCATCGCCATCGCACGTTCTTCAAGAAGGCGGGTATCGGCGCAGAAGACAAAGAGGCTACAGAGAAGCTGCCGCCATTTTACACCATCGATACGCTCATGAAGCAGAACAAGCACACATACATCGACATCCTCAAGATCGACATTGAGGGCAGCGAATACGACGCTCTGGACGTCTTCATGGACTCGCTGGATGCGAAGGGGCAGAAGGTCATACCTATCGGACAGGTCATGATCGAACTGCATCTCGACAACGGGGATCCGGGTGACAAGGTAGACTTTGAGCGGTTCCGCAACTGGTGGGAGAGATTAGAGAAGATGGGCATGCGACCAACATGGATGGAGATTAATCTGTTTGCTGTTACGCTGGGGTCGCAGAAGAGCAATCCGAGGTGCACCGAGTTTGTCTGGGTGAATGCGAGGGATCAGAGGAACGTGCTTTGGAGTGGTCAGTAGGGTTGGGTTAGACGTTCAAATACAATTTCCTTACATTTCACGTCAAAGAGCCCTCGTATCAGTTCCAACATCCGTCACTTGGGCAATCGATGAGGATCTCGAGTGGTTGTTGCAGCCTCATTATACTGATGTTGTTGCCATAGTTGGCCACATGATATAACCTACAGCAAGCCAAAAACGGAATACAAGACCTTCGGATGCCACGCCCAGCGGTCATATCAAACCTCTCAGTATCGATTCGTACTCGCCAATGCGATTCTTCCGAAAAGCTACAAACGAGATACCTGCAACAACACCTGCACCGGTGCCAGCGAACCCCGAACCTATGGAACCGTCTACAGCGTGGCTCGTCTGCCATTACTTCGCGCCCCACCACCCTGCCAGTTCAACGGACTCCCACATCACTTCTCTCACTTCTTTAGCACTCAAAAGTGCATTTGTGGATTGTGTATGCAGTACCGAAGAGATCGCAATACGGGAGATGTACAAAAGATGTAGAATGTTCATGAAGACTAACGACGGGAAGCATTTGTATCCGCAAAGTGAGGTGGATGCGAAAACGGTTGTTCTCTGGAAAGACCAGAACAAGGCAAATGACGGCTTCGTGGTTAAATTCTATGTTGAAGGGTCGATTGAATTCATGAAGGAATAGATCATCAGATAAAGGTTCGGGGTGTGGAAAAATATTGCTGTTCAAGCCGACTTGACTTGGAGCAATTGAAGTACGCTGTAAAAAAAGGAATCATAGTTTGTTCTTGCCCGCACTCAAGCCTGCAAATCCAAGCGATCTTTAGTAAGATATATACAGTCGTTCGTACAACTAGAATCAACAAGTCTGGGCAAGAGCATATAGCGCTCTCATTTGTTGTCGAGCAGATCCAAGTGCACGGCAACAACATCGCCCATGCATGTCCAGTTGAGCTCCAAGCGTCGCAAGAAGAGGATGTTCTACCGCGGCTGGACATCTTCATCAAATTTAAGAATTTGACTATAGCAATTATACCTACCAGCACAGTCATGTGGGACAAGTCTAACGTTCAGAAGGAGATGAACCGTCATCCTTACAACCCGTTTCACTAAAACGTATCATGTCTTAACGAGCTTGTGGACCAAGTTATGGGCAAGCGTGACTGGCATATCGTACACGTGAGCAACGTTTCGCTGCCATTCGTGCCTCTAGTGTCTATCTGTTCCAACACCTTCCACGATACCAGGCTACGCTGATCATAGCAAGATAGGTATAATGAACAGCATTGCTGTGGCCGTTGCCTGGGAACCATTTGCGTCTACAAGCGCTTTCGTAGGGCGCATCTCCCACACAGCCCGGCGGGTGCAGTACTATAGCTGCATAACACCAGTATCCCCAATTCAGGCATTTTTAGTCAACGATATCATCCTCCCTGATGACTTGTGCGCTGCGAAAGTACCGTCGTCAGGTACAGCATTCTTGCCTCAAGAGGCAGAGCTTCAAACTGACGCGACAGGATGCTATTCGGTACCTGCATCATGGGATATCGACGGGAAGAGATTATGCGATGCTCTCTTCAGGTACTCACCATCATTGGCCTTCAACTCGGTGTTGTGCCATATTGTACATGTAATGGAGTTCGACATGAAAACCACTACCGAACGATCATGCAGTGCGTATCGAGGGTCAATAAAGTCTAAGGCCAATTGTGTCTAAGAGCGATCAAATCCAGTCAGATTTCGTTACGAGAGTAACCGCGTTGTTTCCGTCGTTACAGCCGTATGCAAGTCATGCCTCAAGTCCAGGGCTTCCACGTCGAACACATGACGTGTCGGTTGCACCAAATTGCAGCACTGGGAGGCAAATGAGGTGTCATGCCGCTGGTGGTTAGCGCGCTTGGTTAGCGCGCTGCAGATTGCATCCGCCTTATCGATACCAGGCCAAGAGTCTTCAACGAAACCACTTGCAACTCGTGGCGACTCAATTGCACCCACGTGTCACTGCCAATTGCTTTTATTATCGCGGGTGTTGAACTGGGGTGTATAGTGTTTGCTTTCTCGACTTTTTCATACTTCCTCGCGACCAGAATCTCGTAGCAGACTTTTCGTCATCTTACGTCAGGATCATCCAGGAACGGCTTCATTTGCATAGTCCACTACACGTATCAAAACGGCTCATCCCGACTTTTACGAGACCGCGAGTCTCACATGTCCGGTCCAACCTCGAACCCAGGCTTGAAGCCCAATGGCAGTTCAGCCTATGGCACATTCCCACGACCGAGGTTAAGCTCAGGCGTCGACAGTCAAGACAGCGTCGACAGCACTGCCGCACAGAGTAATGGCGACGACGTTTCCCCAAAACGCAAACCCTTACCACCGCGCAAGTCATCCAGACATGTGGAGTTTAGGAACCATCTGAAACGACCCCATCTGACCGAAAGTCATCGGACTCTGAGCGATGCCTTGCGCTCGGCGAAAAGCCGTGAAGAGCAGGAGACCTTGATGCCAGATGATGTCAATGCGGGTGCTGATGGATGCTTCAATGGGGGAGGCGAGCCCGTGGGACCTCGAGAGGTGTTTGCTCCGTATCAGCATTCGGGATTGAAGGTGTACTACAACATCCATCGGTGAGTACGCATAGTATTTCAGTGGCAAAGGACAGTGTCTTGGGAAGACGTTTTCGAGTATGCCTAGGATTGTGGCGCACTTCGGTCTCTACGCAGCCATTGCCAACAGCAGCGTTGCATCAGTCACAGGATCTGACTCTCCACAGGATACGAAGACTCCTCTTGGCCGTCATCGAAGATCCATATACTGTTGAACAGCTGAGGGAACCTCGAATGAATGTTCTGATCGTCAAACCACTTGTTGACAGACTTTATGATGAAGACGACATTTCCATAGGTAAGTTGATAGTGTTTGAAGAAGATCGCACTACTCACATGGATCAGTGTACTGTCTTCTGGTCAACCGTATGCAATTCCTGCGTGAACAGCAATTCCAGCAACACCATCAAACGGTGGATCTTACTCGTGCCAATCTCTGTGAGCTAGTGGCAATGAAGGTTCTGCGACGACACGATGAAGAAAGTACCGGCAAAGCAGGACTCCTGCTCCTGGCGCAGATCCTTGTCGCACCGTTTCAGCCCTTCCAAGGCGCTCCCGAAGAACGCTGTCCACAGAGACATTTGCCATCGGAGTATCAAGGACAAGGCGACTACGATGGCAAATTGACGGCTTTGGAGGTCGCCATCGTGTCTGAAAGTAAGGTACTGCTCAGCAGCTCGGCCTCCCAAAAGGTCATTGACGCTGTGTACCGCGGACGCATTGTCTACACCCCAACCACGTTTATCGATATCATTCCTGATCACTACAAACACAAGGCGATAGCCTTGTACGATCCTCGCAAGGCTCCGTTGCTGAACCAATACCGTCTCATGGTGCCCCGGACGCGCAATGTTATCGAAGTCGTACAGTTCATGTTACTCCTTGCATCGTACTGTTGGTGTATGCACAGACGTCAAGACCACACCCTTACCAACGCAGAGATTGTGTTCATGCTCTATGGCGCAGGATGGGTGTTGGATGAATTGGCGTCATGCCTGGAACACGGTTGGGAAGTTCATACGCAAGAACTCTGGGCGTTTCTAGACGTCACTTTCGCCGGTATCTTCATCATCTACTTCAGCATGCGAATCCACGGCTGGGTGATTGGGGTTGACGAGACGGGCAGGCAGGCGCTGGACGTCCTCGCTGTCGCTGCACCGATACTCTTCCCACGTATCGCATTCAATCTGATGCCTGAGAACATGCTCTTCATCGCATTGAGAGCCATGGTCAAGGAGTTCACGGCCTTGAGTCTCATCGCGTTCTGGTGCTTTGGCGGCTTCCTCCTCGCGCTGAAGTGGCTCAGCATGAGCAATCCTCACGTGGGGTCCGAAGATTCCCCCAACGTAATCACAATTTCCAAGTGGATGCTCTGGATCTGGTTTGGTCTTGACGGCACTGGCATTGACGAAGCGCCCAAGTTTCACGAGATTCTTGGCCCTACTCTAATGGTCATTTACGCCTTCATAGGCAACACGTTGTTCCTGACTGTCCTCGTCTCGATTCTCTCAAACACTTTCTCCAAAATCGCCGTGGATGCTACAGCAGAAGTGCAATTCCGCCGCGCAGTCATGACCTTTGAAGGCGTAAAGTCCGACTCGCTCTTCGCCTATCGTCCGCCCTTCAACCTTCTCGCGTTCGTGGTCCTCCTTCCGCTAAAGTTTCTGCTCACGCCACGCTGGTTCCACAAGATCAACATCACAGCTGTTCGCATTCTCAACGCCCCAATCCTCCTCTTCATCGCGTATCACGAGCGCAAAGCCCTCTGGAAACCCGTTCGACGCCGCAGTCTGAGCGGCCCCGGGCCCACCAAGCGCTCAAAATGGTTGTTCGACGGCGGCTTTTGGGCATGGAGCAAGATGAGTCCGCATGAGGATCTCCGAGCTGTATTTCAAGACGAGCCGCCACAGGCTATCGTTTACCAGATCGAGGAGGAGGATGATCTCGAGGATGCGATTCTGGAGAACAGTTTCGCAGGTGCTGCTGCTGCTGGAGCCGCGAATCGAAGTATCAGTCCCGGGAGTGTGTTGACGAGACGGAGGCGGTTAAGCAGCGTGTGGCCGACTCCTTCGGTGTAGGTGTTTTTCGTGTTCGGCCGTTGCCACAAGTTGTCATCACAGGGCTGGCGGGGAGTTGCTGGGTATCACTTTTATATGCTCAAGATAGCGGACTTGACTTTGCATCATGATCGGTTTATCCTGTGTAGCGAATCTGTATTTACCAAACACTTCACATACATAAAAATATACGAGAAGCCACAAGTTCACGCCCTAACCAAATCAAGCATCTCATCGGCCCTCCTCTCCACAATCTTTCCGCGCGTCCGACTTCGCTATCCATCTATGACTCAACCTCAACCTCAACCTCAACCTCACCATCACATCCCATCAATCCCCCATCCCTTCCTCAAATAACCAAAGCAAAAGCAAAAATGGCACTCTACCCCCTCGCCCCGCACGCCCCCCTCCTCACTCAGTTCCTACACAAAAACACAAACGATGTGCCCACCCCAGCCATCATACTCGACCGCGCGCTGATAAAACGGCACTGCGAGGCCATGCTACGTGTCTGCAGCGACCTGGGAGTAGGATTCCGCGCGCACGTTAAGAGCCACAAGGTACGCCGTATCACTTTGCATGTCATGTCATGTCTTGTCTTGTCATGTAAAGGCTGAAATGGGGAGGTAGCTAACAGGGACAGACGCTCGAACTATCCAAACTGCAAGTCAGCGCTGCCCCATCCCAACCGGCGAATTTCATCGTGTCGACGGTGATGGGGGGCGAGCAGTTAGCAGACTATGTGAGGGAGTGTCAGGGTGTGGGGAGGGAGAGCAGTGTACGTCGCCCCTTCTCTCTGACTTTGTACGATTATTTCATTGATGAGTTATTTATTGTTTATCTAGATTCTCTACGGCGTGCCTGTTTCCCCATCGGCTGTCCCGCGACTGGTGGATCTCGCGCGTACGCTGGCGCCGGGGTCCGTCAATGTGATAGTCGATAACCGGGATGCGTTTGTCGCGTTCCATGACAAAGTCAAGGAGAGTGGGGTGCAGATCGGCGTGTTTGTCAAGATCGATACGGGGTATCACCGCGCGGGGATTACGACTTCATCGCCGCGGCTCCCCGCGCTCGTGGAAACCATCGTCGAGCGAGTGGGAGCTGAGTTCCGCGGGTTCTACTCGCACTTTGGACACTCGTATGCAGGCAACTCCGAGGACAACGCGGCAGAGGGGCTGATTGAGGAGTTGGTTGGGCTGGAAGCAGCGTGTCGAGTAGTTCCTGCGTCGTATACTGGGAAACTAGTGTTGAGCGTTGGGGCCACGCCAACTGCGACAGCGGCGCAGAACATGCTTTCGAGCGGGTCGCCGCGGGTCAAAGAGTTCCAGGAGGTGTTGGGGAGACTGAAAGAAAAGCATGTTGTTGAGTTGCATGCGGGTGTGTATCCGTTGTTGGACTGCCAGCAGGTGGCTACGCATGCGCGACCAGCGGCGGGCATCGGGGGACTGTCCAAGGAAAACATTGCGATTCGGATGCTCATGGAGGTGACGAGCGTGTACGACGAGCGCGCAAAGCCCGAGGCGCTGGTGTCGGCTGGGTCGCTGGCAATGGGTCGCGAGCCGTGTAAGAGCTATCCTGGATGGGGCATTGTCACGGGCGCGATGGGTAATAGTGGGACAGGGTCGGTGTACGATGAGAGTGGCGACAAGACGGGGTGGATTGTGGGGAGAATCAGCCAGGAGCACGGCATCTTGACTTGGGAGGGCGAGAGGGAGAAGATGAACCCGCTGGCGATTGGCGACAGGGTGACGATCTGGCCAAACCATGCTTGTGTGGCCGGCGCTGGATTTGGGTGGTACCTCGTTGTTGATTCTGACGAGGGTAAGGGTGATGTGGTTGTGGACGTGTGGGTGCGCTGGCGGGGGTGGTAGAGCAGACGCGCAGGCCAAATAGCGTGTCAAGATTCATGATTAAGAGAGTGTCAAGACCCATGAACAGGATAGATGTCAAGACTCAGTCCAAAATAACCTCACTTCCACCTGGGCAGTCACCGCTGACTGGGGTGAGTGGCATACTTGGGTGCTGACGCCCTGCCCCCACCTCTCCCTATTTGCGCTTGTGCTTGCATGGGCGCTGGGGCGATCGGAGGCTGTGTGGGGAAGACTGGCGGAGTCGGGACGGCGGGCGAGGGGTAGGCGAGGTGGCTGGTGGGCGTCTCCCACTTCATGCTCTGGGCATACAGGCCAATCGCCTTGACCTCGTTCAGGATCTGGTTGAGTGTCTGGGTGTGCAGGCCCGAGTCGTGCAGCAGCCTGTTCTGGAAGTGCTCGCGGTCCTGGCGCTGGCGGTCGTGGAAGCCGGCCGACGAGGTGCGCCACGTCTCCTCGCGCTTGTCGTGGATGTCGGCGGCGACGCGACGGCAGTCCTCGACCCACCTGATCTGCGTCGAGAGGAGCTTGGCCTCGCGACGCACAAACTCGGGCGTGGGCGCGGCGGGGTCGTCGCGGTCGGCCGTGGGCGCGGGGAAGGAGGCGTTGCTGGCGAGCGAGTCGCGGTGCTGGGGGTAGCTGCGTGTCTGCGCCTGCTCAAACTCCCACTTTGCCTTGTCGTGCCACTCCTCCTTGAAGCGGCGCAGCAGGCGCTGCACGTGATTGACGCACTCGCTGGTGTCTTCCTGTATGTCCTCGCGCAGCTTGCCGAGCAGGTCGTCGAGGTCCTCCTTGGTGATGAGCGGCATCATGTCCTCGTCGTCGCCGCCGTCGTCGGTGCGCTGGCGCTTGCTGGACGAGTCGGCGTTGCTGTCGAGCTTGCGCTTCTTGCGCGAGACGAGATCGCGCTCGAGGTCTGCGTCCGAGGCGCGTCGCGTGGGCTTGAAGGTGCTTGGCGGGGACGGGGCGGGGACATGGCCGTTGGCGGGGCGCGGCGTCTTGAGGGTGGCGTGGACGGTGATGGGGTACTCGTCGCCGTCGTCGTCGGGCACAATGGCCAGCTCCCACGTGTGCGTGTCGCTCAGCTCGAGCTGCAGGGCGCCGTGGGCGTTGGCCCAGGTGCCGTCGCGCTTGTCGAGCTCGCGCTTGAAGTCGTTGATGGCGTCGGCAATCTTCCTGGCCGTCTGCGCGACGAGCGGGTCCACGTCGGCCTCGTCAGTCGAGGAGGGTGCTGCAGCGTCCATGGTGCGGCGTCCTGTTCTCTTCCTCTTCTTCTTCTTATGTAAGCGAGTGCTGTGCAGGTCGCCTCGCTGTCTCTGTCTCTGCCTCTATCTATATCTGCATGCGACGGCGGCGGCAGGGTCGGGTCGAGGGCGACAAACGTCTCTGCACGGCTCTCGTTGCTGCACCGAGCCTGCTCGAGCTCCTTCCTTCCCCACCGTCACCGGCGAGGCTGGCGGCACTAGGAAGGTCGGGCCGGCACCGCGCTTGTCCGCGTCTGGCCATGCAGCGCAGCTCTCCCGCCCGCTGAAGCCGACTGGACTGGTCGACTGGCCGACGGGACTGGCTGAGTGCATGGCGCTGGCTTGACTGGATGGAGGAGCTGCCTGGACGGAGCTGGTCTGACGTTGGCTGAGCGTTGCTTCTTGCGCTTCCTCCCGCCGCCGCCCTGATAGTCCAACGCCCGTACATAGCCAGTCTCCGCGCCATGTCCTTGAGCCACCTCCGCCGGCCTCGACACCTTCCCTCAGAGACTCGGCAGCGACGCCCCTGACGGGCTCGCTAGCTATGACGACCTCCCCCATCCACCCGCTGGCCGACATGCAGGCTGCTTTTGAGGAATCGATGCAGGACGCAACGGGCCAGACGGGCTTCGTGCCCCTGGCCGTGCCCAACAAGAGCATCAAGGCCCGCCAGCAGCTGCTGTGCCGCGACGACGATGCAAAGGAGCTGGCCTGGAACCCGACGTACGCCTGCCACTGGCGACACCACCCCCGCGGCCGCTTCCACCCGCTGCTCAAGACGACGGCGCAGATCGTCTTCGGCGTGCACCTGCTGCACCAGCACCTCGAAAAGTCCATTGCCGACGTCGCCGACATCCTGCTCAAGCACGTCAACGAGCTCGACTGCTTCCTGCAGCGCGCCAACGACGACATGGACGCCAGCCTCAAGGACATGCTGTTCCGCCGCAAGTGCCTGCAGGTGCCCATGGAGCACGTCAACGAGTTCGACCGCCTGCTCGAGGACCCCAACTACCGCGCCCAGCTGCTCGACGGCAACGTCACCATCGAGCGCACCATGACGCGCATGTCGACGCTGATCGACGACTACCTGGTCGACATGAGCACCTTCCGCGACGCCGTCCAGACCCTGGACGCCTACCTGCTCGACATTGGCCAGGAGTGGACCCACGTCAACGACGACGTGGCGCGCATCTACTCGGCCATGCGCGGCAATACGCGGGGCTGGTCGCAGTTCCTGCAGAGCCTGGCCGCCAAGATCGAGAAGCTGGGCGTCGTGCTCGTGCAGGTGAGCAGCTACTGCAACGAGATTGAGAAGCGTTGCGGCGCTGCGAGTCGACGAGATTTGGTGAGCACCCCCCTGACATATCGACCAACGTCTGGCTGACCACGTACAGATGGCGACGCGCACCTCGTCGCGCAACTCGTCCAATTCTCGCGACAACGGACGTTCGATGCGCAACTTTGCCAACAACAAACCTCTCCCCACCGTCCCAAGCGAGCGTCCTCCCTTCATGACACCCTCAGCCAACAGCAGTGCAATCCTCTCTGACGCACCTTCTGGCCTCCGCCATTCCACCATACGGGCTATTCCGCAGACACAGGCAGAGTACGCCAGAAGATGTGACGTTGCCGGAACCCCAAAGAGGAGCCAGGACTCTGCCTCATCCTCTGCTGCTTGTAGTATCGTGAACATTGGCGTGCAGCGTCGTAACGATGCTGCGAAGCCCGAGCACATCGTCCAAGAGCGCGGCCGAGCTGCACCGCAGACAGCACGTCGCACGAGCCAGCTCTCCGGCCACCAACGAGTCATCGTCACCCAGGAATCAACGCCTGCGCAGACACACCCGTCAGGGGCCCAACAACAACGCGACCGTAGTCCTGTCATGGCCTGCAAAGACTCGGCCTACTCCTCCGTGTCCGGCGTCTCTGTAGCTTCACCTTTGCAGCATCCAGCTTTTTCCCCGCCTTCACAAACACAGCCACAGTTTGGTCTGTTCCCGAGTAGTAGTATCAGCAGCAACCACAGACCTAACAGCTCCTTGTCCGTACGTCCCGGTTCTAACAGCAGCACCACAGCACTCCCAACATACACGCCCGAGCGCTCGACGACATCTCTTAGTAGTCCTGAAACGGGGGGTAAAAGGTTATCCAGGCGAAGCAGTCTGACTTCGCTCAAGCAGCTGTTCAGTAAGAAGAAGAGGGGCAAAACCATGGGCGCTATTTTGGAGTGATTTGTAGGCTATGACTGATGACCCGTTTTTGTGTTTCTTCTTTCTGCATCATCCCGTTTTGGTAGGCGGCTTTATCTTTCATGGCGCGTTTATGTGTGTGTGGTTGTATACCCCTTTGCTTGCTTTCGACTTTTGGCTCGTTTCTCAATATCTCCGTAAAAGTTTCTGAATGTAATGGCGTGGTGAGATAAGATTTGGAATAAGTGCTCTTTTTGTGTATGACTGTGGTAGAAGCAATCACCTTGTGGAAGACCATGCGTGGGGCATTTCTTGTACAAGCTGCAGTACAGCATTGGTGTTGTGCAAAACATGTTCTGGACGTTTGTGATCCGCGAAAAGTAGGTGTAGGTGTGTCTTCGAATCAAACGGCTGCCATGTAGCCGTCTTTTCTTCTCTTCGTACTTGCGTGTCAGGCAAAATATACGTGTGTGCTCTTGCTGCCGACAGAGCCGTGGTGAGGTGGGTGCTTTTGGACCTCGTCAACACAGCAGGAGCGGCGGAGCAGGCACAAACACCATCTCCCCCCCACTCCCTCTCCCTCTCCTCCTTCACCCCCGCCTCACTATCATCAACACCGCTCACTCCTTTTTGGCAGAAGTTGGTCTGCAAAAGCTGTCGTCTCTCGTTTGACCGTTTGGAGCTTGATAGTTGGATAGGCTTTGCCTTGTCTGCATCTCCTTTTGCTCCTGGTATTGGGCATCTGCATATCATCCACATCTTTTGCGGGCGCCTTACACTACTACCCCCTCGCCGTACATTGCTCCCAGCTGCTCCAAGTCGACGCTCACAGCAGCCTCGTACTGCACGATGCTCACCGATCGGGATCCGAACGGCGGTGCCAGTGGGCGCACCAGTCGGGCCTCCAACCTCTCCGCCATGTCGCGGTCAACACACAAACATTCTGGCGGCGCGGGCAAACATGATCTGTTCTCCTCTGTCGGTCCTGGCGTCATGTCCATGCTCCGTACATCGACTGAGATGGGCAATCTCGCTGGCCTCACAGGCGACATGTCTGGCATGGGCAGCCTGTCGCGTCCTCCAAACCGGAGGAACGCTTCGAGCAGACTCTCAAACACGTCGTCCATGTCCGGCACCTCCAGCAGGGCGAGCCACCATCATCGTCAGTACCCCTCGTCTTCTTCAGCTGCACGCCGCTCGATGACGCGAGAGCCGCAGTACGTCGCCGATACCCTCTCACCCACTCTCATGAACATTTCTGGATCACCGTCCTTGGTCCCAACGCACAGCATGAGGAGCCGGGACAGAGATTCTGGTCGCTCACTGTCGATGACCCACGCCATGCAGCCAACCTACAGGCTGTCGAGCAACCGATCACTGGGCAGTCTTCGTGGTCACGATCACCTCCCGCGACCAAATTCTCCATACCACTATCCGTCCAGGCTGAGGAGACCGTCTCATGGCCCAACGTCGCCAGCTTTGAGTGACATGACTGGTGTACACCCGAGACGCTTCCATGGGCCTTATGGTAGCCGGGGACAATCACATCATCCTGGCCAGAGACAGCCATACAACCCAGGTCAGGGACAGCCCTATCACCCAGGCCAGGTGCGACCGAGAATTCCGTCCGACACCAGCCTTGGTCGTCAGGAGAGGATGCCTAACATGTCTCGCCGTCCAAGCCGCAACCATCCGCAAGCCTTCTACAATGCGCCGCGTGGTGATATTCCTCCCGTGCCGCCGTTGTTCCATCACCACATGGCTGTAGAGAATGCTCGCTTGGCTCACAGGTCTGCGAAGAGCTCCTTCTCCAGTGGCTACACGAACTTGCGTACAGACTCTGATACGCCTTCATCTGACGCGCCGTCGCCGCCGACACCCAAGGGTGGTTTGTCCATGGGAGTCCTCATCAACCCGACTAACAATCGGATGACCATTGACACTGTGACTGGCGTCGTGAAAGAGAACCTGATGAGCGGACCGTTGTACTACGACTACAGCGAACAGTTTGAGCGCGAGGAGTTCACTGAGCCTGAGGTGGATCCAATTCCTACTGGTCTCACTCAACGCATCAAGACGATACACGAAGAGCGAGGACTAGTCGAACCACTCTCGCCCGGCCGTGTCCCAAGGATTGAGGATATTGTTGACCCCGTGTGTTCAGAAGTCCCGGGCATTGTGGAACTTCCTGCTTCCCCTGTCGCTCGACGTATCACCAGGGACTTGATTCTGCAGGCACTGGAGCCAGCCTCTACGACGGATATCGAAGCATCTAACAAATCACCTGCCGTCGGGGATGATGGTGGTAGTGCTCCTCTTGGCCACGATGGGGCTGTGACTGGCTCTGGGAATGATGAGTCGAGCAACTCGTCCCTGCTTCCTGAAGATTCCAAGGACCATCGCCACAGCATCCTGTCTCAAGCTGGATCGAGTATTATGAACTCATCAACGCTCGAATTTGCTGTCCGATACTCCATTCCCATGGCCACCGGTACTGGTCTTGATACCGGACCTTCTCCTGAGGATGAGGGTGCGCCAGATTCACTATCTGGGCCTGGCGCAAGCACCGAGGACGGCATGTCTGACTTGATAGGCGGCTACCAGCACACCGAGTTGAAGCAAGAGGAGGACGTCGTGCCGGGTCATGATGCACCTGCCCCTCCTGATGAGCATGGAGATTCGAGGAGGAGCAAACATGTTCAGAAGCCTTCAGATGAACAGTCGTTCAAGTCGTGTACAGATGTGCCAGAGCCGTTGTCGCCCGAGCGAAGGTCCAGAGAACAAGACGCCAAGTCATTCAAGTCATGCACAGATGTCTCGACAGAGCGGGAGGTTTCAATGAAGAAATCAGACTCCGTTCCGTCCAAGACGTTCAAGGACCTCGCAACGCCAACCCGTGCGGTGTCTCTGCCGCCATCAAGGCTGCCGACATCCAGCTTGTCGACTTTGGATACCCCTGGCAGGCGACCCTTCTCTGAGATGCCGCTGTCGAGTCCTGCTCCTGCCGTGATTCGCAAGCCACACGTTCCGCCGCGTGAGTCGAGCTTCTCTATTGCGGGTGGTAAGTTCCGCACCAGTTCCAGACCCAGCATGAATCAGAGTTCAGTGTCAATGTCAGCTTCATCGTCGACTCTGAGCGCCACGCAGCAACCGCCTTCTGTGCCACCGCGCGAGTCCAGTTCATCGAAGGAAGCACAACGTTCCAAGGATGTGGCAGCATACTTGATGCGTCGATTCATGCCTGCGAACTTCGCTAAGGGACGCAAGCTCATCAAGGAGGACGACGTGACCAAGTGCGAGGGCAGTGATACCCCCAGGTCTGGTGAACTCTCGCAGGCGACGCTCAAGTCCACCGACTTCGGCTCACCCTCGCAGTTATCTCTGGAAGTGATCAAGACGCCAGAGAAGGTATTGACCAAACAAGAGGCGATCGCTGGAAAGCAGAAGGCTTCTCCGGTTTTCCTCAAGCCTCGCAATTCGGCTAATGTCTCCGATGTCAGTCCGACACCTGTGATGCATCAGCACTCTTTCAGCAGTCCTGTGTCCGGTGTCCCAGAGGCTTCATCCGTCTATTCTCCCCAAGATAGCTCTTTACGGCCCCGTGTGCAGTCTTCTCCTACTGGTGTGCCGATATCCCCAGAGCAGGACCGCCGAGACAGCCAGACTACGACGCATCTTGTCTGGCATGGTCGCGGATCCCTCAACATTCCCTCTGCTAGTGCCAGCGCACCTCACCTACCTCTATCGGATGCTCAGGATGAGACCACGACTGACCTGAGGTTGTCCACGTTTAGATATCCCGGTCCGCCGCACTATCTTCCTGACCTCAAAGAAGAGTCGCATGAGGACTCAAGCCTTAATACTAGTGCAAGTAATTTGAAGAACTCGAACTTTCGCTTCCCGTTCGGCGTGCCATCTGGGGCTCTGCCTGGCGTGCGCGCATCCGTCGAGGATGGATTCCTGTTCTCGAGGAAGTCTTCCGTGGGCTCCCATCGCCGTAGTGGTGCCGGCCCGGATGGCGGCTTACCTTCGATGAACTTCAGCCAGATGGACTTGTTCGAGAGGTGCAACGAGGCGCTGGACCTGCGTGGCTCGCGCTCCATGGGCGGGCTCCGGGTCGATTTGTTGGAGGTAGACGAGCAGCGACCTGCGTCGGCTGAGGGGATGCGTGAGAAATATCGGATGTCCGTGGTTCAAAAGCCTGGAGGGGAGGTACACCACACCACGATCAAGGACATGTTTACCTTGAAGCGACCCTACTCGCCCGAGGACTTGAAGTTCAAGGCAGAGATTGATCAGTTGACTATTCCGTCAGTGGGAGGTCTTACACAGCGCATCTCGGAGATCATGCCTTCGCTGAGGGAATACTACAAGACTGGCGAGGCGCCTGAGTTCCCTGCAGAGGAGATCATCATGGAGCATGCGTTGGAGGAGATCCACGAAGTAGGCGTACCGGTACAGAAACGCTCGTCTGCTCGACTTCGACCTATGCCTGGCTCTCCTAACATGGTCGTCATTGAGGATGCACTCTATGAAGAACTTACGGGTAGGGAGAAGGAGAACGGAAGCCCTGGTAGCCACGGTGACGGCGCGGCGAAACTTGGCACCGGTGAAGACAAGAGGGTGAACGGCGACAACAACCTCGTTCTCACCCCCACACGCCCCATAACCCCAGTGGCCGAGCTTGCAGTTCCGTCTTCTGCTGTTCTGCGCCCTCGTTCGGTCTCTGTTGGCGGCTATCATGATCTACGTGCCTCGGTGGAGTCCACGTTGTCTATGAGGAGATCTCTGAGGTCCTTTGTCTCGACGCCCACTACAACAGATACGCGTCCGTGGAATTCGGACAAAAACTACCCGTGGGCTACCTCCTCCATCCCCTCAGTCGACATCTCACTTCCACTGCCGACGGCAATTAGGCACTCGCCTCGCCCTGGCCCATCACACTTACGCAATACGCTATCAGACGCATCGACGGCAACATTTACGTCAACACACACTCCAACCGCGTCGCCTTTCGGTCCTACGTCTGGCTTCGACGCTCAAACTCGTCAGGCTCACCGCTTCAGTCTCTTCGGTTGCAACAGTGATGTCAGTCACGCGGCGGGTGAACGCTACCCCACGTCTGCGCTGACACCGCCAACTGCCATCTTCCGCGATCACTTGTCGGCTTCTGACACGTCTGACGACGAGGCCGAGCTCACCACTACACGCAAAAGCAAGTTCAAGCTCCGCAAACGCTTCTCCTCCGCACGTGCACCTGACTACAGCACTCTCAACGTCAATGTAATCCCAAGCCACGGCTCAGCGACGTCGATCCAGGACGAGGCTCATAACTTTACGGCCACCAATCGCCACACGTACCGTGAAGCAGAGGGCATGCCCGCAGCGAAGTACCATCAACACCGTCTTCTCGCTCTTTGCCGTCGCTGGTGGCACAAGGGTGGTGATTTGATTCGCAGCATCTCGTCGCGCCGCAAGGAGTCGACGGCGACTGTATAGTTTAGCACATCATGCCTCCCATGGTTTCCCTTTCTTTTCCACCAAACACCTCAGAGTTCCCAGCAGTCCTAGGCGCTTTTCTGGAATCACGTCTATCTCTTGGAGGTTCTCGGATGCCGCTGCACTTTTCTTTCTCAGCAGTTGGTTTGTGGTAGGACAATTATGGGTGATTATATCTGGCGTTTCAGATTCTAACGACATCATGAATACTAGGAAGTAATCGAAATTCATGTAGTCACATAAATAGCTCTCTAGTCGTAGATAGCTAATACAAAGATCTGACTATCTAACACGTTGTCGTGTGTGTGTGTGCTTTGTTGTGGTGTGTGAGACGCTGTGGTTGTAAGGGTGGTGCATTGTGGCGGTAATGTGATGAAGATGTGATGCGCTATGCAGTCATTGTATGGGAATATTGTTCGACACTGTGAGGAAGAGACGTGAAATTGGAGGTGTTGTGGAGGCCTGGAAATGAGGAGAGCAAGACATTGGAGTTATCATGGTATATCGTGAAGAGATGCATGAAGTTAGACGTCAATAAATTGAAGATTCTGGAATCGTGAAAAAAAAATGGTTCAATTAGTAAAAGTAACACGGTAAATTGATGTTGAAGACATGATTACTAGTCGAGGTATAGTCATATGAGCAGGTTGTGCAAGTCCACACATCGAGTTGTAGATAGGAGGTGGGAGGTAACCGGGATGTCCTTTTCCTCATAGACACTCGAGATTGAGATGTGCAGAGTACATGGGTAGAGGTGCTCTTACGGAGACGTGGTGAATGTGTGGAATGCGTTCTTCTCCAACGAGTGTTTTTGGAGAAGGGTCGGAAGATGGGAAAGCTTGAGTTGGGTGGGCTTTGCTTGAATTGGGGATGTGCTGGTGTTTTGTGAATAGGAGTTTCTGACTGCATCGAACTCGTGATGGGAAGATGCAGGATTCAGACGTTGATGACCTTTGTAAAATGTCTTCTGTTGGGAGGGTGCAGAATTGAGAGGCCAAAAGGAGGAGTATGTCACGTTGTAATATTGGTTTCTCACACGGTTGTTATGAGTAAAATCTTCACTTGTATCAGTATGTAAGTGGCCTCTTATGACTCATAGGAGGGTATCAGCCCGATTTGACACCAAACATGCTTTGATGTAGACAAAATTCGTTTCTTCCATAAATATGCATACAACTATCAACTTAGAAAGTTTGGTTGTCTTTGTTTGTCTCTGCCCTATTTCTTTTCAAATTGATGTTGTTCCATCGAGGTATTAGTTTGGAAATTGATGCTGCACGCTGATGAACACGTAGGGCGATTATTGTCTCGTTCTGTGGGACACGTCAATCTCCGTAGCTTGACTTTCAGCGTTATGAGATATGCGCTTTTCTCATCCGCCGGCCTTGACATCTTGCCCTGGGGATGTGGAGGGCCTGTTGTGGCAATCTCCGGTGTGCAGCTTCATGGCCGATAAACATCATGACTGATACGTGGGGGGTTTGATTGTAGTCGCCCAAGATTCTTGGCTTTCGCGAATCCATATCAACTCCCGTAGCGCAGTCTTGTTTGTTGCCCTTTACACGTGGTGCGAGATTCGATTTTGTAGAGCAATAGCTACTTAGAACGACAGCCTAGTCTGTAATGTCTGTTGTGCGTTGAGTGCATTGATGGTACTTCGCGCCGCGCGCTTAGCACATGGTTGATACGAGACTCTTCTTGGCGCCTGAAGTTCCGTCCGTCGATGCTCGGACACGTGGATCGCGGTACAGGTCTCGTATACAGTGAGTTTGACGTTGTGGGAAAACGTGCGTTGTGCACTATCTCTAATGTATGAGTTGTCACAAAAGGCACAGCACAAGGCAAAGATACTATACCGGAACACAGAACTTGCGCCACCCATTCGTGAAGGACTAGAGATGCGGACCGAATATGTAGAGCTAGTAGAGACTCACAATGAATATGCGCGTGCCGACATTGTCTGAACCAAAGAATTGGTATCAGCGCTGGTAGAGACAAAGCTCCTGCTTAGAAAGATATACGAGGTAAACGCGGGGCTTCGTCGTCCGTTCTTTGATTCTCAAACTCAAAAGAGCCTAGGTCGTATGTTTCACTCCCCACGATTCGGCGTTTGGTATGAATGGTATGGTCGAGTCGACTAAGCTGACGTCACACTTCAAGTCACTTCAGTTGACTCCTTTGAACCGTGACAAACTACTGCAGAAGGAGACTGGAGGTCTGTCACACTGCCTTTATCGGGTTAGTCATCTGGTAAAAGAACATGATCTAGACTCGGTGATATTGGACCAACGCCAAAAGTGTGAGCGGAATCTGGGACCAAATTTGCCTTGGTGCCATTGACCACTTCCCAGTAGCCACATCTCATCGCTCAGCACTTGTAACGCGTGGCTTCCGTAATGTATACTCGAAATTCTGAAATCAAATGTGATGAAAATTGAGGAAAGAATCTTGACGATGACTGATGGGACAAGAGAGTTGAACGAGAGGATTGAACGAGACAGAGCTAGGAATATGAGGTTCAACCCTTTCCTCAAGCTAATTGCTTCTCTCGTATTAAAGAATCTCAAGACAACTTCAAGAATTGGAAAACATTCTAACAAGGGGAACCCAACCTCAATCCCCGAATCACAACACCTATGAAGTTGCCGGTCAAATATCCGCGATCGGCTATTCAGCCTATCAACTTATCTACCCCTTGCAGCACGCTGTCCTTACTCATTAATCCAGTGCTTTGAAATCTACACTTTGCATCAAATCACGAAGTCGAGTGTACGATCTATCCTTACTGACGTCACGAGCTTGTGAGGTGGTCAGGGATGTGCGACCCACTCAGCGCACCCGAAGAATGTCGGGAGATCGACGTGGAAGGTAAAAACACAGATCGCATGCACACTTGCTAGATAAGGTCAGGTCAACGACCTGTTTTAGAAACAAGGCTGGGGGCGCGATTCTGCTACCGTGTCATCGTGGCTGGTTGCGAGGGTACGTCAAAGACTGATAGCGTGTGTTGTCCGTAGTGTGTAAAAGTGTCTGGGTTACACGAGGTCGTGGTTGGTTGCTGTGCCTTGCGCTTCAATTTGAGTTGGGTAGCGTGGGGATGTTTTTTTGCGATTTTGAAAACAATCGTTACTCAATACCGGTGTGTTCGGCATCATCCGAGCGCGATCTGATAAAAACTTGGCAGCAGTCTTGGAGCTTGATTCCTTAGTCGAAAAGCATGGCTTGAAATTTGTACAGCGCCCTGAGCCACACGAATGGCATAGAATTTATGTGATGCTTCCGCATTGAGCGACATCGTGCATTGGGAAATGATACGGCAATTGATTGAGTAGACGTTGAGGTATCGGCGATTGAACCCGTCTGGATGTTGGCGCTGTCGAGGTGTGGCTGTCAGAATTATGGAAATACATTTGGAAGTACGTCCTCGGGCCATGACTCGCTTGAGAAAGTGTCTGAAACGGAGAACTGGTAGTGGAGTATGATTTGGTAGTACAGTTGGGTCAGTGGGTGGGAAGACAGACTTCGACTGTCAAGGTATGACAAGGGCCTTACCAACACTCTGGTACCAAAACGTTGATCATCAGGGGACGGGAGGGAGAGCATCATTGGCAGCATGCAACCGCAACGCCATGCTCATATGCAGGCTTGTTCACGAATCGCGAACAGTGGAGATGCGGTTCTTGAAGTGCCATGCTAGGATCGGAAGCTATTCCGCACATAACAGGCAGTTCGGGCTAAATGTGCAGTTCAGTTGCCGAAATTGACCGCTTGCTTCGTTAGGTAACTGCAATATTGAGTGGTCAGGCATTCTGTTCGGTAGACTTGTCTGCGCGAGGTCTGCGCAGAAACGGCGTGGGCCAATGCATGAGGTTGCATTGAGGCTTCTAACAAAATGCTCAATGACTCCGCTTGAACAACCAAACTAGGCACGCAAGGCATGGCGCGAAAGTAGTGTGCGTTTTTGGTAAGCTGTAGCATGACGTATAGTTGAACAACCGCCTGCAGGTGAGGCGATCGTGAGATCTAGAATTTTAGGAATATGTGCAAAGCGGGACAATGTCGGACACTATATCTGCCTGCTCATCGCTAGTCAATACGTTGGGACGACCTCTATAGTTCCATGACTATCGATGGAGTGAGAGCACGGCAGATGAGCTGAGGCTGTGCAATCAAGATAGCGACAACTTTGACCTTAGATAGTATCAAGGTAGCATTACGATCTCGATGATGAGACAAAGAGGTGTAGGTACGATGTTCCAAGCAAGTCATTAAACTATTCTCATCTGGCGCCCTACAGTTACCACCCTCTGTAGACGATCTTAGTTCCATACTTTTCCCCTTTCTTAAGAATCACCATAGATCTGTATTCAGGAACATTGACCGCGTTGACATATCGACTTGGTTCGACGCAGAAACCTGATCGAGCTCCTCTGGCTGGTACATCTCCAGCTGTGGGCACGTCGATGTATTTGCCGGTATAGAACTGGAATCCAGGTTCGGTAGATGAGATTTCGAGGTGAATATTCGTCTCTGGGTGATAGAAGGATGCTATCTTTTGTAGAGGTGATGAGCGGGTATCGATTGGGATGCTGCTAGGATCGGTATTGACAACAAAACAATCGTCCACATCCGGCTTCTCCTCTCCCAACGTGAAAGTAGTCTTAGGGCTGATGCCGGGGTAGTCTTCGATTGGTCCGGTAGGAATGCCGCCTCCGTCGACCACTTGGTATTTGTTCGTGATCAGGTTCACTTCGGTGCCAGTAATGGTAGTTGCTCCAGTGAGATTAAAATAACTGTTTATGGTTAGGGTGTTTTATGCCACTACCATATTTTGGCACTTACCTGTGGTTGGTCATGTTGATGGCAGTTTCCTTGGCCTCGTCACCGACCAATTCCGCTTCATACTCTATGTGCAAGACCTCATGCTGAACACCATCTACTTGCTCTTTATCTTGCACATACCAAACTCGGACCTCTACAGTACCTGGGTAGCCTTCTTCGCCGTCTACACTGACGTACTTGAACAAAGTGGCCTCTTTACCATTACGCTCCACAGTAGAAGGGCCTTCAAACACCCGTTTACCCCAGCCATTGAACCCACCGTGCAACGAATTTGGCCCGTTGTTGATCGGTAACTGACACGATTTTCCATTCAGATCGTTGATCTTACCCTCCGCAACCCGATTTGCGATGCGGCCAATTGTCTCGCCGAAATATGGGGAGTTGAACTGCTTGTACAATTCTGCTGTGGGAAACCCCTGCACGATGTTCACGCCGTTGACTTTGAAAGTCTGGATGATGGCGCCTAGCGGAAGGAACGTAAAGGCTTTGGCTGAAGACATGTTGGCAAGTCTGATGGGTTGCTCTTGTGATGGACTCAAGGTTATTAACTCTGTAAATTATGATCAGCTGAGCGTACAGACTAAGCCATTCTGTACACCAAGTGACTGCATCTCTTGTCGCCAAGCTTCACGATGCTTGAGTTGGGTTGTGGTAGGCATCGATATACTAAGGTCTGCACAAGTGCGGGGCTAATGTCTACGTAATGAAAGATTCACAGACTTACATGATTATCTGTGCAACGCTGTTTTCCAAAGTAATTCCCTAACACAGTCAGGAAAGCAATTTGTCAAGTATGAGAGACGAGAAAGAATTGAATGTTGTTCGTGAGGAGATTCTATGTTTATTAGCCTAATGGCTGATCATGTCAATTCTTCCGGTTCTTAGCGTCAATACAATTCACGTGAGACCACATGGAGATATTGCGTATGAATTCCGTCAAGAGCGCGTGGAATGCCTAACATAGATGGACGTTTCTCTTGATGATGGATGGATGTCGTTGTTAGGACAGGTGTAGTCGGGTACTCCTCCTCGCCGAGGTTCCGCATGATTGAGTCATGTGGGAACATGTGGCCGTAAATCCACGAACAGATCACCATAAGAGCGGTACAAACACGTGGAAGTAACAACATCTTGATTGAGTTAATCTTCTTTTATTTATCTATCAAATCCTCTAGACGTTCATATCGTTCTGCTGACCTTTCTCGGCCAGTTTCCTGCGGTGTGATGTGAGACCCCGGAACCGCTCCGATGCGGGATGCCTATCAGTACAGTCTTCGCGTCATAGCGAAAAACCCTCAATCCCTGACCATGGTATCCGGTGAAAAAAGAGGAGATCGATTCCCAAACAGTAACGCCGATTGCCAGTACTTGGTACAGACGCCGTAGGTATGTACAAGATGCAAAACGCTTAAACGCTCGAAAAAGAAACACGGAGTTACTGGAGATTAGGCCGGGCTAATCACGCACCAACTGGATTTTGTATGAAATTGCTGAAGTCCAAGTCGGTCATGCTATTCCAATCAGGCATAATGGGGTCGCTGGGATGCATTGCCATTGGCTCAATCATGGCGGCGTGATCGTAATTGAAGTTTTCGAAGCCGTACATGGGTTTGCTAAAGTCGATTGGCTCGTCCATCATGATGGAGTCGTTCAACCATGTCGCACGCGAAAGTGGCAGTGGGTCCAGTGTGTTGGTGTTTACGAATGTCGAAGGTGTTGTGGGCGATTCCTGTTTTATGCGAGATATCGGCGATGCTGCCTGAGACTGCCTTGGAAATGGACTGTTCATCGGTGGTGTTGGAGGGGCATGGTTGCGCGTGAAAGGGTCTCTGAAAAGTAATTGTGTTGTTACCGGGGTGTCGCTGTACGATGGGGATATGGAAGGGCGGCCATGTTCAGAATCAGAGCTCACAGACCCTCGCCTATGTGTGAATGTGGCACCTCCTTCCAGCAGTTTCTGTTGCATCCGATGACAGTCTTCCTCAAAGCCTTCGTGGACGCTGTTGTGGTCGTTCGGGGTTTGTAGAAGATCGAGTCGTTCGAGAATATCGTGTGTCAGAGGATGACCGCTTGAACTTTCGGGCAGTGGCTGTCCTGGCCAACCTTGGCCCCTTTGTAGTCGAGTATACAGTTCCCGGAGACCAGTTACAAGTTGTGATTGTTGTTGTTCAAGCATCTCGACGTATCTGCATTGGTTAGTTGTTACTTCAGATACCCCAGTAGAGTCTTCTTACCCTTTGGGATACACCTTGTCTTGCGACTTTTTCCTCTCTCCGAATACACAGATCGCATTGTCAGCTTTACAGCGACTACAAGGACTGGCTCCGTCACACTGATCATGTCAGATTACTAAATCTAGGCTACCGTTTCCACTCGAACATACCTTGGACTTCTTCAACCGACAACGATCGCACGCTTTGCAAACTCGTTTCCTTATGTTGTCTCGTGCCTCCATCGAACTTGATCTACGCGACGACATTGGGATAGGATGGACTATGTGTGATGTCGTAATGTTGTTTGATGATATCGAGGTAAACGGTAGTGTGAATTTTGTCGAAGGAGGGAAGATTGGCAGTGGATGTTATGGGACGAAATCGAAGTGGAATTTGCACACGAGATACGAGAGCCATAGCTTCGAATTATATCTCTTCACGTCAGAGCAGCTGTCGGACATTCGGACTGCTCCGTGCCCATCGGCCGCAGAACCTTGGTAATGTAGTGTAATAAATTAAGACGCTAAATGCTGGAACCTTAATACCTATCCCCGTCGCTCGACAACCATGTCGGATTACTCTAGCCTGATAACACGGTGCACAGACTGGCGCCCTGCAGCAAGCTGACAGAAAGGCACTACTTAGGGCTGATATCTAGCAGCCACACATACGTAGCAACGCGATGCGTGGAAGATGCCACCGAGTAGTGGGTATCCACAATAGCAATGGTCGCCAGAAGTCACATGTGGCGTTGTTTGGGTTCTAGGATGAGGCCGCATAGGTCACGGCTAAGCTTTCAGATCGTAGTTTTCGGCTGTCGGCAACTGACATTTCCACGCCCAAAGTCGTGCGGACTAAACTGCATGCGCGTCTATGCTTATCACCCGTCATACCTAGACATACCCTTTCTGGCAAAACAATCGTGGTATCAGCGTCATCATTATGAATCACCACTAATAAAGTGATTCGAGCCCATTCATGGGCCTCAACCCCCCCACGCTTCCACAACTGATCAACCTGTATTGGATTCGGCAAATAAATTCTCCCATGTGTGAAATAAGCTTTGCGAACGGCACATGTAACGGTCAAAAATCAAAATAGAGATGTTGGGCATTGGTTAAAGGTACAATCGATCGCCAGTCCATGCGAGGTATGTCCATATTGTCGGTATGTCCATATTGTCGATCATAGCAGTCCTTACGAGGCAATCCAAACTGGTCTAATTAATCTCTAGGGTTTAGCATCTTCTGTGCCAATAAGGGTACGTTCAGTACGCTCCACAAGAAGTTTGTATTGCGACCGTCGTCCGCCCAATGGCCATCTTCGCACTGCGTTTTGTTACAGGTTATCAACGGCCCGCAACCATGGTCCGAATATTGAGCCCACACTGCCTATTGGGATTTACTCGTCTGTTCTTAGTGCCATCCTCTTTCACGTCCTTGTCATTCACCACGTTGTCTCTATCAACCGCTTCTTTTGCTTCGTTTGCCAACCCTGTAATGTGTTAATTACGCGTATACTCGTATACTCGTATCTAACTTGAGATTGCTGAGGTACTTCAACTTAGTACAAGGCACACCGCAGTCGTCGTCAGATATCGTGGCTGAGGAGATTAGCTTCGTATACCTACAGCTTCGGGAATTCCCCGCATGAAGGACGCTTACTCTTACCAGCCCTGGCTCCTGTCACTACATGCTTATGCAGATTGCGGCGGTTTTTTATGCTTGACATGCGACCAACGTCTGTCAGCGATCTCGATCACCCTGTCAGCATTGTTAGCGAGCATGGTATTGCTCTATTGGCGGAGAGATCATTGTCAGGATACGCGTATCTTCTACCTTACGTTGAAGCTGGTGGCTTCTGCTGGTGATCAGATCAGCATTTCGTTCTTGGCACTCTGGCCAGATTTGCTGGGTCACAACATAAGAATCCAGAGATGTATGCCTCACTGTCCTTTTCCAGAAGCACCTTCAACCCATGCGCGAATTTTGACTGTGGAGTCTGATCGAAGCACCTGATCGTAAGCTGGGATTCATCGCGCTTACGACACGTCAATTCGTGGCTTTGCTGCGGGATGGTTGTTATGCTTCGAGTCTAGCTCAATGATCTCAAGAGCTCAGCACGGTCATACGATGTACCCCTAGATTTACTTCCATTATACCATTGTCAAACACAAGAAGTATCAAACTATCATAGAGCACTGCTTTCATCTTGCTTGTCACCGTATCAAACGACTTCTCATTAGGCAAGGTTACCTCGAGTACACTCATCCCCTGAAACTTGACTGGGATGAGTTGTAGCATAGCCTCACGATTATGATGTTTCCAGATCACATGTTCATGCAATAAGGCCGCCGTATCTAGGCATCCCGCAAAGCTCACGAATACGGCGATTCGGCATCCTAGTGATCGGTAGCACCAAGCGAGCACTTAGGCCATCAGCACATCAAAGCGAACATCTACCTCTTTGAACAACACCAAGATTCTTGTTTTGGAAGCGTCCAAGACACTTGGTCAATGACCTCCTGACGTTCACGGCCTTGTTATGGAGAGTGCATGTGAAAGTGTAGCCGAGCCAAGTACGCTTAGACTTTCCCATGTGCAACCGAGATGCAAAAGGGCGCACGCAACTCGGCGCTAGGGTTATCCGTCTTCCGCTCCGATGCCCCGCTTGCTCGCCCTGTGGCGTTTCCGATGCCGAGAACCGTACAACCAACCCACCTTCGATAGGTATTCTTTCTTGACTAGTCTTCACTCCGCCGAACATTTGCTGCCCGTTGGGATGTGGCTAGGCTAGCTCAAGAGGTTCTTTGCATGTCTTCGTTGACCCTTCTGCCACGGCACTATGATGTCAACGCACAGACGCCAGGGAGGACTAGTGTCGAACACACTGACTACTATTTGAAAGAAGTTCTGGCAATACGGTTTTTTATTCCTAAGCATGCATGTCATCCGTTTCGGCAGGGGATGTGGCCTGCTCGCACGAAAACCCCAACATGATCGACGACGAGCATTTCTAAGCATTAAACGGGGGGTCCAGTTCCACGCCGTTTGATGTACACAACAAGACCAAAATCGTCTGTCGGTGTCACATTCCCGAGCGTTGACTTGTTCCAACAAGACGGACAAGTGTTGGGGCTGCAAGCAGATAAAGTGATGCCTGAACTTTACATGCATGATCCCACCTGCCCATTCAACATGTCGGTCAAACATTTCGGACGCACAAAGAAAAGGCACGCAGGTAGTCGGGCCTTGGAATTATCCGAGCCTCGGGCGAAAAACAAGAAGACTGATCACCGATCGTCCCGCACTGCAGCAAGTCTAGGCTAAGTTGCTTGATTTGAGATTCTTCCAAGCGTATCTGCCAAATAAAAAAAGAAGAGGCACAATCAAAGTTTCCTTACCGTTCTTTTGCGCCCCACTCGAGTACCTACCTAAATGTTTTGCGAAGATCGAGCGAGCCAGTCTGCCCCCGTCGGGCAAATCATCGCTGGCTATGTGTGACGTGGCTGCGACGTGAATGCTTTGCTTTCCTCTTTAGCTAACCGTCATTCGTTACAAGAAATCACCGCATCACTCGTTCTGGAAGACAATACCCCGTATTACCAAATTATGCCTCACCGGCCCGATCTTCTGGCCGAAAATTGTCCGTTCAAAGGAATAGCAGGTAATTAGACGGTATGTGGCCAGCGATCATTGCAAGATGGGGTCGGCGAGGCATGCAGGTGGACTGATCGAAACGATCCTCGCGCTGTATCGAGAGCTTGTCGGTGAAGGATCACGATGAAAGGGTGCAATCACAACCACAGAATTCATTCTATTGTAAAATTTTCCTCAAAGGGAAGGCGATGTATCTTGTAAAAGACCGAACAATACCTCCGCTTACCAGATCCTAACGAACAGAATCACGATGACATTCCTGTTCTTTGCATGCAATGCCAACACAGTCGAAGACGTCGCACCATAGCGAAAACAGTCCATTGTTTCCACACCGCCTATACTATGCAGAGAAACACAAGCAGAAACCCCTCCTTACCCTCACCGTGGATATCACCCTCGGCCACCAGACCATGCAGCCCAAGCCCGCAACGCTATGCATCTACCAGACATAGCATCAAATCAAGAAAACAAGATCAAGGCAAAGGAAGGCCCGAAATTAGATGCGAACAACGGAAACGTAGCAAGAATACAGTGTTAACAAGCAGGTCGACAAAATTTGCATCTTCTTCTCCCCTCTTACAATCTGGAACATTTCATATCGTGGGGATATAGTAATAGTGGGTAACAATCGATTAAAATGAAGACGGACTTGAGACGCGACAGGCGGGGAACCTGACAGACAAAGGAGAACAGGTCGATCAAGCTGTTCCGTTCTCGAATGTGAACTGAGCATCCTGGAGTTCTGCCTCGAGCCGTGCGCGCGCCTCACTTGCTTGATCATCGTCCTGCATGGACTTTTGCCTCTTGAGTGCCGGCTCACTGTCGGCGGCGGAATCAGCAAGAATGGCAAGGTCAGGATGGAGTTCGTTCCATCGGTCGAGCCATTGTTCGCGGACCACGTCGTAGATGAAGAAGAACTGGTTCTTGCTCTGGACCATCATGGGGCGCTGGTCTCGGAGCACCTGGATGACCCTGACGATGGGGTCCTCGTCGTCGGGGGTCTCGTCCATGGAGCCTTCGTCGAGCTCTTGCAGAAGCCAATCGAGGGCGATAAAGGTGCCGCTGCGACCGATGCCTGCGCTACAGTGCACGATCCGCGGGTTCGTGGAGCAGTCGACGGCCTTTTCACGGGACATGTCGATGAGTTTCAGCAAAGCCGCCTTGTCGGCTCCCTCTGGCACCAGAAAGTCTGGCCAGCCTGCAAAGAGCAAATGGCAGACCTTGCGCGTCTCTTCGCCCTCGGCCTGCACCAGATCCAAGTCGCTCACTATTGTGCGGGCTTCCTCGTCCATGTCCATAGACGTCAGTTCCAGGCTGTGTTGGAAGCCGTCTCCGAACTCGTCGTGCTCGTTGATGTCCATGTGGGGGCTCGAGGGGGAGGGTGGGTAGTACTGGTAGCACTTTTCGCGCCCCGCTTCGTGCGTCTGGGTGAGCATGACGATGACGGCAGGGTCGAGGTTCAGGTTCCAGATCATGCGCCAGAGGTGCGACCAGCTGTCAGCCTTGGGGCCCTGGACGCGGCGTATGAGTAGGTGGGCGTTGTGTCATGTAGCGGGGGGTACGTACCTGTGTAGCAATGTAGGTGAGGGCCGTCTGCGACTTGGTCAGGGTGAGCAGCATGGGCGAGGCGTTGATGTAGTCGGAGCAGCCCTCGGGCACGTCCATGCGCACTCTGTTGGCCTGATAGGGGTCCACGTTGAGGTAGCGGTTGCGGCTCGCGTACTCTTCGCCGTTGCACCGGGCCCATTGGGGCGGCTGGGACTGCTCACCGTCGTCTCTGATGGCGGGGACGGCATCTCGCAGGCGCTGCAGCTGGGCCCATTCCAGCTCGTCCCATGTCTTGTCCAGGTCTGCGCGGGGCGTGTTAGCACATTGGTCCGCCGGCGACACGCGGGCCGAGAGTACCTGCCTGCTCTGCTCTGTCGCAAGAAGGCGGGGCACGCCGCGTCTGCAGTGGCGGGCGCGTCTGGGTGCGCGGGGGCGACGATGGTGCTGGCTGCCGAGCGTGTGCTGTCTCTGCTGCGCGACCGCTTCGTCGACTCGGGCGAGACGGGGTCCGACATGGCCGTGGCCGTATGTGTGCCCGTGGGCGGCGGCGCGGGGGCTGTGGCAGTCGGGTGCTTTGTGCAAAAGCCGCCCCTGGCCTTCGTCTTGCGCCGGAAGGCGCGAAGTTTATGCAGCGTGAAGAGAGTCGCGCGCACACTGGGGAGCGGCCGGGGATGGGGCCAGCGGTCGAGGTCGACGAGTAGCAAGGGAGGGCGTCGTCGGGAGGTATACAGGGCCAGTCGTCGAAGAGGGGCTTTACGCAGACGGACAAGCAGCAGCAGCAGCAGCAGCAGAAGCAAACGCCATGCCAGCACACTTATCGGTCAAGCACGCGGGGGCAGGGGTCCAGTCTCTAGCACCGCTCGCTCCAGCGCGTCCCCCTGCTCGCCGCCGCCGAGGCACCCTTCACCCGTCCACCACGCCCGCACCACGCCCGCACCCACCACCGCCACCCCTCCGTCGCCGCTGCTCTGTGAACGCTGCCAGCATGAACTGGTTCGTGTTTGTCGAGGTACGTGCAGCAGCCTCCACTGGCCAAGCATTACACTGACGCCGCGCTGCAGGCATGGGCCGTCGCAAAAGTAGGTCCAACGCCTCCCTCCCACTTCTACAGTCATTGACTCCCGCCGACAGCTGGTGCGCTCGCCCATGTTCAATCGCGCCATCCACAAGGCATACCGCAAGATCAACAAGATTCCCGACGTTGAGCCCAAGAACGGCGGAGGCAGTACGTTTGCCTGCCATACCTACCGAGGCACACTTGCTCACCCAACCCCAGGAACCGGCCCCTCCGCCGTCGACCACTTCAAGGACGAAGTCAAGAACCAGTTCCGCGATCTCACCTGGCAAAAGCGCCCTCCCAAACAGTGAGCACTTTCGCCATCGCCTCTTGACCCACTCCACGCAACACACCCTACATGACAGCCGTCGCCACCGCGCTGCATGTCCAACAATCCGCGAACCAGCCTCCAGCATAGTCCCGCCCGAAAAACGCGTCTTGCACGAAAAGCGATGGGACATTCTGAAGCAGCGTCGCCAAATTTGCGACTGAATCAAGTCTGAACTCGCAACCATGTTCGTCCTTGGTCTGTATGAGTTTTGCAACGGAGGAGCACGCTACTTACGTAGCCTCTATTATTGCAGTAGCTCCGAATACACGTCTAGAAGCGTGCGGAACACAACGGGTGGCGTTCTTTCTGTGCATGCATTTCCATGTAAGATAATTGGAGCATGCGGCTAATGAAGCCGCAATGTAGCGCTTCTCTTAGTGGATCTTGTTCACCGATCTGCGCTGCGTTAGTGAAAGACATCAGATAGGACAAGACTACTCCAAACCATGCTTACGCTATTCTGGCTCCATATGACAAACCCTCGTAGATCGACTTCGGTGGGTACCTATTCGCATTCATCATTACGTCACAGAAAACTGCACCACCATAAAGACCAACATCAACTTCAGTCGCCAACAACCAAACTATCTTACAACCTATCAACTCAGTTCAACTAAATACAACATGCCATCTGCCATCGTCACCGGCGCCACTGGTTTGTCTGCCATGCACTTTCAACACTTCCTCATCTAACCCATCCAGGCATTCTCGGACGCGAGATCGTCGCTGAGCTCAGCAAGCACCGTCAACAATGGCCCACCGTGCATGCGCTCTCACGCAGCAAGAAAGAAGAGTGCCCCGACAATGTCATCCACCACCACATTGACCTCCAGTCCTCTGCGGACGAAATGGCCGAGGACCTCAAGAACGTCAAGGGCGAGTATGTCTTCTTCGCTGCCTACTTAGCCCAAGACACTGAGCAAGGTGCCTGGGACGTCAATGGTGCCATGCTGTCCAACTTCCTGCAAGCTCTTGTCAAGACTGGCGCCATCAACGATATCAAGAGGATCGTGCTTATCACTGGCGCGAAACAGTACGGCGTGCACCTTGGTGTTCCCAAGCAACCCATGATGGAGAGTGATCAGTGGCTGTGGGATGACAAGTGGCCCCCGAATTTCTACTATAACCAACAAACCATTCTGCACAAGTTTTGCTCCGAGCACAACAAGGAGTGGGTCGTCACATACCCCAACGATGTCATTGGGTTTGCCACAGGAAACTTCATGAACCTTTCCCTCGCCCTGGCTTTGTACATGCAGGTCTCGAAGGAACTTGACGGCGCAGATAAGGGTGTAGTCTTCCCCGGTTCCCCCGCCTTTTACACAATGTTCGACTGCTTCACCTCTTCGAAACTGCACGCCGAGTTCTGCGCCTGGGCCGCGCTGGAGCCGCGTACTGCAAACCAAGCCTTCAACGTCGTCAACGGAGATGTAGAGTCGTGGCAGAATATGTGGCCGAGGGTTGCCGAGTACTTTGGTACTAAAGTCAAGCCCGATCAGTTTGCAGACGTCTACAAATCTTCGCCCGTGGCTTCCATTTCCAAGTGGATTGCTGGTGAAGCTTCTTCGTCGACAAATCTCGACCCAGAGCCGCCTCTTACCGCTATGGCTGAGAGGTCGGGACTACAGGGTTCTCCAGCGCTCGCACAGTCCAAGGTGGAAGCCAACATTGATCTTGTCAAATGGAGCGAGCGCGCCGATGTCAATGAAGCTTGGAAGAAAATCGCCAAGAGGGAGGGGCTCGATGAGGAGATCTTTGAGAAGGCCACATGGTCGTTCTTGGGCTTTGTGCTGGGCCGCGCGTTTGACCTTGTCATCACCATGAGCAAGGCGAGAGAGTACGGATGGACCGGATACAGGGATACCTATGGCGCCTTGGAGGAGGCGTTTGGAGAGATGAAGGAGAGGAAGATCATTGCCAAGGCATGAGGGTTACCAACATGAGATACCACATTTGAGGAGAAGTGGACAATACAATGATCCAATATGTAGAATCTAATCTTCCCATCACTCACCGTTGCGGAAATAATGTCTACCCATGTATATGCAAAACAAAACCTATCGCTAACATTGAATCTCCGCCTAGAACACGGCACCCCCAATGATGAACACTCTCTCTTCCTCTCTTCTCACCCACTGAATGATCTGGTTCGCGCTCGTCGCCAATGCAGCCCTACTGATATAGCTCGGCGCAACAGCATACAGTTCAAACAGTGGTGTGCTCCACGCAAGAGCAATGTACGTCGTGTTTGTTTCGTGGTGTACCTTGAGGGTAGACGGCTTGTTGTGAACGTTGGTGTGGAGTTTGTCGTACAAATTGAGTAATCTGCTTCCATCAGCACCGCCCAACATTCAATGGGAGTCGCCAGAGCGTATCATGAGGGGAACGTACTGCCTTTTCTCCAGCTGGCTCTCGAAATAGGGCGCATAGCTTGGCATGGTGAATTGTACGTTACCCCGTGACTTGTACAGGAAATGTCGCAGGGGGCTTCCGGGCACAATGTCCGTGCATTTGGGCCGCCCTTGTTTGACGGCTGAGCGTATTGCTTCAATGGAGCCGTTACGTTGCAGGGTCTAGACATGCATGTCAGTCGTGTTCGAGTAACTGCATTGGTTCTGCATGGATACGGCTTGTTCGTATAGGAGAGGAAGTCGGAGGGGTCAAACTCCGAAGCCGAAAGGCAACAGAAGCAACTACAAGATCTTCGTCCGAAAGCCAACGACTATCACGCGAGAAGATCTCCCAATAACTCAAATAGCAGTCAATCACAAGGTCCACGGCACTCTCCGTTGTAGATCCCTTTGCACAGCCCACTAGAGAGATGTTTCTTGTAATGTAACAATTGGAAACATGCACATACCTCGACTAGATCATCCCTCATACCCCTCATCTCAAAGAAACTCTCTTTCTCGGCGCTGATGAGCAGCACTGCCACCTCGTCGTCGGCGCCATCCCTGCTCTTGGGCCGTTCCTGCATCTGCTCCGAGGGATGTTCCAGATTGAGGAAACTGACGTACATGTACAGATATCCTGTATTGTTGAACCCAGGAAGACACAGGGGTATCCAGTTCTCCCCGCCCCCAGCCTTGACGCTACCAGCTTCAAATAGCATGTTGAAAATCAGGTGCAGATCACCTGGGTGCAGACTATGCTTCTTGGGGCGCACGACAGAGACTAGTTTCCCGGAAGCCACGACGAGGCCGTAGAGAAGGTTTTTGGAGCGTGTTTTCTGGAGTGTCGTGTTGATTATGGCACGTTGCGTCTTTTTCAACTTGAGACACTCAAGAGCGGAAAGTAGGGTAGAGGGCGAGCCACGCGTAAAACCGTCTGCCAGGGCGGAGAGAAGCGTGTCGGTTCCTTGGAGGGGGCGGCGGAGGTCGTAGTTCGCTCGAGCGGCGAACATGCGTTCCAGACTGGGCAGTGTGAGTGTAGAGAGAATCTGCATGTATAGAGCCTCGAGTTGGGTACGGAGCTGAGCGTCGCTCTCTGGTAGGCGAGTAATGGCGACCAGATTGAGGGGACCTTTGGACATGACCACAAAACGCACTCCTCCTGCAGTGAAGCCTTTTAGCACATCGTTGGTGGACTGGTAGAAGGATATGATGGTCTGGACGACGCCGATGTAGTTTGAGATGAGTTGGTCGTCGCCGTGTCGACTGTAGATGGGCTTTCCTGCACTCGACAGCACAAGGAAGTGCTTCAGCTTGGCGCGCCATTGGAGCATGACGGCCTCTATTCACGGCATCAGCAAAAGCGACTCGTCGTTGTATGCGCATTGCTGACCTTCGTTGGACCCGTCGGCCTGCATTTCGTCGATGTCATCGAACTCAGTGCCAAAGGCCTTGTCGAGTTCGGGGTCTGGCGGGAACATGGTCTCCGCCTCGGTGTCCTCGAAACGATGGCCCAGAGTACGTAGCAGCCTCTTCTCCTGGGACCCCAAAACATCGCCCAGGACGCTCTCAGCGTAGCCGTCTGTATCTGTTTGCGGCATGTAGCTGCGAATACTGGCGCCATCGTCTGCATCGTTGGGCACGCGAGCGGCCACATTCAGCCCCATGGAGCTTCGCTGCGTCGAGCTACTGCTGTCCTGGGCATTGGCAAACGAGACCTGTGTCGTTGGCTTCGAGACAAGCTGCGGTCGTGGGGGCGCCAGGGAGTGCGACGTCGAGGGCCGTGGGCTGTTGCTTTGCGCTGCCGCCTGCGGGCGCGGGGGCAGCGGCGGTGGAGTTCCTTCACGCGAGGGCAAGGAGAGACCACTTGTAGACACCGTGGGCGAGCGGCTCTGCATTATGTTCAGTGTGGGATTAGCAAAGTCTCGCACGTTAACATCTTCCACCTTATTCGAGGAGGCATTGCTGGTTGCTGTGTGTGTCGAGTGGGCGCTGTCCTGTTCTCGAGCTGCGCCCTGACCTTCAGCTTTCCCTGTCTCGTTCATCGAGCGTGTAATGCCCAGCAACCATGAGGCGAGGGAGCGCGAATGTGAACGCGCATCTGACGCGAAAGTTGGTGAAGCCTGAGCGTCGATGCGGATCCTACGCGCCACTATAAACTGATGACGTCATTTCGTCACTCTACACGATCTTGAATCCATCGATTATCAATTAGTGTGTCCGTCTGCGTATACGCAGCCCAGACAAAGAGTGTATTTGCAAGGCATATCATACACCCTTTACTGCTTACATCGAATCCTTGTATGTACCCCATCTTTCACACTCAAATCTTCGCGTTTTTCTACCCACTCGACCCCGTTCACATCGACAACCTCAATACCCCATCTCAAAACCCCCTTCGTATCTCTAAACCAGCCCAGCCTTGTCTTCATTCCTCTCTCCTTCAACTCCTTCATAGTATACTTTTCAACTAACCTAAGCAACTCGTGACTGTTCTCGATCATCGCCAGTACGTCAGCCAGACACTCTAAATCGCACAGCATAGTTTTACGGGGATACACTTGCTTGAGTGACACCACGAGCACCCCCAGAATCACGACAAGTAGAAACAGGATAGCGAGACAAAGCCATGTAGCTCCTTCCACCATGGCCAGAACCTCGATACGCTCCGTGGTGATCACGTCGACCTTCTGCCCGCTTATTTTTTGGTGCACCATCGGCTGGCCATCAATCCAACTGGTCTGGCTGGCAAAGTGCTGGAAGAAGGTTTGGAACGTGTGTTGCGAGTACTTGAGAAGTGTCTCTGCATTGAGCAATGCCGTTGGATCTTTGTTGGCTTGGACGTAATTGGAGTAGCTCATAAAGTCCATATTCAAGCCGTTGTCCTTGTCGCGGATGTTGAAACGCTCGTCTTCTAGATCTTCAAAGTTGAACAAATTGGACGAAGACGTTGGAGAGCTTGCTGCATACAGCAATTGTGTCATGAAGTAGACAGCATAACTGTGATAAATTAGCAATCCATTCCATTGAACCACGGCTGCTCGCTGTATTGTATCTGCTCAGCAAATGCTGGCGAAGCTGTGACGTGCGCTCGCTTCAAACGACATGTCCCGTACAATGCTGCTTTGCCATCAGAAAGAAATCAAAAACGAACCTCATCTCGACAGTGTAGTTCTTGCCGAACATTCCCTCCTGTGACCCGTTTAAACTAATGGCGTCAAAATCCATATTCCAAATTTCATGCTGCCGCTGCGGGTCCCCCAACAACTCGAAGTCCAACACCTGGCTGGAACTGCGTGCAATCGTGACTCGAGCATCGGTCTGTTCGATGACAGGTTTGCATGTCAAGATCTCCAATGCTGGGATCTCAGTAAATTGCATCAGCTTGTAGTACGATGCTTCGCTATTTGTATAAATAGTCAAGTTGGAAGTAGTCGCCGGGCCTACGATCCATTTGATTGTAAAATTACCGGGCCACGACTTGGGACCAAAACCGGTCCATTCTGAACGGTCGGCCCACCATTGATCTGGATCTGTATGTGACCAGTAGCCTACTGCCGAGTTCGCACCATCATCAGTACCATTCGCGCAGCAGAACACTCTAGATGGTGTCGTGAAGATTGTAGTTTGGTATGTATCCTTGTCGAAAATGGTTCTCGGAAGAACATAGCCCGTGACGTTGAGGTGTCCTGTCATGTTTCGTACCGACTTACTTAGTTCCGCCTCAAGAATCGCGGTTTCATTCATGTTGTACCATGACGAGTCTGTTGGCGTGATTCGATTGCATTCTAGGCGGGCTCTTATAGCCGAAGTTGTTAGCGAAACGTTCGCGGCAGAGAAGAAGAGCTCGGAACTCTCTTCATCATAGTCTTGGTTTCTAGAGCCTTGCCGCAGAGACGTGTCAGGCACGGACTCTATGACTATTGGAGTGAAACTCCACCCATCCAAACTCCACGCAGGGGATTGAGCCTGCAATGTCAGCTGATCAAGTGCACTGTACAACCAATCAGCCGTTTCTGTCCTCATGATGTGCTGGAGAAGATTGGCATCCGTCGAGACATTGGTGTGCTGGTAGGTGAGATGGTCCTGTCTAGTTGCAAGTGCCCGGTCAATGGTCATCGGTCGTGTATAAATTCCAGCTTGCTTCTCGAAGACGGCTGCCATGGCAATGATGACTGGATGAACAAATTAGTTTTGAATATCAAAAACTCAGAAATTGCCAAAGTGCCAAACAGAAGCATACGTTATGACCAAGCCTCCTGAGAGGAATGAGAGATCTACTTACGTATTTGGGAAAGCGTTGTTCCCATCGTGACTAGGACCAAAAGCCAATGCTTGTTAGAAGCGGCCTTACCAGCCGCCCAGACCCAGTGCGATGATTCGTACGACAGGCAGGCTCCTCGCTTGACGTCCTCGGGTCCATGTGCCATCGATAGGTATGGTTGGAGACTGCGCATATGCTTGTCGATCATGTCCCACCAGAGAGCTAGGCCAACAGCGATGAGAGTTGCGACGAGCGAAGCGGGAGAAATATTGGCGTGGAAGACACCAATGTCAACCTCATATACAAAGGCTGAACGATAGAGTTTCTGTTTGTCGGCGTAGTTTCGTAAAACGATGAGTGCTGCTGCGATCGCGACTACTGCGAAAAGCAGAGCTGTTAATCCCTTTGTACGGAGAGCAAGGGGCCTCCAGTCTTGGGGTAGGACTTTAGCATCCGTTCCTGAAACTAAGATTGATAATTTAGCGTGGGTAGCTCAAAGGGTTTTCAGATGATTACCTTCTGAATTGTTCACCGAGGGAAATTTGTTGATGGCAAGATCTGACATAGATCTTGCCGTCATCCTTTCGTCTCGTGACTCAGATTGGGGGATCCCATGTTCCGTCCCTGCAGCCAAATTCACATCGTTGTAAAATATAGCCACCCCAAGCGTTGTAGCAGGATCGACTGAGAGGTTGAGTGGTCTTTGCTGGATGGACACTCGCCAGATTGTGTAGCACAAGTAGCAAGCCAAACAAAAGAACAGCACAGCAAGTGAGACAGCAACTTCGGTCACCACAACGATGCGTCGTTCCAATACGATACGTTGCCCAATGACACTTTCAAACACCGGAGAGTTCTGCTCGGTCACAGATGAGAAAAGGAGTTCGCCGAAGAAGCGCGCTCTGAGCCTGGTCGCCTGTTCCGCTAACGTAGAGTCGTGCAACATCGCTGTGTAGTTGAATGAGAAATATGTTTGTAGGTTCTCAGTCAACCCGACATACTCTATTGCGTTCCTGAAAATGCTAGCCTTGGATAGGTATTCAGGCTTATTTCCCTCGAACGTGTATAGCTCGAACTTCGCAGTGTCGAGAATATTCTTGCCAAGTTGCTTGCGGTTTTTCTTGAATTCATCCTCATCAAAAGTGATGCGTCGATCCCCTGCTGATATAGAAGCATTTGCCGTTATGGTAACTTCATAGTACACCGGCGTGCAGAGCTCTGCTTGGTATTGGAAATTCTCCCAATATTCGTACTCGAATCCGTGGCGTTCTTTCCATGGAGTTGTCACAAGGAGCAAATTTCGATCCAGGCATTCCAGAGAAAACTCCATAATTGCATCGTTGTTGAGAGGAGACCAGTCTGTTTTGCCAATGAAAGGTGGACTTCCGCGCTCTTGGATGAAACGATTCCAGGAGATATAAGTAGCGGAAAGATTTGACCAGAAAAGCCCTCCCTCATCCACTATTGGATGCGAAGCCAAAGTTTCATATAGCTGGATCTCACACCCGTCTTCAGAGCGTAGTACCATACCTTCCCAGTCCTGCACGAGCGTCATGTTGCCAACGTTCTTGTCGTCTGCAGGTATTGCGGAGTTATACGTGAACGTCTGGTTATCGGCCTCGAGAATCAACGTGTGATTAGCTATCATGGTCTCGGCAAAGACCATGGGTACGCAAGTTGACTCCATCTGGAATATCTTGGTCTCAGCCACCCACAACCCATCGGGCAAGAGGTCGGAATGATCTACAGAGTTCTCAGGTCCAAAGGGCATAATGACATGAGAGTCAGACACCCACATCGACGTTGAAACATTGTATATGTATCCACTGGTAGTGTGGAAATACGTCTCGCGTCGCGGAACTAGATTGATACTTCCATTGTGAGCAGAGCTGTATCTTTTCAAGTTGGTGTCGCTGCGGATAAGGACTTGTTCTGGGACCAGGAGAGAAGACGAGAGGGTTGAAACGGCCAGTACACTGAGACCAGTAGCAATTGACGAGAAGAGCAACAGCCAACCAACGTGGCCACCATTTTGTTTCTTCGAACACGCTTTCACTATCGATTTCCACCACGCCTTCGGCACGTATTGAAGAGCAAAACTCGTATCAGCCTGGCCAGGGCGAGCTAGCCGCGCAAACGATTCGGTTCGCTTGATGTCGTCAAAGATCATCACCATGGCTTGGGTGAAGAAGACAGCGAATATAGTTGGCGTGTATCTCCATGCTATAAGAAGCCCAGAGGACCGGTCATCTCTTCCTAGACCGTGATTTCGAGCAGAATGAACACATAATGCTATAAGTGCGATGGAGAAAGAGAGCGATACTGCGGCCATAATGCTCAGGAAGGCTCGGCGAAGAGTATACGGAAGCCATGTTCTAGAACTATCTGACCAAGCTGATTCAGATTGTACCAATATTCGTCAGTTACAAAAACTAGAAATGATAGTTCGATGCGCCTTACACAAAGTCGGGTAATTGTTATCCACTTCAGTATGTTCAGCTGCGGCGTCGTCTTTTGGAAGAAGAACCGACGATACCGCGGACTCGTCGTCACCATTGGATGCGTCGGCTGTGGAGAGAGCAGTCCAAGCAGCATGATCGTGGCGGCGCTGTAGCGGGATATTGGTCGAGTGTGACATCTTGATAGCGCAACATCTTCACATACATGGGCTAGGGGACTAACAGCCTTTTGTTTCTGCAAGCCAACATGCCCAGCCTTGCAAACATACCGACTGACAGGAACAACTACAAGCCTCGGCGGCTATTTCTTGGCTTACTCTTTGACACCAATGATATTCTCCGAAAAGGACGACTTGCTTTGCCCCACCACGCCATATGCAATACGATCTATCAGGCAAGCAGCCGCAGTAAAGATCATCGTCAGCTTGAGCTTGTTAAGCTTGTAGTGGCACCATTACATGGCGTAATATAGGAAGAAGCTGTCTACGCCATTGGGTGTATCTCTTGTCAGAGTAGATGAGTCCTTGGCCTGCACGGAATCAGGGTTTCCGCCCAGGACAGACTGGTCAGCCCGAGCAATGTCGACCCTTTCGTTTCAACTTCTAGATGATGACTGGTCACGGGGTCGGATATACTCTCAGCGTCCAGGGCAATTATGAATACAATCCATAAAAGCGTAGAACATCTCCCGAACATAACTAAAGAAACTCGGAGATTGTTCCAGACGCCACTTCAGCACCAAAATGTGATTAAAACACTCGGAATGTAGGAGCTGCACACGCTTCAAGTACACAAATCGAGTCGGATTCATCTTGCTTCTTGGTTCAATCCAATCTTTGCTTTGGAAGGGGCGGATTGACGACCGTTCTTGAGAAGACCTACATCCCGTCCGCGAGTTATAACAAGTCAGCGTTTCGATCCGACATGGCCCCGGACTCTGTGTTGAAAGAGGATTCGTAGTTGATGTTGTGCACAAATAGCATTCCGCCTAAGTGATACAGCCTTGGAAGCGTAGGTCTGGGTTGGGACAGGCAATGAGGTCCATGACACACGCACTCAAGAAAAGACTCGAAGCAGAACCGGTTGATGAACCTGTTGCCTGCAAAATTCGATACATCTCGTCCTGAAGAGCAGAGACATATGGGAATAGTATGTATATCCATTTTCAGTGTTGCGTCAAGACACGACAGCCCGACATTCGTGTCAATCTCACTTCGTGAGCCAGTGTTGCACTCATCTCCATCACATGACTACTCATTTCTTCTTTGCGTCGACCTTGTCCTCCAATGTCCTGACGTAGCCTTCTATCCGCTGTACCGCGGCTTGGAGGGCCTAATTCGTGGTCAGCCATTGTCCGAGTTCCTGTCCTTGTGGGTGTAGGGCGAAGATCGCGGACGTACATAGATGTCTTCTGTCAAAAGCTGGTTCGAGACGCGGTATTCGTCGACGACATAGTAGTACATGCCTGCACCGGATGTGGTTGCTCCGAGGAGAAAGCCGAACAACCTGTGGTATGTTAGCAAACATTCTCTTTGCTGTGCATCATCTCCGTTGCATGCTGCGATGAGTCTCCAAGCCGTATCACAAGCTCTCACTCGCCTCGCGAAGCCCCAGATGTGCACGTCGAAGCCGTGAAGAAGCAGGAGCGGGGTCGGCTCACCCTCCGCGAAAAGCACCAACAGGCCTCCTAACTGGCGCAACCAGCGGAGCTTCCTGTCGCAGCGCCGCACTGGTCTGGAATCCGCGCACTGAGCGAAGCGCCGGACGGAGCAATCGAGATGCCATGTCGTCGCAGGTATTCAAGTGACCCAGGGCGTTAAAGTGTGGGGGGAGAGACGGGAGAGAGAATGGTGCTCGGGAATGTGTGCCTGACGTTCCGTGACGTTCGAAGCTCACCCCACAAGCAAGCTCACACCTGCCACAAGCTCTCATGTGGCTTGGCGCCACTAACTCGAAAGAGTGGACTACACGCGACTCTTGTTTGCAGCATGCAGAGCTATGACGCATTCACGGGATTGAAGAAAGAAGAGAGAAAAGCATCGTGTTATCATCATTACAAGTGTGTATCGTAAGCCTTGTCCGTCCATCAACACCCGCAAACGACTGTCTCCATACGACCAGCCCAGGTCACGATGCTGTCCGCATTCCTCCACACATGCCACACCGTCCAGCATCGCCAGCATTAACATACTGGCTGCCCGCACAAGACAAGTTCTTGCACCTCCAGTGGTCTGGTACCAGTTGCGCATCCAGAACATTCGAACAGGCCGCACACGTCAGCGACCCAAGTTCATTCTCGAGGGAGCAGATGTTGCACGTTGTTGGCTTGATCCGGGTGCTACATCGGGAGGATTTCGAGACTGCTTGCTGAGCTTTTGTCGTCTTGCTTTTGCCAAGAGGGACAGGCTTTGCTGACTTCGTAGTATTATTGACTAGGGCCTGTCCTGGTGGTTGTCGTCGTGACCCAAACCCTTGAAGTTCTGCTAGCTCCCTCTGCGCGTCGCCGTCTCCATCGTCCTCGTCCTCGCAAATCTTTACAAGAGCGCGTCCTTTGTCGTCAATCATTCTTTTCCCATCCACGTCCACCGCCGCGTGTGCAGAATCGGCGTCTTCAAACTCATCCTCCGTCTCACTGTCTGAAGATGTTTCTTCCTTCTTGACCACAACTTCCTCCTTTTTTACAGTATCAAACCTCGCCAACGCAGCAGCAGCTCGGAGGTCTCTTCCTCGAGCACTCCCAGCAACTCTAGGCTTCGCCTTCTTCGGAACCCCGCCTTCCAGCTTGATCTTTGTGTCGTCGTCTGCACCCAATGCCTGACCACCAACGCCAAACTTCTTCAATATCCGACGCTGTTTCCTCTCTGCATACGAAAGTATTTCCTTCTCCTTGCCTCCTCTACGTCTCTTTTTCGCTCTTCGCCCATAGGTACCACCACACAAGTGCTCAGGTACGTCGGCCACATCCCCCTCACTCAACTGCAACGCGCCCGTGTCCAAATCCCTTCCTCTGCCCCACAACCCTTCGCCCGTATACCCTCGTGCCCACAGTGCTCTGAGGTCCACTGCATATGCATCTCTCACCTTCCAAAACGCTTTTGAATGGTTCATCTGCTTGCAATGCGCCAGCTCATGCACCATGACCATCTCCACCATGCGCTGTGGTAGCCACCGCCCATTGCGATCGCGCAGTACAAGTTGTATGACCTCGCCCGCATTAAAGTTGCGACCCACAAACTCGTTGTTGTAGGGAAACTCTTCGAGCGCTTGCACAAGAATTGTGTTGGCTTTCATGAATGGGTAGCACACTGCGGCGACGCGGTTGAGGATCTGTTCGGCAGTAGAGGAGGACGGACCCGGGAGCGTGCGAATAAAGTTGATCAATGCGTTGGGGCGCTGTGAGCGCTCGTTGAGGCGCTCGAAACCGAGGGGCATCGCGGGCGCATACGATGGTGTTGACAAGTGTAGTGGACGGCGATCGGCGGGTCGTGTGGGTACTACTATCCGCTGTTCAATCGTACGTAGCCGTGTGGTGGTGTGTGTGAAAGATCTTGATTGTTGGAAAATGCACACGACAAGTCAAAGGGAGTGGCAACGAGAGCTCGGAGTTATGGATAGTAGTGTCGGAGTTATCAACACGAACACGACGCGAAGTCACACTTGTCCTACTTCACCCTGATTGGCAGCGTTTACTCAGTCCCATGAATCGTTCATGCGGTGTAGTGAAAATATATTCCTATTGATGTCAATTTCGATAATCACATCAAGTTCATTGACACTTTTGTTGTTTTAATGAGCCTTTCGGATTTTGACGGCCTTTGCAAGACGTTCAGCCGTAGGAAAAAAAATTGCCGAACGTGACATAAAATATGACACAAAGACACAATAATAATCATAATGTCCCGGATACCCTAGACACAGACAACGCCAACCTTCACCCCTTGATTCTTCCCCATGATCGTTGAACGCCGTAATCCGGAAACGCTCGCAATAACAATGACCCAAAGTCCAAGCACCCTATACGCCGTACGTGTACTGCTGATTCTACCTTGCAATCCGCAAATTGCCGGTCTTCCTAGTCACTGCATTCCCATTCTGTCTCCGCATACCCTCCAGCTTCTGTCGTAATTGCTCATGGATCTTCTTGCTTTGCGCCCACTCGTCGCTGAGCTTCTGCATGCGGATCGCGGCGATGACGGCCAAAGCTGCCGATTTGAGCTTAGGGCGACGCTCATGGACAGTGATGTCAGGCGTAATACCCATTTGCGAGATGAGATCAAGATCAGACTTGTTACTGTGGAAGAGTCAGTCGGAGAACTACGCAAGCAAATGTAAAACTAGAAAAAACATACCATTGACTATACATCTCGATCTGCATGAGGAAGAAACGTTTCTGATAACCGAGTGCTTCCCGGAATGCTTCAGCTCGTGAGCTTCGGGCACGAAGGAATTGGATTTGTTTGGCGAGACCGTTCAGCTCCTTCACATGGCGCTTCTCAAGGGCTTGGGTCTGCACGCCGAGGTCGAGGGCATTGTTCGAAGCTTTTTGCTGGATAGCCTTGGCTGATGCTTGGAGAAGGCGGAGCTGAGATTCTTTCTCGCGAAGTTGAGACTCGGTCTCGAGCAGTTGTCGCTCAAGTGTAGACCTCTGATCACGCTGTGCAGTCGTGACCTCGGTCTGGAGTTGGCGATATTGAGCATCTTTATCGCTAACTCGTCGTTCCAGATCATGCACTTTCTCTTCATTTGCGGCTTGTTGCTCGCGCTGTGCAGCCCGTGATTCGGCTTGGAGGGCTTTGATTCGACCATCTTTCTCACGAATTGTGGACTCCAGATCGTATATCTTTTCCTCAAGTGCAGCTTTCTCATCGCGTTGAGCGACTCGTGCTTCAGATTGCAGAGCATTGCTCTGGCTTTCTTTCTCGCGGATCAGCGATTCGAGGACGGTGATTTTTTCTTCAAGCGATGTCTTCTCTTCGACCAATTCATCTTCCTGCTCTTGGAGAACCTCAATCTCCGCCTCAAACTCGTCTTTTTCTCGGTGTGCCATATCCCTCAGCTCTTCGAGAGCGTCCAGACGCTCCTGGGCCAACTGTTGAAGCGCATCAGTCTGACTCCGTTGCGCATCGAGTTCCTCACGTAGGTTGTCAAGTTCATCATCTCGTTTGCGCACAAGACCTTGCATAACATCGAGTTGCGTATCAGGCTCGTCGGCGTGGTTTCGCAAAGCATCCAATTCGGCATCTCTCGCAGATATTGTGTGTCGAGCTGTATCCAGATCCCTAATCCGATCGCTGAGTTCGCTCTTCAATTGTTTCAACTGATCAAGGGCGGTTTCTTGCGATTCAACCTTCTTCTGTAGACTGGATAAGTCGCGCTCGCGAGCTTGCAAGGACGACTGGGCACTCGAGAGATCGCGTGAAAGATTGTCTCTCTCACGAGTCATCTTTTGCAGCGCTTCAATCTGCGTGTCCTTGCCAGACATGGTGGAGCGTAGGCTACGCATCTCTTTCTCGATGTCATTTCGCTCTTGACGGAGCGTCGCAACTAATGAATCGCGATCGTTGTTTCCTCTGCGAAGCGTCTCCAACTGATCGTCTTTAGTTGACAATCTAGTCGCAAGGTCGTCGCGTTCACGCCGGAAAGTAGAGAGGTCGCGCGAAAGTGCATCGCGTTCCTTCAGTGCCTTATTCAGAGCGTCGGCCTGAGCGTCTTTTCCAGAGAGTGTCGAACGCAAGCCACCAATTTCCTGTGTCGCATCGTCACGCTCGCGACGTAATTGATCAAGCGTCTCTAGGTTTCGGTCTCTTTGGCTGATCGTCTGGCGGAGCTGTTGTACCTGCTGCTCGTACGATGATACATCGCGCTGTAGACGTGTGATTTGCTGCATGGCTTCCTTGAGTTGTTTTCGACAATCATCAAGTTCATCAGCTTTGGCTTCAGCCGCATCCACTCTAGACTGGAGGAGCTCGATCTCAACGCCCTTCTCGCGGGTGATGTCGACTACCTTCTGGCGAGAGTCACGGGCCGCTTGCTGTGCGAGTTGAGTCTGGCTGTCTCCCTGGGATTCGGCGATTTGTAAACGTTCTTGCATAGCGTCGATCTCGGCTTCCTTCTCGCTTTGATGTGTCTGCATGCGACGCTGCAGCTCTTTGATGTTGGCATCCTTCTCGCGCTCTACAGATCGCAAGCGTTCTTCGAGAATGGATAGCTCGTGCCGCTTCTGGTCCTCCGCGGCGCCCAGTTCCCGTTCAGCTTCGTCGAGTTGCATTTCAAGCTCTCGAAGGTCCTGGTCCTTGCTCTCCGTCGCGGATTCGAGTTTTGTCTGCAAAGCCTGAATCTTGGAGTCTTTCTCGTGTTCGACCGAACGTAGACGCTCTTCTGCAACAGAGAGCTCGTGGCGCTTCTGCTCTGCCGCAGCTTCGAGTTCCCGCTCTGCTTCATCCAACTGTTGTTCCAGCTCGAGAACCTCCTGGTCTTTGCCGTCAGCCGCAGAGTCGATCTTTGCCTGCAAAGCATCAATCTCGGCGTCCTTGGAGCGTTCGAGCGTTCGAAGCTTGTCTTCCAGATCCTCGAGCTTCTCGCCTTGTTCTTCTAGTTGGCGTTCTTTGCCAGCCGCGTCAACGTCTTTGTTCTTCTTCAGCAGGCGCAGTTGTTCTTCCAAGTCGGCGATCTTCTCTGTCTGCTCCTTCAATTGTGCAGCCTTTTCCTCGACATTAGCAGATTGAGATCCCTGTGCAGCCTGGAGCTTGTTCTCCAGATCATCGATATGGGCTTCGTGCTCGTCTAGCAGTTCGTCTCTCCGCGAGACCTCGGCCTGTGCATTCTCCAGTTCCGCACTGACCTTCTCCAACTCGTCCTCGGTGCTTCTCGCCTCTGCCAGCTTTCCTTGCAGGTGTTCAACTTCGGCTGCGCGCTCCTCGGACAGGCGTCGAAGCTCGTCCATCTCTTCGCGGATTCCTTCATCGACGTGACGTCTCTTGACCTTCTCGGCATACTCCCGGAGCTGCTGCTTGTACGTCTCGAGCTCCTTCTCCGCGGCTCTGAGGTCCTTCGAATACTGCTTGATGTCGCGCCCCATTGCCACCTTCTCCGTCTTCAGGTTGATGTTCTCCTCCATGGCTCGCATGTTGAAGTCGGGGGCGGTGCGCCTCAGGTTCTCCTCGAGGAAGTGGATCTTGAGCTTGAGCCCGAAGTTCTCCTTGTCGATCTGCTCGAGACGCTGCAGCACACGTCAGTACCAGTCACGTCAGGGCGGGCATTGCACCAGTGGGTCGCGCTGCCCATGCACGGCAGACGTGCCGAGTACACTTACAGCCTCCTGCTCCCGCAGCGTGAGCACGTTGCCGTTGCCCGTGTCCATCTCGCCCTCGGCCCTCCGCGGCAGGGCCATGGGCGTGCTCATGGAGCTCGAGTTCACGTCGGGCATCGGGGTGCGGCCGTCGACGGACTCGGTGAACGAGCTCGAATGGCCGTCGAAGGTGCTGGCCTCGGGCAGCGGCGAGTTGCTCATGACGAAGCCGGGCTTCATGGCGGCGGGCGTGGTGAGCTTGCCGTCGAGCAGGCCCGTCACCTGGCGCGTGCGGTTCGCCGTGGCGCTCCTCAGCATGGGCGTGAACTCGGACTTGGCGTTGACGGCGCGGCGGGTGGCGACGTTGTTGCGGGGGGTACGCGCGCCGCCCATCTGCTTGAAGAGGTTGTCGCGGTCGGGCGGTGCCTGGAACGACTCTTCGCGGCTGAACGAGAGCCCCTCGATGGCCGTCAGGCGCGTCGCGTCGCCCACCTCGGTGCGAGGCGTGTCGGGAAGGTATTGCGCCATGCTATCGATGTCTGCTGCTAACGCATGAGCGAGAGAAATGGAGGCTCGTCGGCTCAGCACGCGTCCACTGCGGAGAGAGTGCCCGGCGTGCACTGTCTTTGTTTGTTGTGACCATGGCGCCCGGACCATGCCACCGCTAGGCCCAGGAAGGAAAGACCGCCTGCGCGAAACTGGCCAGTCACGTTCGTCGCCCACGTCCCCATCCATCTTTTCTTGTCAAGTCATGTGAAGCGCACATGCCAAACTCACCATGGCCTTTCCTCAGGACGACCTGAAATGGTTCGGCGAAGGCTTCGACGGCTTTCCCAAGAAACTCCCCGAAGACGTCGTGGAATACCTCGTCTTCGTCCTCGACGCCCAGCGTTCCGACACACAAACAAGAGAACGACTGCAAGCCTTCCAGCGCGCACTGAACACGCTAGAGAAGAAGTTCCTCAAAGAGTACATCTGGCAACGTGACCCCCTCAAGCTAGACCTTGTTCGCGAAGAAGGGCGGTGGCTGCTGAGGGGCCAAACCAACTACGGCGACAGCGTGGCCGATGAGTGGTTGATAGTCTATCTTCTGCGCGAGCTGAGTAAAGAATTCAAAGACGCCTGGATCCGGATATACGACTCAGATGGCGAGTTCCTTCTCATCGAGGCTGCCAACGTTCTGCCTAAATGGTTGAACCCAGAGGTTGCTGAGAACAGAGTCTGGATCAATGCACATCGTCTACTCATTGTGCCCCTAGGCAAAGGAGAAGAGCCGGCACCATTGAAGCAAGACGAAGCGTTGAAGATCATCTTCGATACCCCAGCCAGACCACAACAATACCCAAACGTTGAAAAAGAAGCCTTTCATCGCCTGAAAGGATATCCTCTCGCGATATCTGAGAATCAACATCATGCGACTCTTCCGCTACCTCGAGTTGTCGCACACGTCTTAAACCACAACCCAGCTTACATAGCTTCTATAGTAGAGGCTTTCTATCTTCGTGACCCTGTTTCCATTCGTTTGCTACAGCCCGACAAAACAAAGACGCAACTAATCTTTCCGCCAGAAGACTTTGTGGATGTCAGTGTTCGTTTCACCAAAGTATTGTACGCACAGCTTTTGGGTCAACACTGGGATCCACCAGACCCATGGATTGGCGCCCTGGAGAAGCTACTTCAAGAGGGTAAACCATCTGAAAAGTCTGAAATCGGTGTAAAGGTGACGGCTGGCATGGAAATGCTCGTACGGCATACTTTGTACGCAGATAGAAAATCCGTTCGCGAGATCAGCTTACTGATAGAGGACCTTGAAAATGGGGATGACACGTTGCCTACGAACGCGGAAATCACTGCATGGCCGAAACGTGAAGACGACGAGGGGTGGCTGAACATCGACTTTTCCGAATTTGAAAAGGAACTTGCAGGCAAGGGTGGCAATCAGGGCTTCGGGGACAAAGCCGCACAGGAAAACCTGAAGAAGATGGTCGAACGCTTCAACGATTTTCTCAACGATGACGAGGCCGGTATCGAAGGTGCTGGTGTAGTAGATCCCATGGACGTTGACAACGACTCAGACGCAGGTGATCGAGGATGGGAAGATCCCGAGGACAGTGATTCGAGCGAAAAGCCCTCTGAAACCAAAGCCAGCAAAGTTGAGGATGCAAGCGATGAAGAAGACGACGATGCTGACGCCGACGAAGAGTTTGCGGAGTACGAACAAACCTACGAGAAGTTCATGATGCTTTCCGCCGCGGAAAAGGCCCTCCTCACAGAGGATGCGCGTGAGCTGGCACTCGCTCAAGACGCGGAACAAGAAGAAGATGAGGAGATCAAGAAACTATCCAACATGATGGAAGCAGAACTCTTCGGCCATGGAGCACTCAACCTCAACACATCAACCAGTCGAGTGTCAGGTACCGGTCTGTTAGAGGGTGAAGAAAAGCCAAACAAAGGCAAGGGGAAAGTCAAGTTCGAGGATATAAGCGAAGACGATGAGGAGGAGGAAGATGAGGAGGAGGGCCTCCTCGATGACGACTACAACCTTGCAGACAACATGTTAAAAGCTTTCAAAGGTCAAGATGGTATGGCTGGACCAGCGGGGAACATGATGAAGCTCATGGGCATTCAATTTCCACAAGATGCAGATGACAGGATGAGGAGTAGAGAAAGGGGAAAGAACACGTCGCTCAAGAATTGATAGAAAGAAAATTTGACTTTCTGGAACCCATTAAGATACCGATATCTACTGGTTTCCAAGTTGCGTATCCCATTCTCTAGCATTCAAACATTGTGCTCAAAACGACTCATCTCACAGTACACAACAGTTTGCATGTTTTCTTGAATCGAGTACAGGCCCCACCCCTTCAACGCTCTACATCAATTCCTTTAGGTCACATACACAGTACTTTGGAAACTACCATAGTATCCCTTTTCTCATGCGCCTTCGTACTATTCTGTACTTGAAACAAAGTGAAACGAGGAAGGTTGATCTATCGAAAGAGGAGGGATGACAGTTTATCGTGTCGGATTCATTTTCTTGGGATGCAAAGCACTTCATCGGTCCGTCGCTTTGGGACTTTGTGCTGCGGAAATGTCATAATCGACAAAATCAGCCTAGCGTTCCGATTCGTTGTCCTGGGCTGCTACCTCAGCCGCGACAGGGAAATACAAACTAGTCAGTAAGCATCTTTGACAGATTCGAGTGTGAATTAAAATTAAGTTCGCATTTAGAAAGGGTTTGTAAGATATATGTAAGGTTGCTATATCGGCAAAGTTCCACGGTCTGGATCTCAAGTCCGAAGCGTTCCGATTCTGATGTGAGAGTGAAAATCGACAGATATCATGTGAGGTCTAAGCTTATCTATCAAGTCGTAAGATGGTTGACTGGATATGTTGCATTGAGGTTATCACAAATAGAAACATTTACATGGATACCGTGCGGCCGGCCCAAGCAGTGTCACATGCTACGATCCGCAAGTATTTATTGGGTTATATGTATTGCTCTCGCAATTGAAAATACTATCAAATACCTTAACATAACTTAGCACTTGTTCTCATCTTGACTAGAGAGTCCTGAATTAGAAAATCTCTCAGATTGACATATTCAGCGATCTTCAAGACTCGGCGTCCAACACTGAGGTACCGCGGCGTGGTAATTTACACCGGCATCGGGTATTTTACACCGCAGAATTAGGTAAATTTACACTTTACACCGCGTATAGGTAAATTTACACCGCGTATATATGTACTTAGAGATTTTCTTAAATTTCTTATTACTAGCACTACTATTAATCGCAACAACGTTGCTCCGGCCTACCCCATATAAGCTAAAAACTTAACTATTAACACTATCTCATCTACATGCTTACAATGGAGCCCACCCACAAGCTCACCCACAATTGAGCCTACCTACGAGCCTACCCACGATGGAGCTCACGATTGAGCCCACCTACGATAGAGCTCACGATTAAGCCCACCCACAATAGAGCTCACAATTAAGCCCACCCACGAGCCTACCCACGATGGAGCCCACCCACAAGCCTACCCACAATGGAGCCTACCCACGAGCCTACCCACGAGCCCACTCATAATCAAGCTTGGATTCAAGCTTACAATTAAGCTAGATTTTAACTCACAATCAAGCTTAGATTTAAGCTCACAATTAAGCTAGTAAGTAACTTAGATAGATCTACATAGAATAAATAAATTGTATATATAAATTATCTGTAAATCTACAAAAAACTGTGTAATATATATAATACTATATGTAAATTTACCTTACGTTTTACACCGCAATGCGGTGTAAAACACAGTCTTTCTTCTGTGTTTTTTACACCCCAAAGCTGCGGGATAATTTACCCGATTTTGTACCTCAGTGCAAGTCAGGGTTTTAAAGAAGTCATATATGTCATTAACATCATGTGGGATATCGAAGTCTACGTTAGCGATGACTAATGGCGCACTTAATGAAAGGTGGGCCTACTTAGCGCTTAACGATATACTCAAAGAAGAAGAGCTCTAGCTGCGCTATAAGAAGAAAGTGCGAAAACTTATTTCCCGTTATCTAGACAAAGCCGATATTCGAGCTCTTCTCCAAGATTATAATGTGGAAAGTGTCTACAACATAACTATAGCCCTGTTTACGGTTCGAGCTTTCAGGTCTACTCTAAGAGCACAAAGACGCTTTCGTGAACTATTTAAGGTATCTTCTAATTATGTTATCTGGGAAAATTATTATAAAGAGTACAGAGAATAACGTTTACAGGAAGCATCTTAGGATAAAGGCTTAAAGAATAAATTAGATATTATTACAAGAAGCTAACACTAAGGTACAAAATTATGTAATTTACCCTATAGCTTTATTAGGTAAAAAATACAGAAGAAAGACTACGTTTTACACTATATTACAGTGTAAAACGTAAGGTAAATCTATATATAATAGTATATATATTACATACTTCTTTTTAATTTTATAGATAATTTATATATATAATAAATTCTTTCTATATATTTCTATCTTAGTTACTTACTAGCTTATTTATAAGTTAAAATCTAGCTTAATTATAAGCTTAAATCTAAGCTTAATTATAAGTTTAAATCTAAGCTTAATAATAAGTAGACTTATAGGTAGACTTATAGGTAGGCTTAATTCTAAGCTCTATTATAGGTAGGCTCTATTATAGGTAGGCTCTATTATAGGTAGGCTCTATTATAAGTAGGCTTATTAGTAGGCTCTATTATAAGTATATAGATAATATAGTATTAATAGTTTAGTTTTTAGCTTATATAGAGTATACTAAAGTAATATTATCTTAATTAATAGTATTACTAGTAATAAGAAGTTTAAGAAAAGTACTAAGTATGTATATACCTAGTATAAATTTACCTATATATAGTATAAAGTATTAATTTACCTTATTCTACAGTATAAAATACCTAGTACTAGTGTTAATTACACTAACACAGTACCTTAGTATAATACCAAGGTACAAAGTTTAGTAAATTACTCTATAGATTTAGGGTATAATAAATACAGAAAAAAGACTACGTTTTATACTATATTATAGTGTAGAACGTAATGTAAGTTAATATATAATATAGAATATTACTATAATTATTAAGTTAGTTTAAAGGAGAGTATTATTTACTTAATATATATATATATTAAATATAAATATATAAAAGCTAATATATAGGCTTAATTATTAGTTAAAAATTAACCTAATTTTAACCTTAAATCTAAGCTTAATTTTAAGTAGGCTTATAGGTAAGCTTATAAGTAGGCTTATAAGTAGGCTTCTAGGTAGGCTTATAGGTAGGCCCTATTGTAGGTAGGCTTATAGGTAGGCTTAATTATAAGCTCTATTAAAAGCGTATTAATAAAATAGTATAAATAATTAAGCTTTTAGCTTAATTAAAGTAGGCTAGAGTAGTATTATAATAATTAATAGTAGTGGGTTTAAAAAGAATTAAAAAAAAATTACTAAGTATAAATATACAAAGTATAAATTTACTTATACCTAGTATAAAATCTTAAATTACCTAATTCTGTAGTAAGAAATACCTAGTGCTAGTGTAAATTATATTAAAGTATTACCTTAGTAGAAGCTAAAAAAACCAATTATAGGTATATATTTTAGGTATCCTTCTAAGATAATATTTAACTATAAAAATAGGTTGTTATTTTATAGTATAATACTAGATCTTTATTTAACTAATCCTTATACTAGATTATAGTAATAGTACTTTAATACTTCTACCTTATTCTATTAAGGTACGATTTTAACAATAATATTATATCTTTATAGAAATATAAATTCTAGATAAATAGGCCTGATATATATTAACTTTAGAGCTTTAATAAGATATTATATCTTATTATCTAGTAGATTAAAGCCGCGGATTTTTAGGCTAAATAAAATTAGGCTTAGTGTTAGTAAGTTAGCGTTTTACTCTCCTTGTATAAGCTTTAAGACTTTAAAGTTCTTAAGATATAGCGCTATAAGAGAATTCTATTAACCTAAAAATCCTCAGGTCTAATTTACTACAAAATAAAAAAAATAGTAATATTAAACTAAAATCAAGTAGTAACGCTAAGTAGGTAGTAGCATAAATACCTAAAATAAGAATATTATCTAAAAAATATTATTAGTTAAATTATTAGAAAGCTTAGTTAATAGCTAAACCTTAGGTTCTAAGGCTATAGATACTAGATTAGTCTAGCTTAATATAAGTATTAAAATAATATTATAATCTTCTAAGAATATAAGAAAGCTTATAATAGGTTAATAGTATAACTACTATATAAGGAGATTTACTAATATAAAGTAGTAGATATATAAAGTTATTTAGAAGCTTTTAAAAGGTAAAACTCTTTATAGAATTACTATAGTAAACCTAAGAAAGTATAATTTATTAAGAAGTAGCTATATTAAAGAATAAAGGATATAAAGCTACTAAAATAGTATATTATATATTAGTAAGGAAAACTGTATCTCTAACTTTATAAGCTATAATATTATTAGATATTATATATATAACGTAAAGAATACTAAATAAAAATATAGAAGTATAACTCTGTAAGAGAATAATATATATAATTATTAAACTAGAACCTATATATAGTATAAGAGTAAAGGAGACTTAGAGATAATAGAGTAGAAAACTTCAAAGTGTAGCTTTTGTAATATATATACGCCTAAACTAGAACTAAGAGTTAAGAGTAGTAGTTATAGTAAAAATATACTATTAAAGTAAATACCTATCTAAATTATAATGCATTGTCCTATTTAATATAGACAAATTTTGATTTAATACTATTTAGATTTAGTACGTAGTTTAATTACTTAGAGGTTTTCTCTATATAGTCGTTAAGCTATTATTAAGCACTCTATATTAATATTAATATAGGTTTTTCCGCTATAGTAATTACTCTTACTCTAATAACTACTATTTACTATTACTAGAATTTTAATATATTATTTACTATAACTCTTATAATTACGAATACTAATAAGATTACTATCATTTCTAATAATATTATTTGTAGTACTATTATTACTACTATTACTTCTAAATTTAATCTTAACCTGTGTTAATTTTTTATTTACAGAGTTTAACTTTATATATTAGGAATTAGTTCTACTAATTTTGTCTTTTAAGTATATAACCTTGTGTATATTTAATATAGCTTAATATAGCTTAGATTAGAAGTTAAAACAGTATTAAAATAATTGTAATATTAGCTAGTTAACCTAAAGAAG